CCATCACGAGCGCAATTACCCAAACACCATGCAACATTAGAACCACCATGTCCATCATCACTGATGCCTTCGGGAATTCCCTTTAATGTATCAATCACCTTGACAAGTCTACTCAAAAAGTCATGTTTTATATTCACTGGGAATGTATTTAAAACTGCAATATCTCTTTTTAGAGGTAATATTTGAAGATCATTCTCATTAGGGTTCCCATAGAGTTTGAGAACCAGATTCCATAACTTTCACAGATTGTTCATGACCCATTTTTGCCCTTTTCCATGATCAGTCATTACCATCATTGCCATCATAATCACCATTACCCATTATACACAATTACTCATCATCATCATCATTGTAATCATCATCCTCGCCACTATCATCACCATTAACAAATTCATCATCAACATCATCATCACCACCATCACCAGTACGTTTATAGCAGTTTGGTCTACAACTTGCAGCCTTTTCACACACAGCTAAAATTCTATAAACATGATTAGTTTAAAGGGCTTTAAACATGATTAGTTTAAAGGGCTTTAAACTAATCAACTGTACATAGTTACGACATCATCCACACACAGAAATTTCGGTGCGATCGTTAATCGTTTCGTGATTAACTACTGCTCTTAAAATGCGCAGTAGTGCCATTGCGCATTGAAGGTCATGTCATATCAAACAAACCACACGCTCCATCCAGTTTAAACACGTTTAACCGTTCACACACAAAATGTCAAGCTCTCTAGATACGAACTTCGTATCTGCAGCCTGCTTTGAGGGGCGTATGAATCGCGACTTCGTATCTATCCGAACATCGTATAAACGATGTTCACACAGGAAAAATTTTCTTTAAACATGTTTCAAACTGTTGAGTTAAACACGTTTAAACTAATCATTTCTAGATACGATGACTTAAGCTGTTGTTCGTCTACGTCTACGTGGTTTAATTACCATTTAGGCAAATATTTATATTCTTTAATATCAACTTGGTCTAATATCCAATAAGCCTACTACCCATTTGGTCTATCGCTCATTTGGTTTCATTTCTAGTCGGTCTAATGTCCATTTTGTCTACCCTCCATATCGTCTAATAATCATTTCTAGATGTTAGAAGAAAGATATCATTTGATTCATGTTCATATATATGTATATATGTGTTTTGTTTATACAGAAACCAAACCAAACCAAAGCAAACCCAAACCAAAGCAAACCAACCCATCCAAACCAAACCCATCCAAACCAAAGCAAACCAAGTCGCTCAATGAAAGGTGCTTCTTTTAATCTACTATTCATAATCTACTATTCATAAACACAAAATCATGACAACAGATCAACAAACAAATAGGAGCATTATTTTCAATTTATTAATTTTCAATATTTTGGATTTTGTCCACATGACATTAACACGAAAGTAGTTCACACTGGACTTACAAATCCTGTCAAAAATTATACTTGTCAATGCTTACAGGTTTCAGTTTTAATGATTGCATAGCGCCTTGTACCGAAAAAGAGAGAAATTGGTGAATATATATTTCTCTGCTTTTACATTTGGGAAAACAAAATAAAAAACAAATCAATAAAAATTATTCCTGCAAAATGTTATGGTTAGTAAGATATGAAACCTTTACCTTTCTAAACAAAATAGTTTTGTATTCTGAATATTATGTTTACTTCTTCACAGATTTACACTTAAAAAAAATGAAAAATATATAAGAACGTAATATATCAATATTCTACAGAGATAGGGGCAGACTAAATCAGCATTTTTCAACCTTTTTAGAATTATTGGAACCCTTTAAGAAATTATAAGGTTTAAGGAATAAAGGCTATTCATTATTCTCATGGTTATTTCCTCATTAAAATACAAAGCGGTTTCTAATATTTTATTTTCACTAAATTGATGCTATTCCAAAATAAATGTTTATACTACAACCATATTTCTCTTGTGGCACCCTAGTTGAAAAACGCTGGACCATTTGACTGGACTTTGTTCAGAGCAAAAGCATATAAAGAAATCAGTTCTTTGAAGGAGGGTAACAGATAAGAAAACAAAACCAGTTATTACCAAGAGCATTTGAACATTTTTTGGAGACATGATGCTTTCATAAGCAGTTACAATAGTATTTCATTATAAAAATGACTGCAAGGATACAATACTCATTCAGTACAAATAGGTAAATATGAAAATCATCCAGAAGTATACGATATTGATTGATGACTCCTTTTACGTAATGTAAGCCTTTCAAAACCTTTTTATTTATTTTTTGTTCAAAAATTTACAATGGCTATTTACAAAGACAACATACATGTATATTTAGTATGACATTGCACTTAACATTGTTATGAACACATTAGGTGTGCTCACATATAGTTCTATGTACTTGATGAAGTAAAATATGTGACAGGCACCATTACAGAATACATTAAGCAGAGCGTTTCACATAATGCATGAATATCAATATTAAAAGTGGTAACTTTAGCTCTCTCATGAGTCTTCTGAAAAAGTCTTAAATGTATTTGTTTTGAACTCAGTTTCTCAAAAACTGATTGCAATCAGAAGATGGTTTATGTTAGAAGGATAAATTAGTAAAAAAATAGGGGCAAGTAGTTGTTGGATTAGTTCTGCATAGAATTAAAATGGATGCCAAAAATAGTAAAGGATGGTCTGTTTGAATTTAAAGCAACCTCAATATTTATCAATAAATAGTTATAATAATATGACCATTAAACATTCTCTAAAAGGAGAGTATTAACAATTCTCAGAGGACATGCATTCACTGCCTTCATTAACAAAATCTGTTCTCACACATTTCAAGGTTTTTCCCGCCTGCTTTTGAATGATACTTTCATCAAGTATGAACTTGTACTAGGGAAGTAGTTTCATTATACTAACAATTGTCAAAACATTTTCACAGAAGATGATATTACAACCATAAAATATAAGAAGAATATTTCATAGACTAATAAAACCATAACAAGAATTATAAAGAGCAATGAAACGTTTATAACCTCTCACACTTTACACTGTAATTTTAACTCATCCCTATAAATAAAAAGAAGAATAAGGTGGGTATGAACTATAAATAGTAAAGAAAAAGCAATGCCAATCCAATTTTCCGGGTGACATCATTACAAATTTACAATATCCTGTAAAATACACAAATAAGTGATCACTATTTCTTGAGAATAAGGGTACAAAATAAATATTGTATTTATGTTGAATCCACCATCATCATCTGCAAATGAGTGTGTAATGTTTATCTTATAATTTGTGTAATGACTGATTTCTTCTCTTATTATCATATGAAACTTTTGATCATCATAATTAGGCTTGCATTAATGAATCATTTGGCATTTATATAAGCCTTTCCTTTAATATTTCATCACCGTTTCTCTTATAGGAAAAAAACATTTCAGTGTTTGGTTGTATAAACTGTACATATACGTATCCATTGGCTATCCATTAGGAATGTTAGAAAACATTCAAAGGCACAAAGATTAAAAATGAAAACACAACAGAATCATTAGTGCTATGCATTCTTTAACAAAGAAAAGCCAAATTTTGTACACCACAATTTTGCATTTGGGACAAATTTTTGAAGTACACATATAATGCTTGACATATACTTTTTCAAATGCTCAATGAGAAAAATTAAGATTCCCTGATCAAAATGCTTCTGAGTAATGGAATGATCTGATGGAATAATGTGGAATTATTTGTAACAAGATCATTGCAAAAAAATTCGAGTGGAAAAGAAAACATGGGAGTAACAGGATGTGGTCAAATTGCAGAAGCACTAGATATCAATTTCACCTCCTAGATTCATGTACCACCTAATATCATTACTGAGATGGTGAAAATTACCATTTAAAGATAAACTTGAGTTCTGGTAAAAAAGAAAAGAAAATGAATTCTCACAGAATCAAAAGAAACTTTAATACACTGAATATTCAAGATTATAAATAAATGTCAGCTGCCAAACAATTTTGGTAGAAAATGTATACATGCTGATTAATGAGCATAGAAAGATAAGGAATAAAGGAAATCAAGGTAAGTAGCCCCAACATTTTTTGTGCAGTCCCATATACATCTTTCTGTGTACAGGGCTTGTTACTTTACCAAGACTGGACCAAATATATTATGATCTTGATGACTCCAGAACCTTGCAGTACACACCAATACTTTAATGCTACATGATGACCTTTTTCTGATCCATCGCATGACCAGAACTCAACTTTATCTTTAACAGTATTCCACAATACACTTCGATTGAAATTTTAGCATTTTCTTTCAGTAATATGAACCTATCATAACATTCTATCCATATTAAATTTATGACTATCTCTATATATTTTAAGTTGTCAATCAGGATTTTGAAACAGAGTTTCTGTACAGAAATCAGAAAATGTGTTTGTTTTGTCATTATGGAATTCTACATGATAAGGTCACTGTTACTATTTATCAAAACCTTCATTGATAATGGGGAATATTGGCAATATCAGGCGCAAACAAATTGATATAAAACTTTAAAAATTCACTTCCAATGAAAGATAAAAACTTAAAAGTAATGCAATGTCAAAATGATAAGCATACATGTATATTTGTTTTTAGAAAATACTACCGCAGAATTGAGAAACTAATTGTACAATGTATATGCCCATTAATTCATTCTTAATCAACTGCTTATCAACTAATTAGCAAAATAAGGAGAATAGAAAGCTATGCCCCAATTAGAGAAATGAAAAGAAAATGTATGCATTTAAATACATCACATTATCACTGAATAGCTAATAAAGGAAGTCTTCTTTACAATGAGGATATGTATTCAAAAAGGAGGAAATTATGTAATATGTAAATATTAAACTCATTTGTTTATATCTATTGAAAAAGCTCTCTGATAAAAAAAACAAGCAAGAAAAGCATACACAAAAGCAAACAAACTAGACAAATTATTTATAAACATTTCACAGTAATCTAATTTGAGGTAAATATAAGAGCAAAGAGATAGAATGCTCAAAAGGAGACATTCTTTTAAATAAAAAATGATTTATTTGGCAATAATGTGAGGAAAACTTGGTCATATACAATGTAAGAATGAAAGTGCTTGGTAAAAAATAACTTCCATATCTATCGTTTGGAGCCAGAAGATCATATCTCATATAAATCCATAAAGAGTTAACAATCTTCTGGGTCTGAACAGGCGATTTTGTATATGTACATACAGCTACAGAGGAAATGACATCACTGCAGCCAGCTGCTATAAAGACAAACTCACACACAAGCAAAACAGACTAAAAATACACATTGCAAAACAAACTAAAAATAAACATCCATCAATAACAAGCATCAATAACAAGATATAAAAAATCCCCACATATTTTACATATCCAGTGGCTCGTAGCATCAACCTCATGCTAAATGTGAATTAAAATCATGTCCGTTAGAAGCATGATTGTGATGACATTTGGCAAACATGATGCAAGATACAAGATAAATCATGTTAATCTTGACAAGATTTGACATAACCATGAAAATAATCCACTGCTCTTAAACTAATGATGCAAACTTTGCTTTTTGCCCTTCTGACGAAAATACCCAACCTCATTAACTTGTTTTTCATAAATATTGTTTTCAGATTTCTTTTACAAATAAAACTCAAAGGCCGTAGAAAACCATTAGAAATCAATTTGTGTGTGTGTGTGTGTAGAAATAAAACAAAGAGAACATCTGAGCACTGTAACACAGCAATGTAACACACAGAAATACAAATATCAAACACAATGTCTTTTCAATAATAAAACACTTCTCATTTTAGACAAAGAATGCTATTTTCAGGAAATTCGCTTAGTATAGTAGCGTACCTAATCACTTTGTCCCCATTGAATTTTTGAAGGTTGACTCTTTTTGATGCACTTGTAATTTGATTTCAATCAAATTAAAGGCACTCTACATCACTGCTATATCTCTCTAAAAAGATAAATCAATTATTATTATCACTATTTTGTTCTTTACTATTTGGCGTTTGAAAGAACCTCTAGCAATTCCACTTTACATAATTGCTCCCTTTTCAAGTAGAAGCAAAACACTATCTCTTTGACAATCATTCACCTGTTAATAATAAGCTCAAGATAACTCAGACTAGAGTCTCTACAAAATGTGTGTTGTACAAAATCAAATCATATAATAATGAATAAGACTTTCTGAGTGCAACAATTAATGAATGAATGATACTTGGAGATACTAAAACAAATGATTCTGAACTTGAAACATTTCTAGCATGTCCAGACAAAATAGAAAAATGTTAATTGCATCAAATATTATGTACATTATTTCCATACAGCTATCCCTGAAAGATATTGTTTTATGCATGACTTTCTGGCAGAGATTGGTTGACTGAATTAAGTCAAGATTGTCCACTTTTGTTGCTGGTTATCTTTCTGTAACAATTTGAAGCAGAAGGCTTTTTCTTTCAGGCAGTAGCCTTAATGCCGTCACTGTATGTTCCATTTCTACTTCCCTTTTTTCTTCTTTTCACTCCATTAATTCATATCAAAATAGCTTGTGTGTGCATTTCATTTGTACATGTAGGTTCATGATTTGTTTGTGCATTATCTTTTTTTACATGAGCAAAACATAACTGTTCTCACACAATACAACATCATGTGTGAGTTTTAATACCCGGATATTCTTGGGATATTTTTAGATCGGTCAAAAGTCTATTTTTACTAACACTGTTGATGTTTAAGTAATACCAAGGCCATCGTTGTTGAATATCATAGCTTTTCTCATCATTACCTTTAATCTTCATGCATCACAGTAACAGGAAAAGATGGTGTGAGGTTTTAAAAAATTGGACAGCACAAGCATACTTGCTAAATTGATTATAACATGTAGATGATATACACTCAAACCTTTTCTCATTTTATTTTGCTACTTCTTTTGATTACATCCTTAGGTAGAAATGGGGCAAGTGCATTTCTATCCCTATTAAGATTCTACGGAAAAAAGTTTACATTTGGTCATGATTTAGAAGACCTTCAATGTTCCATAATAAAACCACATTACTCATTTATTTCATATTTTAGATGAAGATACAACTGTAGTTTCCTTTCCCTTAATCTTGTTCTTCTCTTAGTCCTTAATTTGTCACTTTTTGTAGGGTATCTGCAGATGGTTAGAACAATCGTACATTATGTAAAACTTACACAGAAAATGAAAACATATCTTATAAAATGTCCTATACTACACATACCTTCATACATATAATATTATGTAATAATAAACGATAGCATAATTGCCAGAACAAATAAATAAATCAATTTTTATACAGCAAATATTTCTTACATGCCTGACTAGGCGATCATAACAGAAATGATGACGAGCACATCAATGCTTCTTTCACATCAAACATAATATGTGAAGACTCTTTCAATTTCAGAGAAAGTAAATACATTTGTATCACGATAGTTTAATATGGAATACCAAGAAATATAGAATTAAAAAAGACAAAAGTCTCATACACTGTACGTAGAGCAGCAGGGGTAAATTTGGTCCAGATGTTTACAGGATTTCATTTGAAATCAATATAACGACAGTGCTATATATAAATCTTGATGTATCTTGGCAAGTGTAGAAGTCTTTTTTTAAACAATTCAGAATAATTGAGGTGGAATGGTATGATGTAACATCCAATTTATCTTCTCTTTTAGTTTTCACATTTCGCAAGACCTGACCCAGAAACCGAGACCAAATGAGATCTGTCCCTTTCTACTCTTGCGACATCCGTCTTTGGAAATTCCCCGAGACGCTTCATAGAGAAGAATGATAAACCTGCTATGCTTCGCCCCCATTCTAAACTGACCGCCCATCTTTTAATCATGGCAGATATGTATGGTTGATTACGGTATACACACACAGCTCAAAAGATGCCGTGTGCTCTGCCAGACAAACAGCTTCACTGCAATTGGTGACTTTCACGGTCAACAACCGTCTTCGAGAATTCCCCGGTTTATTTCGGTCAGCAACACTCCCACTTCTAAACTGAATGTCAATTTTCGATTTATTAATAGTGTAGACACTTTACTCACTACTCACACCATGATATTCTCTACCAAAGGACACGCGCCCCTATCTTGGCTCCAATTATTCACTTTCGATGTCAACATCCGCTGTGGGAAATACCCAAGTATATATTCAAGAACGACGCACCATTTTTGCTCCATCCCCATTCTAAACTGCCTGCCCATTCTTTAAAAATTTGAGCAAGCATATGCAATTACTCTACCACACAAAAAGTGCCCCCCCCCCGAACTTGGTTGCAATTAGCATCTTTTACTGTCAAAATCCGCCTCTGAAAATAGCCAGGAATATATCCACGAACATACCCTTTTTGCTCCACCCCCATTCTAAACTGCCTGCCCATTCTTTTGTCTTGATCAGGCATATGCATTACTCTATCAAACAATTTTGTTTCCCTTTTTCACTATCGACAACCGCCTTTTGCTTTGGGCAGGCGTTCAATGCGTGACTACTTCTGCACGACTTGAATCATGCTGTGCAATACCAAGCACAAATTACGCCCCCATCTTAGCGCCACTTTGTGACCTTTGTCATTAACGTAATGAATTTTTATACCTTGCATATTCACAACTCACGTGATGCTTTATGCACGAGTATGCCCCAGACTTTACTTCAAATCATAACTATGTCATAGCTATGATTATACCGTAATCATTTATAGCTCAATTAATGCTCTCTTTGCCTTATTTGGTCATTTCGCAATGAACAGGATATGATTTCCAAACTCGCACAATGTTTTTGTGCATTGATAATGATAGAACGCCCCCTTTATAAGTTTTGATTACTCACTTCTCCATAAATATAACACCACAATTACATTCATGTTACTTTCAAGACATGCGCATTGATATAACGCATGCGAAATCAATCACGCCATGCGCATTTACCCCTCACACGATGCTTTGCGCATCAAGGCGACACCCCCTTTTCTATCATTCCGTCAGTAACTTCCCCACTGACATTGTACCAATAACACATTGCGTCATTGCCACTGATGGGCTGTTTCATGTAGACAACTTACCCTTCTCCCGGCGTGAACATGACCATGTACCATTCATGAAATGGTGAGCTGAGATAATAATAATTGGATAGAAATCTGTTTTCACAACTTCTCCATTGAGCGATATTCATTACATCATGCCATAGTGCTTCTCACATGTTTACAAGCACTTCATGAAAACATCCCCTTTACCAAAGCCTTAATTAGTATTTTAGTATTAAGTAATCATGTCATAGACGTAAATAATTACATGTAATCTTGTGAGTTTATTGTTAAACTGGAATACAACCAAGTGAAAATTGGGTATGTAACATTCCCATCATTCTATAAGCAACATAAGTAAACCATGATGGAATGTTATATGATTGAAACATAAACACCTTGGAAGGTACGTAGCATAAAATCAAACTACGAGCATGTAACCTGAGAACCAATCAGCAAAGTATGGAAAGTTACTAACACAATGACAACGTAACAGACTTCTAAACAAAAGCATGTCTTTCACTTTCCAAACTCTTGTTACCTGCTGTAAACATGATTATTCTCTGCGTGTTTCCTTCCGACTTGGTTATTTTCCTGAAGCATGTCCTCTTGTTCCTGACTCTCAAGTTGCGCAATGTGTTCACTCTTTCACTGCCTCCTTGCATTGCTAGTGGAGCATTCAACATTGAGGGAATCAAGCGTCTTTTTAACATAGCCTTGAGTAGGTGTTTCGTAGGTGCTAAGTCAGGCAACACAATAACTCAAGTAACCCAAGGTTGACCCATGCTCCTTAAATAACGAGGATTAATTTGGGAGCATGATATGCTGGTGTCGACCTGCCTATTTAGTTTTGACATAAGTTTTTAGAAACATTGCTCTAATAAAATAGCATTTATGATCAAACTCTGATTAAAAAGTGCTTTGAGGTTGCTAGCTCAGGCAAAGCCTTAAGTCAAGTGTTTCATATGTCAACTCAAACTTGACACCAAATGGTGTGAGATTAGTTTTTGAAGCGTGTCATAATGGTGTCAACCTGCCTCGTCACATATTGACTAGCCGGTGCTATGAAGGTGTCGGTGAAGTCATGCCATCTATTCGCAGTCCACGCTTTCGATGGCTCGTACAACACATACCTGACCTCCTCTACGAGCCACAGGTCTTGGAGAGGTTGGACAATCGGAAGGTCCGTTTCAAAGAGAACAAAGACAATCAGAATGCTGGTAATGAGAGTAAGGAGGATGAGGAGGATGAGGGAGTATGTGTTGGCCAGGGGGGCGTCGCTGTCCTTGGGGTTGGCGGATGACTTAGCCAAAGCTTCCGTTGCCTCAGCGAGGATGCTCTCCATGTGGTGGTTGCTTTCCATCTGGAACGCCGCAGGAGATGTAGAGGGCGCTTTACTCTCGCAGACTCCTCCGTTCCTCTCCTCAGCCATCACCTCCTCTTCCTCTACCACATCAGGGAGTGGGTCGCGGGCATGGCCATCAACCGTTGTCAGGGAGATTGGGGCGGCGACTGCCGGGGGCTGGGTGTCCGTACTGCTCGTCTCATCCTCACCATCGGATGTTGCCAGAGTGAACATCGGGAGATAGTTGTCAGAGTCCCTCTGGGGTGTTGAATGGTTCTGGTTTGCCAGATGTGTAGAGAAACCTTTGGGAAGGTTAAACATTTGAAAAGCATATAAAGGATTTCATTTAATTCTTTGATTTAATGGTTATTCATTTAAATAATACATGTAGTTTTCAAACCAAAGTCCAAAATTTATCGAAGCAGTCACTCACCACAACATTGTTATTAAACTAAGATGATGAATATATATATTTTTTTTTCATTTTCTTTTCCCAACATTTATTGAAGCAGGCAGTTTCTTTACGATAAAATATAAATTACTGTGGAGTAAAATGTAAGGAAATGAAAAAAGAATAACAAAAAATAAATAAATAAATAAAATAAACTTGAACTGAAAAAGAGAAATAAAAATAAGTACGGTAATAAGGAAATAATACCGAAAAATAATGTGGAGGGATAGAGGGATGGAGTATTACAGATAAAGAGAAGAGTGGAAATGTAGGGCTAAAGAGAGAGAGAGAGAGAAAGAAAAAAAGAAATTGAAAGATAGAAAATAGAGAAAGAAACAAGGAAGAAAGATAACGGGATACATTGTATAAGGATATAATTCACAAAGACAACGAAACTGAAAGAGAAAGGGAGAAAGAGGGTACGGGGGGGGGGGGGGGGGTAAAGAAACGGAAGGAGGGAATATATATGGAATGGTAGACATAACGTCAAATGCAAAACATTTGTTGACATACCTTCAAATGTACTTGCATCACTGATTGGTCTGAGGCTGTTTATCTGCAATGATCGTCTGGGTCTTATCAGTGGGGGACTCCTGTTTAACAGATTGAAATTAAAAAACAAAGAAAAAGATACATAGAGGCACAATCATTTATAAAAACTTAAAACAACAAAATTGTATGTGAGTGAGCAAGGTCTGCATTTCATATTCTTTAAGAACTGAAATATGAGGCAACAATCACCTTACTTTAAACATTTGACAACTGATACTGGGGAATAACATTCTGATTTCAATTTTGTGTACGAGTAAGGCATCTATCAGCATTTGCACTCAACAAAGTCTAGACAACCTAAATATAGAAACTGGTTTATATTATAATGCATTACAATTTAGGTAACAAAGACTCATAATCAATAAATTAAAAACTTAGGGTTTACGCAATACATAATTCCTAGAATGCTAAAAAAAAAAATTCAAAGACCAAGTTGAGTCTGCTTTGCGTCAAATTAATACCTTCCTGAAGATACATAAACATTATTGGCATCTACATGTATATGACCGGTAATTCATTGTGTGGTATAATGAAAAACAAGTATGAAGAAGCACTTGAGAACATATCTCTTTTACAGTTCACTTACATGATTGGGGGAATCCCCACATTTCATATACCACAACAACTGTATATATCTAAGGGAATGCCCATGTCAAAACAATGCCTTGTAAAATCCAGGTACACATGCTTTACATCCTGATTCCTTTTAAATACATGTTTAATATGTCAAGTGCAAAAGATGAAAGTTAATATCTTTTCAAATCCCCAACATATTTTTGATATTTCTATAAACCACCAAAAAAGAAGGCTGGGCAACATTTATTCCAAGTGTTCTATTAGTTTTTCCTGACATAAACTACTCTAATTAAACAAATGCATCATACAGAAATCACATCAAATTATATGGATATGATTTCCACATATTGCTTACAAATGTTCAACAAATTTTAACAAGACACTTCTACTCATTGTATACCTGATACGAAAAAATAACAAACTTGGCAGGATATACATAGCTTTTTCCCCATATACAGTACGGTATTCACTTCCGACAAACAAAACAAGGAAAGAACATTAAGGTTGATATCGCACAGAAACAGTTTCACTTTAGTAATGATTCACAGTTTTGTGCTATTTAAAGGCTTCCATTTCCTTTTTCAACATAACTTTCATCATTTTAAGACAAAAGATTCCATCAAATGCTCAAAAAGGATTGTAATGCTGCTATATGAAATTATGATTATATTTTTGCTGTAAAATATTGTGTTTAGTCTTTTTAATTAAACATTGAATCTGATCAAACATTGAATCCAGTACAAGATTGACTTCGCTCAAATTGACACGCTATTAGTTGAAATACAAAATGTGTAGATTTGGTCAGTAGATGGCGCTAGATCTATTTCAGCTCCCTAGAAGTTCAGAAATAAATTTATACATGTATGACTGGCCAACACAGGAACATCTAATACATGTATCTGATCTACAAGATATACACATGCAAATAAAAACTTGGATATTACCCTCATGAATCTTACCTTTTTTTAACATAGACATTTTGTGTGTTGGACATAATGGGAAAGTTGTCCGCCACTACATCACAGAGAAATTATGGATTCAGCCAATTTAAAGAGCCCATACTTACAGTGACTGCAACTTTCAAAAATACATACCGGTACCCTTCTTATTTGTTGTCCAATTTCACTCAAACTTTCACCAGTCTACATCTCTGATTTTGTCTGCCTACCTCTCGAGTAGTTTGCCATCAATGTTGGTTTATTCATAATTAGTGCATATTCTTGTATTCATAATTAGAGTAAATACTGTGAATAATAGTTTGAATTGATCCTACCTTGCCACTGTAGGCTCCTTCCTCTCTAAGTGAGTGCTGTGTTCCAACGCTTCTTTCTGGGTTGTACCACTGCATAGAGAGAGATGAGATGCGAAAAGTTATATACATTAAACAGTCAAAATTGATCACCTGTATGAAAAGGGTCAATTCAGAAATTGATTCCCCCTCCCCATCCCCCCCCCCCCCCCATATTTTGATGTTTGGTGTGTTGTGTTCAACCATAGAACAATTTCTTGTCAGACCATATATAGATACAGTAAATGTATTCATTTTATTAATCTCTTGCAAAAAAACAAAAAAATGAAATTAACAGTTGGTTGCACTGAATGACACTGTCCTTTAAAGCTTTGATATGAATAACTGCAAACAAGTATCATAGTCTTTTTTTCAGTAAAAAATATTCATGTATTCTGTATCCTTTTATGTTCATGTTTTTTTTTTTTTTTTAACTGAAAAAAGGTATTCAATTTGCATACATGCAGGAGCCAATACTGGTTTCTTCCTAGGAGAAATACAAATTAGAACATAATGGCTACTTACTGTATTTCCTACCTGAATGAAAACCTAATAGAAATGCTCCATGGCAATTGATAATGTCTTATCAATGTGACAAAGGTTTTGTAAAACCAAAAACATAATTTACAACTGTGTTAATGATTATATAAAAGGCCTCCTGTTTGAGTCTTAACCTTCCTCTCTGGCTTGGTTCCAAATGTTGAAAATAGGAGCAAAGGGGTTTGTGTACAAATATTTTACAATGACGTAGAAGTCCAAGAAAAGTATCTGTAGTTGAACCATCACACCATGTTCAATAAATATACTTTCAGTAAGTATACAGTACCTATCCCGATGCCTGCCCTTCCCATTCTAGAAGCGTATGTCCATATTTAATTGGGTAAATTGTGGTGGACTTTTCTTTTTTCAACATGTAAAGGAATGGCAGGTGGGGGTCAGGACAAAGTATCTATGCATAACATACAGAGGTCCTTAGCATGTACACTATCCGTGTGGTATAAGATACAGAAATGTGTAGCACACTGCACCTCTCTTGGAGTTTACCATGCCATATGAGAACATGTATCAGGACAATTACCCCCTAGGACAATTACCCCCCCCCCCCCCCCTAAAGGGGAAGTGTACCCTGATAATAAGTTGGTTAAATAAAGCAGATTTTGGGGTTCTTTTTGTTGGGGGGGGGGGGGGGAGGGGGTAATTGTTCAAGGGGGTAATTTTCAGGGGATTGTCATCGGAGGTTAATGGTCCAAGGGTATACATTTCCGGGTAATTGTCCTTTTGGGGGTAATTGTTCCTCTAACAATTGGCTGGGGGTGATTGTCCGGGGGGTAATTATTCTAGAACCATTGGAACATTAAAGATTTTTTTTTAAAGGGGGAAGGGGGGGGGGGGGGGTCCTGTAGCCTACTCCAGCAGAGACATAATTTGTTCCTACCTAAAGCTGAATCTGTTTCTCCTCAGAAAACTGTTCGTCCTCTTCAATCCCTTAGTCACTCTGCTCCTGTATAAAACAAATAATCATTTTTAAAATACATTAAATGCATGTATGAATATAATTGGCAAACAGGCAAGAACTTGTTACCATTATCCCACGGTGTGAAAAAAACTCTTTCAAATTCTGTGCAACTCTGTCAGTATTAAAGATACAGTAATTAAGCATTAAACACTGTTTAGAGAGAATGCTAATTTGGGGTAAAGGTGAAAAATAATTGGTGAGCTTTCTCTTTTTGTATACCGGTACATGTAAATGTCACCCCAAAACGATTGCTCCTCTAATTCGAAATATGATGAGAAAGAGTTAAAAAGTTTGAACCCAACTTTCACGTCACATGTATACATAGTCCCATAAACCCATTTCTGTGTGCAGTGCATGAAGTTTTCTGCAAGATTGAGCCAATTGCTTCTCATTTTGGTGATTCCAAAATGTGCAATATATACATTCGTTCTTATGTACTGAATAATCAAATTTTTCCATTTATATACTAAAAGTTTCTTTCACAAAGTAGTTGCATGATAAGAACCCGAGACATTAAACATGAATCCATTAGAAGTCAAATTCACTATCAGTTTGTTTCAACTGAATCAAGAAAAATAAGCTCATAATTCCAAAAGCTAGATGAGCTTCAATTTTGCATTTTGGCTGCATCACTTACTGGTAGAATCCTTGGTTCTCAATGGCACATTTCCATAAATGTTCAGCTGCAGCATCAGTACTCAAGAAATACCGGTGGTTGACTTTCTTCTGCAAATATAAATGTAGAAAATTATTTAAAAGAGTTATAATGGTTACAATGTATCTGTGATTGTATCAATGAACATTTTGTGAAATATGATGCCCTTCTTTACTGATTACAGAAAATTGCACCTTTGTGGGACAAATGTGTTGAAAAATACAATCTGTAGTATGATTTATATTTCCTCCTATTTTTTACAGGTATACAGCTATGTAAATCCCATTTAAAAAAAACATTAATTTACTTCTTAGATGACAAGATAACTTGAATGTAAGAACATATCTCAAAGAGTAGCAACTTATTAATTTGTTTGTATCGATTAAAAAAGAACAATAGGAGGGAGGGGGGAATTAAAGCTATAGGACCTCTTCCATGTGGCCTAGAGGTGAATGCCAATCTAAAAACAGTCTAAAATGATATTTATAGGTTAAAATATATGTATATTTTGTTCTGTTTTTTGCATTTCTCTGAGAAATAATCAGATTGTACACAAGAAGTATTGTTATTTTTTTTTTCTTCAAATTTTTGTTTGCTTGAATGATTGAATCACTGAGAATTAATTTTGTACCCAAAATTCAAAATTTTACTTCAATACAACTCAGTTCCAACTCTTCCTTTATTTAAACCAGAAGCATGTCTCATTGACAAAGAAAGATGTTTAAAGTCTGACCTCATTGAAGACGGCATGTATGATGAGAGCTCGGCCATCTTGGGAGAACTTCCTGATTGTATCCCATTTGAAGGTCTCAGCTAGCATGCTACCACGGAACAGAAGTACTCCACGTAACGTCAGGCCAAGGTATAACTGGGTTCCATACATGTCCTGTTTAACATCAATAAACATAACAATGTTGTCAATATCTATTCGGCACACTCCTAGCAAAACAAATACATGCTAGTACATGCAGCACATCAACCAGTGGATCTATGTATAGCTTTAAGTTGTATTGGAGGGACTTGGTAATCAAGGATTAATGAGTTACAAAAAGTAATACCATATTAACTGGGATTTGAACCCAGGACCTGCCTATTAGGAGATCGCTACTGTACCACTGAACTTTCACACCTCCTGATGAGTATACTTTCATCATAAATGAAGCTAAGATATACGTATTTGATAAATTTACTTTCATGATGGGTAGATTAACTAGATTTTAGTATTTTCGACAATAAATGTTTGTTTTTATCATTTAGATTTGACGAGATTAATAAATCATTTCATTCATCAAGGCCTGACTCCAAGATGTTGTACTTACATGTCCATAATGTACTTTAACATTAACACACAATGGATGGCACATCACAGAAACAAACAACTGTCAATCATGTGTGTACTACTAAATTAATATTAAAGGGGTCCGGGTATGACCAAGCTAGGCAGTGTAACATCCAACTAGAAGGCACTATGAACATCACTGACAAAGAAAGCGGACAAAATATACAGTTCCTCAGGTAGACAAAGGAACATCCCTTCACTGCTATTATGTAAAAAAGTGAAAACGCATGTGACACCTGTTCTACACATTTTTACATAATATCAGTGAAGGGATGTTCCATTGTCTACCTGAGGAACTGTATATTTTGTCCGCTTTCTTTGTCAGTCATGTTCATAGTGAGGTCTGCATCTTGAAAGGGACTAGAAAAAAATAGTATTTTATCCTACTTTTATTTTTCATTGATATTTCATTTATTCTAACTATTTTCCTCACTGGAACAATTCATTAGTACAACAGCCTTTAAACTTGGCTGTTCCAGGCCGACATCATGATTAAATGTAACCTTGCATTATTAGTTAATTAAATAGTTCCTTCCTCAAACTTAAATTCTGTAAATTTCGGGCTTGAACTTTATGTCAGTGGGTGCAACAATTTAGGTAATAAAAATTTCAATTATTTCCTAAAAGCTTGCCAAAACTTGACCTATTTTTAGTTTGCTTACCCGAACTAAATGAGGGTCTACTCCATACGTATCAAGCTTGTGAGCTGTCTCTATGAACTTGAATTCAGCTTGTGGTGGCGTCATACCACTGTAAATAAAACAACAATATTCAGTTAAACCACCATAAACAAACTTTAATTAAAGATTAGACAAATATATATTGTGCACAAGTACATGTATGCACAAATATTGTTGAACATAATTAAATGGAAAACCGAATGATGGATGGCAGCTATTTCATACAACACCTTATTGTGTTGTCAGTGGCTAATACAACCACTTAAATTTCATTCATATTTAAATGAAGTAATTGATAACAAAGTAGTACTGATACAAGCTCTATCAGGTATATTAAAGCTTCAATGGAAGTTAATAGTTCATCTATTTAAATGAAGTGATTGATGGCAGGGGGGCATCAATGGAAACTACAATAATTGCATACTTTGCCATTACAATACAACTGCTACCATGTAAGAGGTTGTATTGTTAACTTGCCTCAAACCTTTTATCATAAATCACCTAAGAATTTCACTGTCACAAAAGAGGGTTTTTGTTGTTGTTGTTATGATGGAAAATTATAAGTCAATTTGTTCTTTATATCACTAAATCTAGTACAGCTGTACACCCATCTAATGCAATGAATTCTTACAATATGCATCTATAAAGTTTTAGTTGGTGACACATCAGGGGAAAAATTAACATTTATTTTTGGGGGGCTACTTTTCAACCTTGCCTGCATGAAAATAAAATTCTAAAATTTGTTTAGCATTGAACTCTATGCACATTTTTGGGGGCTCTTTTGGGCATTTCGGGGGATATTTCGCCCTGAGTCCCCATGTATTTTTTTCACTGTTACACATAGTAAAACCAAGCAGTAATACATATTGTATCGTACATAGAACAGGCAAATACAAAATAATAAAACAATAAGAAATAATTCTAACAGAAGTGACAAGGAGAATACAATCAAATGGGGATATCGTTGCTCGTCAAAAAGCTATCCCAAAACAATTGTAAAGGGGGAGGGGTAACAAATTGCACCAAACTGTGCCTCATCCATAGTAAAACCTTACCCGAGGTCTGACTGATGTAGCTCTTCTATCCTGATCTGTAGTTTCTCTGATTGTTTAGGAAACATGGTGAAGTAGGAGACGTAGCCTGGCAGGTGTTCTTCAGGGTTGTAATCTTCCAGGTTAGCTGTCAAAGAAAAATATTTAAAAATCATTATAGAAATTGAGTAATTCATACTTTCTTTGTTTCTACAGTTAAAACACTAAAACTGCCATTGGTCTCTGTAACTTTTTTTTTTGGGGGGGGGGGGGGGGGACGGTATGAAAAGGGAGTTGCGAAATCATCATGAGGATCAAAATTGGAAGAAAATGGATGTTACACAGTAAAAAATGATCACATTTTTGCAAAAATATTTTAACAAATTTAAAATTAGATAACAGATGTCTTGCTTAAAGGTAATACAAAGTTTGGGGAAATTTTGAGAATTAGGTGGATACTGATTCTTTACACTTTTGATATATTTGGATGCCGATGTAGATGTATTATAAGCACTAGAAAAATTAGCCCCTGAAACACTTCTGTTTTCGAGAAATATTGAATATAAAAATTTACCGGTGCTCCCGGTAAATTTTGATAAATTTCAATTAGCGCCTACTGCCTTACAATGGTAGCTGCGACCATGAAAATCTCAGAATAAGTAGATGTGATATATAATTTCCAAACAGGAATAGCTAATCGATCAATTTTAGTCAAGAAACATTGTTGTATAGCTTAATTAATATCTTGACCTTGAGAGGGAGCTATACAACATAACAAGTGTATTATTTACAATTTCATAACTTTAAACTCGATTTCAACTGCGACAACTATCAGTGAATATTGTAGGATCGCATATAAGCTTCCAATATGTTCATTTGAACCAAATTCATAACCCCATACCAAAACTTTGTATTACCTTAAATATCTTCATGTTTAACACATCCGATGAAAGAATGCCCTGTAACATAATGTTTGATAATACTACCGTCTCAAAGAGAAAATAGTGGAATACTGTACATTACATAGTTTTCCATTCATTTTGTATAAAAAACACCACAAACATACATGTAAAAGTCCATGGCATCAGGTCACAAAAGGTCAGATGATTCTTTCAGTTTTCTTTAATAGCTGTGATTAAGGACAGCTGTTGCTCTTATATCTGGTTTATTACTCAGACTGATTGTCTGTGGCTTTTGACCTTCACAACTAATTCTTTGATCCAACCTACAAAGGTATACACATGTAGTATATAGATGTATTGCAAAGAAGCTTGTACTAATATGTAACTGATTAGGGACTGATCACAATTTGTACAAGAAATATCAAACTTTGCATTTTTGCTTTGACATGGTGTGAGAGTGTCAAGTTTATTTCAAGCAATACTGTTCATTGACTTTGGTTTTAAACACGAAACCCATTTCCTAGGGGGACAACTAGATGGATTGTGTATTTAAAGCATAACCCTAAGGAATGACAGAATTCAAAAATCAAGAGGTTAACACTTACACTGCACAATGCAAGCACCCAAGAGAGCCTCTTCTTGAAAGGAACACACAATGCGGCCATGAAGAAGGTCTCGTTTGAGCTGCTGGAATAACTGAAAGCGAGTGATTTCCTCCTTTAATGAATAAGGGTCTACTGGGTAGAACTTCACCCTGAAGACCACTCTGTAGGGTGGGCCTGTCCCTGAAAGGAAGAAAAAATGGGGTGAAAGAGATATGAAATTATAATGATAATGATAATTATCTGGATTTATATTGCGCTAAATATGAGGTATCGTCATCGGATTAATTCTCACACAATGTGCACCACCTCCACTCCCTGCCGAGTATTCCTACCACATTGTATTATAACTAATCTCTACAAAATTCAGAATATGACAATGAGAATACTAAGTCAAATGTGACAGCATTTTATAAAAGATTCTCACACAATGTGCACCACCTCCACTCCCTGCCGAGTATTCCTACCACATTGTATTATAACTAATCTCTACAAAATTCAGAATATGACAATGAGAATACTAAGTCAAATGTGACAGCATAAAAGATTGAATTGTACCAACTTAACTGTATTGCTAATACATGTACTGGGCATTAGTCATTATATGAACGTGCTTCTTGGATTAAAGCAGATATCCCCTTAATCTATCCATTCATTACAGGATTAATCAAGCTTAATCCCATATCAGTCCTATCTTTACAACAATGGCACAGAGGTTTTTTTATAAAGAGAGTCATTTCAATAGAAAAGCCGTAGTCTAGCTAACTGGGGATAGTTTAATAAAGGAAAATCCACCCCAATATCATATCTATTCAAAAGTATTTAAACTTGTACATATAAAGGTCATAATGGAGTGGTCTTTATACAGAGGTTTCACTGTGCATACAGTCACTTCACACTCACCTTTCAGTTGCTTGAGTGCATTCTTCTTGCAGTCTAGCCAATGCTAAGAAGGAAGAAATAACAAGAAGAAGAAAAAATCATCATTACACATGTATGTTGAGGAAAATCATGAGTGCACAATGAAAATATTTCCTTGTTTATCTCTTATATAACATGGGGTTGTATTATTCTTGCATACATGTAGCTTTCATTTAGGATATTTTCCAAACAAAAACATATTCTTGTTAATATTCACATATAAATTGTCTCACTACAATGTACCGATTCATGTGCCATACACATACATGTATCTGCTACAGTTTCTAGTATAATTTATATCACTGTGATTTTACAATAAATCCCTTTTCAATTGTTATTATTTTTTTCCCTTGAACATGTTGCAGGCAATCACCTCCAAAATTCATATATATGCCTATATTTATGTAATGCCTACTCAGTACTGGTATCACTTTCTGTAGACTTGCAAGTCATTCTTTCTCAAAATTTACATATTTGTTCTACTACACCTGACCTCCCTTTCTCTCCATAGGTTCATATCTTTCTACACACTCTCCCTTATCACAGATTAGCATGAGTCACAGTCAACATTATATCACACATGACCCTCCCTAATTAACCACACTTTTGGTAGCTATATTCATACGGGACTTTTGGAGTTAAAACTACACGGTTTTAAACTAGCGAAACCTCCAAGTTTTAAATAACCTATTTTCAACAGCTTGGTTTTCACAATTTTAAACTACATGTACAAGCCGAGCAGGGATATGTGAGTTTCACATATTATCCCTGAGCCGAGCAAGCATTTGCTTTAACTATATGTACAACAGACTGGCCAAAACCTTGGAGCTAATAATATTGCGTACACAGCTACCCAGCTAGCATACACTGTAACTGGAAGATATTTATATGAAAGTCATCAATTTTTATTAAAAGGGGCATACAGAATGGATAACAATATTGTATACAAAACATTGTATTTGAAAAGATTAGTTGACATGACAGCTAGCCAATTAATATTGCATGTTAACAATGAGCCCATCTCAAAGTTGATTGAATTGAAACCACAAGCTAAGCTACAGACTCTTGTATGAACCTACATGTAGATGTCAGTAACAACTAACAACATCACCAGATCAAGTCTCATCACCCAGCCTTACATCCTGCAATATGGGCTGGGCACATTACCAGGAGTTGATGACAGTTTAACAATTCTGAAGTCTCATGATTTGGTGTTTTCAACATTCCAGTGATATACATTGTAACATGGACATTGAGACCATGGAAATCTTTATCCTGTGATGTCAGGGTACAACAACAAAATCATATAGAGAGCTACTTTACATGTAGGACCAGCAGCATTGTTACATCACATTTCTCATGATATAAGAATAATGAGATTCCACTGTATTCATCACATTAGTACCCATCTCTTGCTCTTGTAAAACTACACTGCAATACACTAGTGTAAATGACTTTTTGTGCAAATGATTTTTTTCCCCCTTTTATTTAAAAGTTTAAGTTGTCAATGGCCTGCTTCAGATAAACTATTTTGCAGCTAAAAGATAAAATAACAAACAAATGGGACATTGAACAGCTACACCATGTAGATACATGTACATGTATGTAGTGTAAATGTTGGGTCTACTCTTAAGCCAAGTTCAAGGAGGTCACCTGATTCATCTCACAACTCCAAAATATCTGTCAAGTGTGACTTTCATTTAAACACAGAACAAACTGACAAAAATTATGTTATTACAGCTATACATGGTATTCTTTGAGAAAGAAATAATAATCCCAAATGGAACTGATTGTCTCAGTGGTAACTTTTATCATATCATTTTAATATCAACAAATAATGAATAATAATACCTCCCATTGAATTTTGTATATAAACAATCCATTAAAAATTGTCTCATTGCCAAGTTGCATATACCACCAAGTCTACCAAACAGACATTTTAAATTGAGTCTTCTACACTTCAAAATATTACCAGTATTTAAACAAATATATAAATCTGATACCCAAAGTTGATTAGCTCTATGTAGCAATTAGCATGTCAACTGTTGATTTTGTGAAATGACTAATATCCAGACAATTACGTAACTGTATATGCTTCCAATACTGTTGGAGAGTGTCAATTTATTACAAGTACATGTGCAGTACAAGTATTCAAACATGTGGGCCCGAATTCACAAAGGAGGTTTGTCGACAAACCTTGGTTTTCGTACGTCATATGACGCGTTTTACGCGTTTTTTACAAACCTGGTTTGTAAAGAACAAAAGGAGGTTTGGCGAAACAAAAGGAGGTTTGAGCTCAAACCTTGCTTTGTGAATTCGGGCCGTGAGGTTCTAAGAATAGTAGCTGAACCTGTTTCATCTTGCCACATTAGGCCTGTCTTCACTAGCTCCAGATTGCCAAATATCCCGCTATTTGAACTATCCTGATCGCAAACTATCCAGCTAATTTGCGTCTTCATCAGCCCGAAGTTGCAACTAGCGGGATATTTGGTCGAGATAATCATCCCAAGATATCTTGGGCTAGTTTGCAAAATATCCCGCTATTTGTCCGGTGCGTTTTCACCAGACAGAAGACTCACACTATGTGCGAACGCTGAGCAAAATATCTCGAGCTAATTTCTCAAGGTCGAATTTCAATTTTCGAGGTCAAATCTCGAGCTGATGAAGATGCGATTTGTAACTTCAGGATTATTTCCCAAATCAGAAATAGCTTGCTATTTGGCAATCTCGAGACTCAAGCTGATGAGAACAGGCCTACACAGTGAGTATTCAAACGTGTGATGTTCTAAGAATAGTAGCTGAACCACCTGTATCATCTTACCACACTGAATGTGTGAAAGCCCTAATGTTCATTACCCACAAAGAAACACAAGTGTTTCAGTTACTCACTGTGGTGTACACAGAACCAGTGAGTATTAATAGAATTTAAAGGGTAATCAATTTGCTTTAAACATTCCACGATCAAAATGTAGGAAAATGAGATGAATTCAGTGATCTAACATACATGTATAACTTTTAAAAAAATAATAATCTTACTCTTTGCCCATTTTGGTGGTTAAATTTATACCATTCCGTTTGTCCATTTTTTTCTGTTTCCAACAGAGGCCCAAAGAAACATTTTATAAAGGTTTATATCCCCTTTAAGAGTCAAGCAAAGTTCACTTCATATTAGTTGATGAATCACATCCTAAACCATTTAATACTTTATGAATCTTAAAAAATACCAAATGTGTGTGTATGAGGGGGAGGGGCAGATAGTCTTATTTGTTTGCTTCTTTTTCTTTTGGTGTGATAGTGTTATTTTTTGTATACCGGTACCGTAAATGTTGTCCTGTTATTTTCATTGTTTTTAAAGGAAAAATAGAAATATCTTGCAATCTAGATAAATCTGCATCAAGGTTATTCCCCAAATACTGTATTGTGTGAAAGACATGCAATTGCTGTGTATACTCGTCCATAACATTCACCTAATGTAGAAATTATTATCACCCCAAGGTCATACAGTGTAAATCAATAGAAATCTTATCTATACAGGAAGACAGTTTAAGATTGTTTTACCTTGAATGGATAATAAATTAGGACTTTTTTTTTTCTTCAATCATACACTATTCTACTCTGTCTGACCATACACTGTAGGTGAAAACAAATGTTTCAACTAGCCTTTTCAGGTGTCTTGTGGCGATTCATGCTAATTTGTGGAGAAATAATCCTAAATGTTCAATAACAATGTACTGTTAACCTTTGTAACAACTCAAAAACAGAGAAGGAAAGCAATAGATTACAGTTGAAAGAAATTGAACAAATAATCAGAAGGCTTGAAAGCTCAAATTATGAAATTTACACTGTATGCGACTCCTTAGCTGTCGATGCGGTCATATTGTAAGACTGCAAAATAACTGGGAAAACATCCATTATCAAGCAGTAAGCCATTTAACCCCATAACATTTCCCTAGCAATAAAATACTAACATATAACATTCTGTCATTGTGCGTCATAAGAGCAAACAAATCATTATTCAACATTGCATTTGGATAAAAAAATTACAACATTCTTTTACATGAATACCTGTATATGCAAAAGAAAATGAGAGAATACTGGTTGCTTAAATCAAAGTTCCCCATTGCTGTCCTCCTTTTTGGAAATTTTTGCAAAGGTTGAACAAAATTTCTCCGCCGGGTAACGAACCCGAACTTATAACACCAATGCCTTGACCATGGATATGGGCCAGTGGCTTGGGCAACATTAAAATTTCCAAAAGGGAGGACAGCAAAGGGAAATATTGATCGAAGCTACAACCATTAATTATACTCTCATTTCCTTTCGCATTGTATTTATTTCCAATTAGAGTTGCCACTTGCCAGGTTGTTGTTGTATCAGCTTATTTCCTTACACTTACGGTATGTATTTTTATCTACGGTAAACACTGTAAATTGGTTTCAGTTTCAAAAGTTCATATAAACCGGGTGTGCAGTGTCAAGATCTTGCACAATTTTGCAAGCAATGTGATTATAATCACTAAGGCTTTGATAAGAGATACACGTACTTGAGATTATGGTATTTGGTTTAGCGGTCTGGTCATGCACTGGAAAAGTAATGGGGATTGCCGCAGATTACTTGTACAGTAAGTCAGTCAAATCAATATGTCAAATATAAAGGTCATAAAGTAGACATAACAACGACTTCAAAGTTCATTGCGACATAAAAAGTATCCATGTTTATCACTACTACTGGAGCAAACCTTACATGTAGGTATTTCCCTCTAATGCTGCACTTGTAATTGTGCATAGGTACATGAACATGTTCATGTTAGTTTGCTCTAAGCTTTTAAAGAGAAAAGTGATTTGGAGAAGAAAAAAATGTTGACGTTACTAGATAGATTAATGAAATAAAATACATTAATGTAGGTCTATTTGAACAATAGTTTGATGTACATTGTATACAGTTTTGACCACCTGTATAGAAATACCACCTGTCTACAGAGCTAGACCACATTTTTTGTTTCCCTTAAAAATGGTTTCTCATTGGGCCTGTCTGCACTATCTCGAGATTGCCAAATATCCAGCTATTTGAACTATCCCGATCGCAAACTATCCAGCTAATTTGCGTCTTCATTAGAACGAAGTAGCAAATTAGCTGGATAGTTGGTCGGGATAATATCCCAAGATATCTCAGTCTAGTTTGCGGTTTTTTGTGCTTACTCGAGGTCAGTGGTTGTACTAGCGCGCTGAGCGGTATAGATCGCATGTGCGAACCGGAAATCGTTGTGCATGATGGGATCGGGATATTTGACTCCGGACTTCGGTCTAATGAAGACGGTCGCAAACTATCCCGCTAGTTCGGAAATAGTGGGATATTTTGCAAACTAGACCGAGATATCTTGGGATATTATCCCGACCAACTATCCAGCTAATTTGCTACTTCGTTCTAATGAAGACGCAAATAGCTGGATAGTTTGCGATCGGGATAGTGAAGACGGGCCTAATGAAACAGGTTTTTTAAGGAACCTGTATATAAAGACCACCTACCTATAAAGACCACTTTTCTTGTCTCCCTTGGGTGGTCTTCAGATGGGTTTCAATGCTGGAAAGAATGTACTGTACATGACACAATAAAGTATCACTGAATGCAAAACGGTGCAAGAGTCAAGACTGTTGTCTCTCATTGCTCTGTGGCCAAATTGAAAACATGATTTTTGTAGGTTGAATCAAGAGTTCTCTTTGGGAACTCTCAATCGAATTGTGATTGTTGCCCTCTCTTACCCTCTGTTTGTGTTGGTCGACATAGCGCAGTCCAAAATACTCCCTTTCAGCAAGTCTCAGGGCATCACATGCCTGGTCAAGTAAGAACTGTCCTTTGCTATCCCTCTGAAAAGTAGAAAAATATACAAGAAGCTTAAAGGGTGATGCAACCTTTGTAATAAGTTTTATGAAAACTGAAAAATCAGAGGTTGGTGAAAAGTTTGAACGAGGTCAAAATCGAGCTAATTAATGCTAGTAATGGTAGAATCGTTTAACAATGCAAAATTTACTTCTTTCTATTTGAATTTAATGTAAATTTGAATCCTAGTTTCTTGTTTGCATTTTTTATTAATGCAGAGGGGAGCTCCATGTTTTTTTATTTTTTCCCAACATATTTTGTTTTCACTCCCTGCCCCCCCCCCCCCCCAAAAAAAGTCTGAAAAACAGGAAACTGATCATTATTTCACTTGGGCCTTCGCCGAATTATAAAACCATTCTAGTAAATACAATTTCATTCAAAACTGTCACTGATGCGTTCTCCAAGTCTGAGTTATCAATATCATGTCACTTCATCATTGACCAATTTGATGGCATCATCATCATTATCTCAATTCTCATCATCAGGATCATCAGACAATCTGATTCATCATTTATTCTTCAAAAATGTTCAAACTCAAACTCAACAAAAAATCACGCCATCAACTGTAACTGTGACTGAGTGTTACTGGGACAGCTCAACAGCGGATGCGATTGATCAATTAATAAATGCTTGACATCATTAATATTTCCTATCAACTATTAAATCTATTATCTGATTATTCAGATCAAGTATCATCTAAATTCTACTGTAGTGTAGGCCTACTTTGTAATCTAACTCCAGGGAGCTCCGCCGCGTAATCAAGCCAAATTGTGGGATTAATTTATTATGTGCATTACTCACTTGAAATTCCACATTGATCGAGTCCACTTGTTCATCCAAAAGTTTGATAATACAATGAAACCGGTGCTCCGTACCGAATGAGTATGACGACATAATTTGTATTCTTTCAGATAAAAACGTGAATTATGGTATTTTCCAAACGTTGCAAGTACAAAAGGTGGTTTATTTCGATGAAGAATGACCGCCTCTTCGCACAGACCGCAGGTGGTTGCAATAGACGCATTCGTCACATGCGGACGTCAGACTAGCGCAGGAATGTCATTAAAAAAGCGATCTCTAGCATAGAGTGCATTTCATTATTCAGCCTCTTGAATAAAGTGCGCTACTATATCCTATCAAAAACGTACGTGCGCTCCATAGCCACTTTCCTACAGCCACACCGGCACTGGGGATATGGGACGACGCGACCGATAACTCGCCCTATCGCTGAGCTGCCCGAGCCCGAGGTGTTTACGATACGGTGGCCGTGGCCCAGTGTTTAGCTCAATCAGCTGTAAACGTAAACTGGGAGGAGGGAGGGGGAGGGGCCACTCGATTGTTTTGTCTCGATCATCGACATCGTTGTCATTCTGTGATAAGAGAAGTTAAAGGCCAACTACACAATAACAAGTTTGTACATCTACTCTGTAGACCTTCTTGAAAATGATTTTGATCTTGATGGGAGTGAGTGGAAGCGGAAAGTAAGTAAATTGAATCTTAATATCAAAGACTAGAGTCTACTGTTGCACATGTTTTTATTATAATTTAAAATTTTAAATGACAATTTTGTGAGGTACAACCCGGGGTACAACTAGACTACAGTGAAGAAATATATACTATAGATTTAGATTTTGTCTTTAGCGTTAGATATAGCTCATTTCGATCGATGGCATTATTTTTTAAACTGGTGTGCCTTTTTAAATTGTTCATTAGATGTACAAATCAGGGAAAATACAAGGAGACAATTATGAGCAATCAAGTGCAGAACTTGTCTCAAAGTCAAACAGATCGACTAAGCAGGGGGGGGGGGGGGGGATTCGCCCATGAGCATTCATTCAACAGGAATGTTGAAAGAGCTAGCAGATAAAGCGAATACCAATGGAGTTGGGGTTGTGACATGCCCATATCGAATCTACCACTGATACAAATGATGGAACTAGACTGATATGCAGTACCCATATATCAATCAGATTCCATATTTTATGCACATTATGTACCGGATTATGTACTTTATCTTACTATAGGCATGCACAACAGTTTGACATTTTCTTTTAACATTATTTTATAATATAGTGGTATAATGGAACTTGATTCTAAAATGTATGCCTTCTACCAAGATTGCTTAGTTATGATTTAAAAGTAATATATTTTTTATTTTTCAGGTCAACAATTGGGCATATGCTTGCAGAAAAGGTGTGTATGATTTCCTTGAATCAATCTCTATATGGTAAATCAAATTATGACCAAAGATGGGAGAAAATGATATACTAGTACTTGAAACAAACATCTCTCGATTTCTTTATATGCATGGAGCAACCTGACAAAAAATATTTCATACCACAGTTTCGAGCTATGTGTTTATTGATTCTTCTTCTTCTTCGCTATAAGTACAGGCTACCTTCTGGGGTATTCTGATTATATTACTATTGTTATTGTTCTTGTTGTGTTTGTTGTTATTATTGTTATTAACAATATTATTATTATTTTCATTATCGTGAAATTTCAGCTTCAGTGGACTTTTGAAGATGGAGATGACTATCACCCACCAAGCAACAAAACAAAGATGTCTTCGGGAGTTCCCCTTGATGATACGGTATGCATTATACACCAGTTTTAAAGGGATTAATAAAGGGTTTCAGACTTCTAAATTTAAACAAAAATTAAAGAAACTTTTACAGTTTTGCCACTTGGCATGTTTAGTGCGGCTAATTGAAAACTTAGTTGCCACTTTGCATGATGAAATTTCTATTTTGTTTTTCATAATTTGTATTTTACAAATTTCTAATATATTTCAAGCTTTGTAGACAAAGTCAGGCACAATTGAAATGTTGGTCCTAATTCTACTCGTTCACTCTATGATCACAAAACTTATACCTCTGACTAACTTTCTCTGCTAAGCTTGATTTTTGACAAAATCAGGTTTTATTAGAATACAGGCCTTTGATTTGTAGTAGTATCTATTTTCTTATCCAAACTATATTCATATTCTTCAATGCAGGACCGACATCAATGGCTTCTGAACCTGAATAGTATAATACAAAGGTGAGAACCAGAGAATGTGTGCAATCAGCTAACTTTTGAATTCATGCTTTTTTCATCAACTTTTCACTTTGGTTCTTTTCATCCTCCTTCTCTAATTTAATTTGTCTTGTTGTTGTTCCTTCATTCTGTATGTTATACATGTACATTCATAAAAAGAGAAAGCCATGCTGCTTTGATATACTTCCAACAATTTGGAAGTATTATTGCAGGCACATATTCAGGAATTGCAATAAGTAGATATACTGTTTCTGCATTGTTGTATGAAATACAGTTGGTTGGAAGTAATTCTGAATTGAAATAATTCTGAATTTGATGATGGACAAGAATATATAGATATATATTATTGTGCTTTGCTAATGTTAATGGTTACTGGTTGTTGTGACATTCCATTTTCATACAGATGGCAGAGAAGTAATCAGCATGGCATCATTGTGTGCTCAGCGTTGAAGCTCAAATACAGACAGGTACTGCTATCTGGACGCAGCGCCAAATACTTTGATACTGATGTGAGCTCCTCATCCAACTTCAAACAGAGGCACTCACAAGATGTTAGAACAGATTCCACATCTGAGATGGAATCTACTCATACCGAGGTGGATCAATTGCAGGTCGGGAAACAAGAGGATCATCTTCCTCACCAAAGTCTATCAACACAAACAGCATCAGTCCAAGATGTTGCTACAACATTGCATAGACAACAGGAGGAGCATCACTACATTGCCAAGGACGATGACTGTTGCGGCCTCACAGGCTGTAAACCACCCCTGGTACTGTTCGTCCATCTCAAGAGCACTATGGAGCTCATCTCATCTCGACTAAGTGAGAGGAAAGGACACTTCTTTAACCCTGGACTCCTCCAATCTCAGTTTGATACTCTTGAGGAGCTAGGTGCGGATGAAGACGGTCTTGTTGTGGATGTTAGCAATTCGCTGGATTCAGTCGTGTCTCAGATAAGGGATCATGTTCTAACTTCACTGTCAGAGCCAATTTGATTTTACAGATCTTATAACATAGGTGACTAGGATGCTACAGACCAATCCAGAGTGCTTTGGACCATACTCACTCTTGATGGGTTTGCTCATTTGACTGAATGGAATGCAATAGAGTATAAACTGATGAGACAAGACAATGTGTTGGCTCTCAGCAGGACTATGCATTTGTAAATGATTTGATAAATACTGGTAAGGACTTTATCTGAGAATGCTAAAATTATATGCAGTGCTCTCCATCAACTTCTGTTTCCTGGGGCCTGGGTACACTTTTCTTTTTATTTGTGTAACCATGCACCCTCTATAAACATTTTAATAATATGAGGGTCCAGACTCCCAGAGTGAAAATTTGAGGGGTCTAACTATGTCAGACCCCTATTGGTTTTGAGCCTTGCATTTAAAGATGCTGTACTTTTAATGGCACAAAGGGATACATGTACCTGTTCTTTTTTAACACAAGTGCATGATCAGTTCAAAATAATCAATGTGCCAACCTCTCCATCTACATTTTATGAAAATGTTCCCAGAGCACAATTTTTATCCATAAATCCTCTCTTTTACATCAATTATTTACTTTTCTGTTGATTTTCCAGAATGCCATTTCCATCACGTCAAATTAGATATCTAGTGTTGTATGCCCGATTCACACACCGGAAAAGACTTTAAAATGTTGACTAACTCTAGTACTGTACCTTAATTGTGCTTTAAGCGAAGAAACTTAAAACCATAATATGTTGTGGTTCTCATTTTTTTTCACATTATTTCCATTTGATAGTTTGTATTTATAATTTTTAGTGAAACATGACCATCAATCCTCATTTTTTACAAGTGAATGCTCAAGTGACACCAGAAGAGACAATGCAATAAGTATTTCCTGCAATAAAATATCACAGTATTTTATTTCATGTATTCTTTATAAAATCATTTACTTGAATTCTTGATTAAAGAATACAAAAAATATATATATTTCAAAGACTGATCTTCCAAGCTATATGAGTTGGTACTTGGTAATTTGATATTCAGGCATTTTGTTTGTTTGTAGAGATTTGGCAAACTGAGTGATTCTGAAAGTGGAGAGAAGTACTATTGAATATAACCGTCACACCACTATGGTTGTGTCACCAATACATTACTGAGCAACACAAAATTTTCTACATGGAAACTGTCAAATACAGAACCAGATTTCAACTTAAAGTAAATGCATCATGGAGGTATTGGTATAGTTATCTTCTCTTTTCAGGCAATACATTTATTTCTTCAGGCTTAAATTCTCTGATTCTCTGGAATGACTGCAAGTCAACATTTCGGTATATTTCTGACATTTTAAAAAATAAGACATTTGAATTTGTCTGCTAATCATATAAATTATTAAGAGAAATCTATATCTTGATCATGAAAAGTGGACTTCCTTTCTTTGATAAAGTGTACTGTTCTTTAAATTTTGTTCGCAAATTAATTCAGTATTCTGATGACTGATCCTGTACTGCTTATGGTACGAGAAGGAATAGGTGTGTATTTAACTGGTCTTGATAAATAAATGATGAACAGACTTCAAATTTTCTTGACACTTCGCTAAATTTCAGTTAGATTATTGGCGATGTTTGTTTTTAGCACTATGCAAGTGAAGCCTATCGTTATATTCATTCCGTATACAAATGTTCCCTGGATTAGTGCTTGAAATACTTTGTAATGGTATTCCTAACAGCAGGAAGCTGTTTTTTCTTCGCTGACGAAGAAGACTTCTTATTCTTAGGCAAATTCTGTGAAGATGAAGCCAACAGACACTCATCCTCTCTTCGCCTCTTTTCCCTTTCCCAGTCAGCAATGAGCTCTTCCTTCATGTTGCTAGGCAACACATTAAACACTGACCTGTCAATGTCTGGAGGAATTTCTATCTCTTCCATGTTCTGTTTTATAGTTGTAGGTTTTGTTTCATGATCTGAATCATTCTTCAGTCTTTTTGCCAAACTATCATCCACACTGCACTCTGTTGTGTCATGTGATGATGACTCCTCAAGGGTCCTCTTTGAAGGCTGCTTTAAAGCCACATTCTGGCTCGAGCGTATAGCTTCTTCAAGAAGCAATGAATTATCTTCATCAAATTCTCCTTCTGGAGCATCTCTGGCTGTATCTACGGTCCAACTCGACTGCTCTCTCAATCCCGTAGCAACTGATTCAGGCTTTCTTGCAGTTCCTAACTCTCCTCTACACGATAAAGATTTTGATTTGTTGCTTGGAGAGCTACCCAGCTTTTTGAAGAAAGACTTTGACCCTTCTGCTTCTACTTTGCCTGTCACATTGACTGATGTCCTGAAACTTGCTACACTTCCGCTGCTGCTGGGTTGCTTTTGTTTGTGTTTGATTACATATCTCTCTTCCTCCCTGGGTTTGTGTCCACTCACAGTTCCAAAATGCATCTTGTCCACGACCTCAGTGTTGGCTGCCGGTAGATCTCCTAACTCATTGGCAATGCTGTCATCCTTTGAAGAATGGACTTCCATCTCTCCTGTCTTTCCATCACACATACCTTGAGACTGTAATGTCACCAGACCCTTGGGTTTCACTGCTGGCTTGCTGAAGAAGGAATCAATTGCACCTTTGGTGACCTTTGACCTCAAATTTGTGAAGCAGATGTTGATGAGTGTCAGGTGAAATGGCCGATTGGTGTCGATCAACTTCTGTAGGAGACCAACTGCTACTTCCAGTAGTTGCTCAAGAAGGCTAGCATCATCTAAGAAATGTAGAATAATACATAGAAATTTCTTTTTGAGGGGTCATTTGAGAAGCATCTGAATACAGTTTAGCCTAAGGTAATATAACCCATATGCATCTATCTAAATATTTTGATCATTTTTATTGCAATCCAACTAAGGGCTAATTTTATGACATAGAGATGATTTTCAGTACATTACAAGCAATACATGAAAGTGCTATTGGAGAAGGAGTACCCATATTGCACAAAAACCTTGAAGATTTGTAAAAAACAGGCCTACATTATTACATTTCTTGGGTTTATTTCATAAAACATTTTGAATACAACCTTTGGAAAAGAAATTATCCCAATAAGACAAGGATCCATTCCCTTTTAACAGAGGATAATATCAGAGAGATTACCTCTTGAAAGAGCTTTGTCCCCAAAAGGCAAATACTCCCACTCCATTTATGCTTCGTTAATCAGACCATCTTACAAAGTTGCTCTCACCATGTTTCTGGAAGAGGTTCGGTGAGATCCCTGTCTGTCGACTCTCTCTGTGCCATGATCCTGGCACATATTTCCTGACGGTTAGCCTCATAGTATATGGAATCCTACCATCAGATCGTAATCTGAGAAAGAAAACATTTATAAAATGATGATTACTTCTGCCCATATTTCTACAAATGTTTTCAATTTACATAACTGACAAAATGAAAGTGTCCCATCTGCAAGCCTTCAACACCAAAACTTATTAACCACCCAGGGTAAAATTGGGAAAACAGTTCTATGTTTCAACACATAAATATTCAGAATAATTGGGAAAGCTTGAGTGTATATCATCAGCTGTACCATTATACTTATTCTGTGTACATGCAGTTACATAAATATAACTGACTTATTGCATATTGATTTATTGTTTTTAAATACCAGTAATACCTTGAATCACACCACTTGAATCTTGGATGAAATCCCATCATAATTGCTTTTTTACTACACCCCCCCCCCCCCCCCCCCCCCCCTCCCCCTGATCAGTCCGTAGCCTCTGGCAAGATTTTGATAAGCTCCTTAATTTAATCTTGGCTATTTGAGTAAAATATGAAAATAAAAAAGATAGAATGAAAAAAAGATTAGAGATTGGATTACCTTTTGATGAGATTTTTAATGAGGCCTGTCATCATCTCTTTGGCTGCTGGTAATGTGCCAACTTTCTTGAAGGAATCCTCATCACTCAAACTCTGCCAGAAGAATATAAAAGATCCAATGAAAAAATTATGAAATGTACAAGTGGTACAATTGGTCAAGAATAAATTATACTGTGCTTGTCTTCACATCATTCTATCAACATGTCTGTTTGTATCACCCCCTCCCCTGCCCCCCCCCCTCTCTCTCTCTCTCTCTCTCTCTCTCTCTTTCTCTCTCTCTCTCTCTCTCTCTCTCTCTCTCTCTCCCTCTTTCTCTCTCCCTCACTTTCCCTCTGCTCTGACCCTGCTCCCCACCATTCTGTTTTCTCTTATTATTTGTATTGCTGAATAGAAAAACCAATCAACCCCCTTGATATATGTTATGTATGAGTATAACTGTACCATGGTAAAGCTAACCCTAAACCTAATTCAAAAACCAAATGCAGGTCTAACCTAACCCTATAATTTTGACAATGAGAGTATGGGGAAAATGTTGGATTACCATCAAGAGACCTGCCAAAAAATGGTCAAGTATGAAAGAGACCAATTATATAGCCCTTTTGTAATGATTGATTTCAACATCACAAATATTGTAATCTGTTCAAAAATACATGTATGTCCACTGACCTGTGGGGGACCTTTGCTGACCACTGGAGTATCGTCCACTCCATGGGCTAGTCTTAGCATTGTCTCTGCCTGCTGTTTACCAAACTGGTCAGCAAGCGTTGAGACCGGTGTTGGTCTAAGCTCCTCTAGGTTCTGTATGCCCATGCCTTTCAACTTCTTGCCGGAAGAATGACCGATTCCTGCATTTACGTAACATTCAAATTAATCATTAACATTAGAAAATATTTCCATACCTCTAAAATTATACTGAAATAAACAACAGTTGACATGCAACAAGTTTGTGCCATTCCACTATCATATTAAAGGCATAACATGGGATGTAATCTGTACAGAGGGTATGAAATGTTTCTGTGTAGTTCATATATTTTTACAATTCAAAACCTTATCAGATTTTGCAAACATATAGTAGAAATTTCTGCAACTTTTGTGTTATTTATATTACTTACCATATAAAACACATTCATTATTATTCATTATAAAATACATATTAGATTGACCAGCTCTTGAGAATTAGTCTTGTGACAAGTTTATATGCTACAGAGACATTCCTTGTTTACTGTTTGAAAATATGTGGTATATTCCTATATAGTCACAGATTGTCAACAACAAAGGACATCCATGTTGTCTATTTTTTCAGAAGGAAATCTAATTCCAGGCTGTCAGACTTCTTGGCTAACAGCAATTATAAAATCCTGAATTAGTGAGAGCTCAAAACACTTGCTCCTTGAGCTCACCAGGAATCTGCCTTAGTTTGGTGAATGTCTGCATGAATGAATCGGTCCACTCAGAGAAGAGTACCGTCTGGTCATTGGGTTTGTGGTGAGCTCCTACAAGCTTGGCCAGAAGCTTGTTGGTGGCTACTCCTGCACAGCTGGTCAGTCCAAGCTTGGACTTCAGAGTGTCCCTCATCTCCTTTGCAATGTGAGAGCCCATGGTCAGACGATCTCTACAACCACATTGACACTGAGTAGCTGGAAAGGAGAGGGTGGAGCAAAAGCGAAAACAGTGAAAGGCATGTTTGAAGTTTTATATGTGAGATTTTGGAACAAGCTTTATGATTTTGAAAGAGAAAGAAGGCCCTAAGAAGAGATTTTACACATCAGGAAATCTCCAAGACTGATATGGTTGGGAGCAGTGACTCTGTTTAAAAAAAATTCTAAACGTGAGGTTTCTAACAACTAAGGAATTCCAGAATTTTTAGGATATCAGCTACTACTTGTTATCATTAAAATAAAATTTTATAAATATCAAATCTAGAGTTCGAATACATTTTGTAATATTTAAAAAACAGCTTCAGTTCAACAATCTATCTGTAACATCTCACAGTACCGGTAGTACTTGTATATTACCTATTTGTGCATCACTCTCATAGCTATGTCCAATATGCACCAGTTTCTTTGAGTCTGTTGATGTCAGGCGCGACTCTACCAGCTTGGTGACATCCATGAAGTTTTCATCAAAGCCAAGTCTTTCTACCAAAGGACAGAACTGTTCAAGCAATTCTGCAAGTATAATGATTTAGAACGAATCATTTGAAAAATTGTAATCATCACAAACTGAAAACTATATCAGTGTATCAAAGCACATTCAAATAACAAGTTGATAGAGGGTACAGATATATATTTTTTGTCCCCAATCCCTTACTTTACCTAATTCTGATAAGTACTATTCTAGTTGTTTGCTCACACACACACACACACACACACACCCTCACTCTCTCTCTCTCTCTCTCTCTCTCTCTCTCTCTCTCTCTCTCTCTCTCTTTCTATTTCTCTGACTGTACCTAAAACTAAAACTCTTCCACTGTTATAAAATCATTGAAATTTTAATACATGACTGAAGTTTGAAGAGAGTTTGTGACAAAAATACACTCCCAGATAAGGGCTATCCTAAGAGAAAGAAAAAGAAATGCTGATGAAGTAACTACTCCAACTTCAGGCTAATTGCAGGTATGTTAAAGCTCTTTGTAGCAGTGAAGCCCAAAATGCTAACAAGAAATATCTCTTCACCTGTCACTTTGGTAGATGTTTCCCTGTAGTTAGTGAGATCTTCTCCACTGACAAGGACTAGGTCTGGGCATTTGATGAGAGCTTCTTTGATGTAGGAAAGCTTGGAAACACCTCTGGCTCTTGCAACGTAGTTGGTGGTGACAACAATATTTTTCTGTTGGATACCTTTATAATTAAATGGTAAAACAATAAATACAACAAAGGTACTACTTTATGTAAAATGAAAAAAACTCCCAGAATTTAAACATTACAACAGTTAACATAACTGTTAATAAATTCAGTTCAGGATATTTTTTGTTATCATAATCAAATGTTCTGAAAGGTCACTTCAAATTTGGAATGAAAAAAAAACACTGAATTACTTTTTTTTCTGAACCCTGTCCCCTTGTCCCTCAAAGAATTACCAATAATGAAAGGCTGAAGGTAAGTGTTCTGCCCTTCAATAATGTAATATAATGTTTTTAAATAAAGCCTTAATTTTTTCAACATATTAACCCAGGAAATTCTTTCATCATCATCTTAAATTGTTATGATTCTACTGAGTATATGGGCAGCAGGAGGTTTGTGTGAACATACCTAATGGTTTATCTCTCAGTGTTGGATTCCTAAGCATCTCCACTTGAGCATAGAAACAGTCCAGATCAATATGAACGATCGTCCTAGAATGACCCAGCTTGGACTGCAGACACGTCTCACTTCTGTGGGCTGAAATAAGAAATAACCATTGATAAATGTTACATATACCTTGATCAAATTAAGCTAAAATACATGGGAGCTTGCTTATATTTTGTCTCCAGAAGAACTGAATTATATAGCATAGGCCTCAAAAGCTCCAAGGAAAAACTTCCTTCTTGTGGAAAAAGCAGATTACATTCGGGGGGCAGTATGGTAATAATATGAAAAATCTGGCTTAAAATTATTCTTGTCATTTGATTCATATCAAACCTGCCTTGATGTGCATCATCTCCCATTTTGGCATTACAAATTATTCTTTACTTGCCTCAAAGTGTTATAGGTTGGTGACATGAATAGCAGTATAACAACAGCAACAACAAAGACTACTTGGTAGTAAATGATAACAAAAACAACAAAGATATTACAATTGCACATGTTATTTTCTTGATTCTCAAATTTATACGATAAAAAGGAGGGTGCATGCTTCAGTAAATATTACTAAGTTAATACAACAAAAGTCAAGATATACTGCGTTTATTTATGTCTATAAGAGTTGTCAACTCCATGGGGTTTGTCCACATTATAGCCGAGTCGATCTACATTAAAATGACTGAGACACAAATATATGGTGTCAGCTTTTTGTATATTTGCCAGCCACATCAGAATTAAGAAATGAAATTTAAAGCTATCAATTGTGATTTTGCAGTTTACCAATTGAGGATGATGGCTGTATTAGCATGGAAGGGGCTTTGATGCTGGGTGAACCCAATGCTGATGGCATCCTCCAATCAACATCATCTTCCTCTTCTGGATCTTCCCCTCCAATGTCATTTTGTTCTTCTTCCCACCTTCTTTCCATCTTGTCTGAAATAGGATGACAGAAAAAAAAGATAATGACCAAAGTTTTTAAAGCATGACCGAGTCGATCTCATGGAATACCCTGTGCGCGTGCTAATGGTACTGCTCATGTACATGTAGAACTTTCGTGAGATCTGGCAAAGATTACAGGATAAAAAAACATACACACATGTCACAATTCGACCTCTAGGTTATTTACAGTACATTGATTACAATTAAACAGTAATTTGAAGTGTATACATAAATTCACAATAGATGGATTAATTTTTCATTAATCGATCCATGCAAGGACAAAAGTCAGAGCTCAATTTTTTTATGTTAATGTCTAGACCAGCAGCCGGCAGGCACACAACTCCTCATCAGTCATACTACACCACTATTTTCAGTACAATATGAAATCTGATTACAAATTGTAATTTGTGTGCAAAAACAAGATGAAGCTTAATCAATATATTTTTTCACATATACTCTCAGTTTAATGAGCAAGTCTGATTTAAAAAAAAGAAAAAGATAATTAACCGAATTGCCCATGTAATGGGTGTCTTTCGGAATTATCAAAGGGTACTTCTCTTACGCATAAATGTGAAAAACAAACAAACAAAAAACAGTGTCAAAAACACCTCTGCCTTTGTGTACGAGTTTATGGCCTATATTCCTTTCTAATTTGTACAATTCCATTCACCATATGATGTAGTCATGCTGAGTGAAACTTTATGCAAGAAAATTTTAGATTTCATCACACTACTACAGTATAAATTACGAATTTCCTTGTAAAGATATTGATTTTAAGATGTTACCTATATCGACAATGATCAGGAGAGCTGGGTCTCTTCAAAGAACTTCACAGGTAATCTACAATCTCTGATATTCTTTCGTGAATTATGCGTGAGTGAGGAGTGCAGTGTCTGTGAATGAATGGTGTAACTGTCCGAAACTCTATATCCAGCTCTTGCATGCGCCCGGATCTGACCCCCGGAGTTGGGGCTTGTTAGCCGAGCGGTGTGCGCAGGGCGCGGCGTTGCACGGGCCATCTGGGGACCCATTAGGTCTCGAGATACAAGGGTTCAAAGGTAGGCCCGCCACCCCCATTTTTGAAAAAATCTCAAAATTTGGTGGGCCGTATCTCCCAAATCCCTCACCCGATTGACCTAAAATTTGGGATTTGGTGCTGTGAGATTACACTCAACAAGTAGGTCTAGATCTACACTAAGTTTCATCAAAATCAAAAATGGTCGGGTTAAGATTTTAAGATTTTTTGGGTGATTTGACATGGAATGACCCAAAAACATGGTAAAGGAAGTGAATAGATACATATGCGGCGCTAGTGTAGCAAGGTATCCAAAATATAGCCTACTAAAACATACCTCAAATTTTAGACCCCAAATTTCGTGTTTATCATTATCTCTAGGGTTAGGGTTAGGGTTAGGGTTAGGGTTGGGGTTCTAGGGTTAGGGTTAGGGTTAGGGTTAGGGTTAGGGTTAGGGTAATGATGACCACAAAATTTGGGGTCTGTTTTAGTAGGCTATATTTTGGATACCTTGCTACACTAGCGCCACATATGCTTAGTGGGCTTCAGGTGAGTAAGGAAACTAGGAGAACGAATACATTAAAGAACCAGTAGACCCTACTTCATATTATACATTATATTATGCAAACAAATTATAAAGAAGATGCGTTTGAAATGTCCAGAAGATATTTAAATAATGGAAGAAAAAAGAAAGACAAAAGACTCTAGAGACATAACAATGATAAAATCAAGATTGCAGTTTTGGTTCAAGAATGTTATAAAGAAGTAGACGAATGAATGATTACAAAATATACCGTAATTATTACATTAATCTCTTGTAAATTAAATTAAACAAAGACTTCAAGAGAAAAAGTTAATCAAAGAAGATATGTCTTTTCAGCCTGTGTTGCCAGGTCTGAAATTTAGAAAGTACAAAGTCAACTTGCAAGTCCCGGGGTACTATAAGTAACTGTATATAGTAATAGTCTACACACATTTAATTTTCAATTGGATGTTACTTGAACTTTCTTTACAGTTTCTTGAAACGCCCATGGGCTGTAGTTCTTGTCACAACTCCCAAGAACCTGCTCGAGAGTGGGCATGTAGCGAATCCCGTTTTTAACAAAGTCACTTGCCGGAGTGTTGGTTCAAAGTTTCATTGAATTATACCAGAAACTAAGTCGATGCCACTGGGCTGGCTGGGTCGGTTATTCCAAACTTTCAAACCATTTAATAAGCCAAATCCGAGGCAAAGCAGGCCAAGACCAGTGATCAGAAGCCAGGCCCAGGAGCAGGGGCGGGGCCTAGGGCATAATTCTGAAAATGAAACAAGTGGTTTGTAATTATGAATGAATATGAAGATGAAGAACTTTCATACTTGTTACTACTATAAACTAAGTACCAGTATGTCGGTCAAGACTACATTTCCTTCCCTTTTTCTTTCATTGACTGGATTATCAGAGTAGACTTGATGAGGAGCCTTAATAGTCATAATATTACACCTTAAAAATGCTTTGCTATCAAGATATATCTATCATTGTCAATCTGTTATATCCTATTTTTCTTTGACAGAGACTTCAGCAGTGTCTAGTTACCCAGCAGCCAAGATGTTTGTCAGGTGGTGCAGTGAACACGGTGATCCTCTTTGTACCTCAGCAGGAAGCGTGGGTGGTGGAAAGGATGGGCAGATTCTACAAAGTACTTCAACCTGTAAGTTCTATCAGAAAGTTATCATGAATCCGCACTACTTGTATCTACTTGCTCCCTCTATATAGCCAACATGGGGGGAGGGGGGGTAGTAGTCATGCAATGTTCTTGCAGTCTGTGTTTTTACACTTTTATAGCCTTTTACAATTTCTTTTCAAACAGAAACATGAGCTATCATGCCCGTCCAAAGTATAAGAATAAAGGAAGCTGACCCAAATAAACATTTCTTTATTCAATACTCAAGATATGTTATTCAACCAAAACCATAAAATCATCCGAACACTGATATGAAATAAAGTATGGAAATTGAAAGAACCGGTAGAAATTACTTGAAAATCTGGCATTTTCTCCACAGCCAGGATAGGATAGAGAAGTTGTATTTGTATGTGAACGCTATATCCTCTGTATTTGATAAATTATGCATTTTGTTATGATTACCGGTACACTTTACTTAAACTTAAAAAATCATGCAATACTTTGTGTAATCCTGCTTGTTTTTACTGGAACATATTTACTCAATGCTAAATTTTGAATTCTTAAAAATATATTTATAAACTTTTGTTTCTATTAAAAAGATAGAATATGGGTCTTCTCTTCATTTCTAATAATGCAGTCTACCAGTACCATAAAGTAATTCATTATAAGCTTACACATATATGAATAATTGTCACCATCTCAGTTGGAGAAACACAGTTAAATCCTAAAATGTTCCTGAAATCTTCTGTGAACACGTTATTTTATCCCTAAGATTTATGTGAAATGTACTTTAAACGAGTCGATAGTGTGCCCATAATATTTCTTGAAATCATGTGTTTTGTTTCAGGGTTTGAATCTATTGATTCCAGTGCTTGACAAGATCAAGTATGTTCAGAGTCTGAAAGAAATTGCTATCGACATTCCAGAGCAAAGTGCAGTAACTCACGGTGAGGTGTATTTTCATATGCTTTAACCATTTATTCTATTCTATTAGGTTACATGTATGTAATGCTACTAAGTTCAGTGCAAAGTGCTGAGGTTATGGATGAATATTTATGCAGGATCAAAATTATTCATAGAACAAATCATCCTGGACCAGCATGGTTCTTCTTTTTCAATTTTACTTTATATCAGGATCAGAAATTTCAGCATGAGAGTGTTTACATGATTTCAAGAACTTCAACATTTCAGAGAGTTATAACAAATTTACAAAATCTGAGAATGTTTGTCAAATTCTGACTTCTCCAGTTTTGTTCTCAATGTTTGGTTGTATATATGACATGAAGAATGTTTTCAGTACAAATATGGAGCATACTGCAGGTTTGAAAAGTTACTCGGATGAAATACTTATTACCAATCATTAGATATGCCTTCTCTCACATTTTATTTCTATTTGTTTTTTCTTTTATTTCTGTATAGATAATGTGACTCTAAGAATAGATGGAGTGTTATATCTAAGAGTCATGGATGCATACAAGGTAATATTCTCAAAATCTGTTCACATTTATTTTTATCTTAGTAATAATTAAAGTTTAGTATATGAGCCAGTGACATGATATTGCAGTCCAACAAAGTATATGTGATTGTAAATTAGGTTGATAGAAAGGGTTTATGTCAATTGTGAAGAAGGATGGTGTTTCTGTACATGATTGCTTTAGCAAAGAGGGTTTTTGTTTTTAACTATGATTTATCAGTAGATATTGAGGAAATTTACTTTTAAAGGTATTACAAAGTTTTGGTATGGGGTTATGAATTTGGTTCAAATTAACATATTGGAAGCATATGCGATCCTACAATACTCAGTGATCGTTGTTGCGATTGAAATCGAGTCTAAAGTTATGAAATCATAAATAATAAACTCTTTATGTTGTATAGCTCCCTCTCAAGGTCAAGATATTAATTTAGCTACGAAACAATGTTTCTTGACTAAAATTGACCAATTAGCTATTCCCGTTTGGAAGTTATATATCACAACTCCATATTCTGAGATTTTCAAGGTCGCAGCTACCATTGTACGGTCGTAGGCGCTATTTGAAAATTATCAAAATTTACCGGGAGCACAGGTAAATTTTTATATTCAATTTTTCTCGAAAACAGAAGTGTTTTAGGGGCTAATTTTTGGGGTGCATATAATACATCCACAGGGGCATCCAAATATAACAACATTGTAAAGATTCACTATTCACCCAATTTTCAAAATTTCCCAAAACTTTGTATTACCTTTAAGTTGTTGAAACTAATTCAACTGGTCTATTTTGGATTCTTCGTAAATGAACTGCTGGAACAACAAGCTTTCAACGATATCCTCTTGATATCTTGAATAAATGTTTGCAATTGCATAGTTTGACCAGATGTAAAAGATAATTTTTTAAATATCATATTATGAATATTCAAGTATAATGTATACTATTCTTTTGACAATGCTGTTATACTAGGCCAGCTATGGTGTCGAGGATCCCGAGTACGCAGTCACACAGCTAGCTCAGACAACAATGAGATCAGAGATTGGTAAAATATCACTAGATCATGTCTTCAAGGAAAGAGAATCACTTAACATCAATATAGTAGGTAAGTCAAAATACAAACTCCATATCATGTACAAATAAGAAAAAGAAAGAAGAAGGAAAATGCTTTGTTGGATAAGATAATTAAATGAAAAAAAGAAAAACAGATAGTAAAACAAGAAATATTTGTGTGCAATGTACAAGTTACCTGCTATATTAGAACCATAGTAACTTATAATGAATTCCAAGTAACAGTTCTTGAAGAAAAAATAATAATACTGACCTTCAGGTCCCTTTAGTATGTATGCTTGACTTGTCAAGTCAAATTCAAATGTGTATATTCACTATATTGATTCTTTTAAAGTATACAGCTACTCGGCTAGATATGCTGTATGATAATTGGAAACACTCCATTCTGTGAGTATCATAAATTGAGAATATCAGAAGTAGAGCCCCCCCCCCCCCATATCTGCACAGCCAAAACATGCAAATCCTTTGTCAATTAATTGTATAAGCATCTACAAAGTACAATATTAATGACATTTGAGCTTGTCATGATAGTACTTGTATATTTAAAAACACTCAGTAGTCAGCTCTCATGGGGAATTCAACACTGTTGAGGTGTTTACCCAGTAACATGTGTTGTCAATAACCAGGGTTAGCCTTAGTTTTATGACCATTAGACCTTTATATGTAATGCTTTGCTTTTCCGCCACCCGAAGACTCTGGAGTATTCTCTGAGAGATTAGGGGGGAATTCTTGACTGGTCTACGGGTTTGCTGTGTGCTGTGTGCAGTGTTTCCACCAAGTCTGGTGTCAGCGAATTATGGCCTTCTGCACATGGAAACTGACGAGTGACTCCCTTTAATATATCTTATCTTTATATGCCATACAGAGTCTATTAACAATGCAGCCATGGAACCTTGGGGTATCAAGTGTCTCAGGTATGAGATCAAAGACATTGAACTGCCTTCTAAAGTCAAGGAAGCCATGCAGATGCAGGTTGAAGCAGAAAGGCGCAAGAGAGCTGTGGTGTTAGAATCAGAAGGTATCAAATGCACTCTTCCATTGTGAAGGCTAATGTTATTGTATGGAATTGTATGGGTCATTAAAGCACAAACAGACTTCAGATGCAGATTTCAAGTGTAGCTTATAGATGTAATTATATGCAACTATGTGTATCATTTGATAACAAGTATACATTATATAACATAGGCAAGTAACTAGATGCTTAATGCAACAAAAGATATGAATCAGTAGAAGAAATACAAACTCCCATAAAAGAGGAGACATAATAATAATAATACATTTATAGAGCGCAGAAACTATCCAACATTAAGTATATGTTCTACTGCGCTACAAGAGCTCCTGTTATGCTTAGATTTATAGTTAATGGGAAAGATGGGCTTTCAGTTTTGATTTAAAGATATTCAAGATGGTGATTTCCTGGCTTCTAATAATCATTGTATTTGGACATCATTCCAGGTATACGAGAGTATGAGATCAACGTAGCTGAGGGTAAGAAGAACGCCACCATCTTGGCTTCCGAAGCCATTAAGAGAGAAGAGATCAACCGAGCTGATGGAGAGGCATCCGCTGTTATAGCTAAGGCTAAAGCTAGAGCAGAAGCCCTGACAAGGATATCACAAGCTATGGGGGCCAAGGTCAGTTGGCGATAGAAGATTTTTAGCGGCTAAATCCTTTTTTTGGTCTTCTTTAAATTGGCAAAAGTTTGTTTGTTTTTTACTTCTACCCTGTTAAGAATACATATGCACTTGCCTTGCCTGTTTCCAATATGTATTCCTAAATTGTTGTAAATGTTTATAATTGATTCGTAATGTTTTGTTGAAAATATAAATAAATTGAATTGAAGATATATTTCTTCTGGCAACATTTAAAGAGCTTGTCAACTGTATTAGACTACAATGATCTTTACTTTGGCAATGTGTTGCCAATTTAATGATTCTGGCGCTTTTTATTTTAAATCATTACATCACTGGCATCAAAACAAGGAATGATGCATAATTTTTTTCCTTCTTTCAGCTCCTTGAGTCGGATGCTATTGTATCATCCACAATATGATATATTGTATGATATTTGTAAAATGGCGACTAGCTGGAATGCTCCCCAGGGAGTGGAAATTGTGTATCCATTGGGTAACCTTGAATTCGATGACCGGGGTAATAATATGTGTTGCGCCTAGAAACAAAGTTCATGTATTAGGCACATTATAAATGTGAGCTATTATTATTATTAAATGGAATTTTATAATTTGTTCATGCTCTGTTTCTAGGATGGCGCTAATGCAGCAAACCTAGTTGTAGCAGAGCAGTATGTAGCAGCCTTCAGTAAACTAGCAAAGACCTCCAATACCATCGTTCTTCCATCAAATACTGGTGATATCAGCAGTATGGTTGGCCAGGTAGGTTGCAAGTTTTCTCTCCATTTTGACAAGAATTCTATCAGTGATATTACATAGAAGTATTCATTTACAGTTTTAATCTTGAGTATTAATATACATAAGTAAGCAATAGGTCAGAATTATATTAGTTTGTTGGATTCAAAGGACATTTTAAGTACCCCCCCCCCAAAAAAAAGGGTTGTCAGCATAATACATAACATTGAATTAGCCTACATAGTTTGAGGAGGAACCAAATCTTTTCAGGGTTTAATCAACGATACACTCATACCCGTGTATCATAACAACCTGTATAGAAAGACCACCTGTCTATAAAGACCATGTTTTTGTTTCCATTAAAATATGCTTCTAACTGAAGCATGTGTCGAAGGAAACATGTGGATAAAGACCACCTGCCTGTTAGGACCCCTTTTTAAAAATCCCCTGTGGGGTCTCTCTGAACAGGTTTCATTGTACTATGTTTCTCCCATCGACATGAAAAGTGCAACTTCTGACATATGATGTTACAAAAGAGACCAATAGGATCATACAATATTTTGATTTCATTATACTTTTGTTGACAGGCCATGGCCATCTACGGCAACCTAGCCAACCATCAGAAACAGCTGGATGCCGCCGACCCCGAGGACCACGACGCCACCCCAAAAGAGGAGATCCACTCTACCCAGAAGATAGACAGGTTCTTGCTGACCGGGCAGAAATCAGTGATTCCAGGGGAAGATTCTCTGAAAGAGCGGCTCAGCCTTGGACATCCTGATGAGGAAGATAAAAAGTCATAGCATTAATGTTTGGATAGAAAATTGAAATGAATGGACTTGCAATTTCATCTTTCAAGCTTCTTTTATTCAACCCCAACCAGTGTCAGAAAAAGAAGGAAAGAAAGGTGTCAAATGGCTGGCTGTCATCAAAGCCTGACATAATCAAAAGTAGATATTAAAGCAGGACTGCACTACTTGTATCTACTTGCGCCCTCACCCGTTGGTCCCCCATCATCCCCTTTTTCTTATGTTAATTGAGAGCTGATTTGATGAGATAACCACCTGCCAGTGACCAGGCAGGGAGGTCTAATCCCTCCTGGCCAAACTAGTGCAGATAAGTTTTAATTAATCATTCAGTCTCACCTGTGGTTCTGACTAGGAAACTGGATATTGGTGCTCTGCAGTTTCTTGACTAGATTGGAAAGCATCAGCTCAAGATGAATAAGTTATATTTTCTATCTTACCATCACCAACTTAGTGCAGAGAAACATTGCATGTAAAATTTAGTATCAAATCACAATGTCCACCTTTGTTCAACTAAGTCAAGATTTATAAAGCTACACATGAAATGTCTGTTCTTAAGTTTTGACCAAATGTAGGACTACTGGTATTCAGTTTCTTTTTGGTGACCTATTGTTTTTGTTTTTTGTTTTTTAGACCCTGCATGTTCTGAAATGCTGAAGAAAATTTTATGTGTTAGGAAGGAATGTAATTAGTAATTTCAACTGTGTTTTTACAATTCTGCTGTAAGTAATGTGATGGAACATGAATCATGAAATTAAGTGTACTTTCTTATTTTCCATCAACCATGTGAGTCTGCCATAGTTAAGTAATTACCCTGATACTTTATTCGCTTTGGTACAGCTTAATCATTGTTTTGACTAATTTGATGTGCACTGTTTCATTTATTTCAGTGTGTTACTGTTCTGTATAGTTCAACACTTAACTCATTGGCATATATTTCCAGTTATGTCTTTTGTATCATTTGATTTATTCACACTCTACGGTCTCTACCTGAAAGATTTGAAAGGGTTGTGGATATAAACATTTTGTTTTTGCTTGTCTGCCTGATAAATTTTTGATATCGGAGCTGTAAAATGTTCACCCTTTTTGCACATTTTTAAAATCGATCATGTTTCATTAAGTACTGGAATCCAGCAATACTTAAAACAACACTTTGACATTACAGGATCTTATTTAGACAAATTTGTACACTATTTATATCAGTCCCTGTTGTTCTGTATTATGAATCCTCATCCTTCTGGTAGTCGTATGAATGTGGGCCTGGGATTTTAAGCCAGTTCATAGTTGCAGTCTGAGCATGAGCAGATAAAGGTCATTGCAGACCAAATTGCGAAATACACAGAGACAAAATACTGGATACGTGCTCATGAAAGTTATGTAATCATTAGTCATTTATGCACAAGCAGTGCACTTTATGATACACAGGTGAAAGTATTCTTTGAAAAGCAAAAACAAAGGCTATTTATGTAGCACCTCCATCACTGTAGGAGTGATAATATATCAAAATGTACAAACCTCTTCATGTTTTGAAGATCTGTGTATATTCGGGGTCATTTGGGATATGTGCTATCTGTGAACTGGTCTATTGTATATTATGGAAAGGTTTAGGTAGTCAGAAAGACCATGCAGTCTGAGAGATTGACTCATCTTTTATGATGTCAACAGATGTTTGATCGTGCTGATTTTTTTTTTTCTTCAGAAGATATTAAAGAATTTTCACAATTATGGAGTTGTGAAGATAAGCGTACATGTATGTTAGTCATAATATGGCTTTAAGAAAGCTCCTATGAAAGGAAAATAAATGGATTTTTTTTTTTGGGGTCATTATTTCCCGGCCAGAGAATGTGAACTCCTTTTGAAGTATTACCAGTAAGATCAGTTTCATCTTTTGTGATATGATTCCAAGGAAATATATGTTACTTTGATGATAGAATAATGAGAGGACAATCAATAATAATTTTGTTATTTGGTCTTGGACTCGTTTAACTTTAATATGTCATATCTTGGTAAAATGCATGTATGCACATCACAATTTATCATTTATAAATTTACAAATTAAATGCATTGTGTAATGTACTTCTAATTTCTGATCATTGTCAACTGATGTAAAGAAAGTGAAACAAGGAGAGTTGAGAAAGAGATGGAAATGAAAATATCCAGATTTTGAAGAGTGTTAATCAAAATTAGAATTTCTAATCAACCCAAAATAGCAACTAATGAATAAATGACTGAACCGTTCATCCATCCACCATATACACTGTATATGACCTATTTATCCATTACAAGTAATATGATGAGGCACCACTAAGTCAATAGTTAGGGTTCCAACTACCAAACAAGATTTTGTTCTGTATGAAATAGGGAATTCATGCTGCTACTCTGAAGTCAGAATATGAGCTTCCAATGCTGCCTCCAATAATGAGATAATTTAAATACACCATCAATTAACAAAAAATACCATGTGCTGTGCATGGACTAGTCAACACAACTGTAGACACTTGCATAGACAAAGATGCGTATGGAACCTATTGAAATGCAATTTGGGTTCTGTGTGAAGGCTTTTCATAGCAAGGTAATTTTTTGTTTGTTTTTATTTTTAGGGGGGTGGGGGGGGGGTTTGATTTTATACAACTTACCTGTACAAAAATTATTTTTATTACGTGATTGGTACCCTAAAAATAAAAATCGCTATAAAAGTCTTTCACTACAATTAAAAAACTGATACCGGTATGAGAATTTATATTGGTATTTGAATTGTTAATTTATTCTGCTATATATCATCAGTCAATTTTTGCAGCATTAAAATCCGACGATGACAAAATTAACATACAAGGTGATATAAATGCCCATTTCATACAATAAAACAAGATCATTAAACAGGTACATCCCATTATTATAACAATTATAATTAAATATGAGACCACACAAGAGAGGCTTCATATGCAATCAGTAAAGCAATCATATATTTAAAAAAAAAACAGAATCAACAATCTATTTGATACTTGGTAATGCTAATGCTAATCACCAGTATCGGTAAGATACAACTGAACAAAATTTGATTCCATAGCCTTTTATAAAAAATGCCCTATTACAAAGTAGCAAATAAGTATCAAAACAATGTTTTCCTGGCAGCAACATAAAAGAGTAAAGAAGAATCACTGATAATATTTTTAAAAATGGACAAAATTTGAAGAAGAAAAAAGCAACTAATTTGATATTTCAGTTCAATACATGATACACATATGTAAGATGCAGAGTGCCATTGAATGCATTTTTGGGAAAATAACATGTCCAATATTTTCACTTATAATAAATCACAATTACTGCAGCTTGACTAATTAAAAAAGCATTTGTAAGAGTACTTTTAAGCACCAAAAAATTATTCTCATCAAAAACCTATTCTTAATATCTTTATAAGATATTGATGCCAGTAAGCGTTCCGTAAAACCTGTGTCACGTACACAACTTCTTATTGATGATAAATCAAACTCACTAATCAAGTTGTAATTCTGGATCGACATGTACATCTTATGATCATATCATCTATTTGATGTGCAATCAACTGGCTCGACCCAGAATACATCTTGAATACTCGCAAATAGACAGAAAGGTATAGTGACAAATAATAATGGTAAACAAAACAGCAGAGAAGTGTATTTGCATAGATATTTATATATCATCTTTGTTCCCACTTCCAAATATCTCATAGTTTAAATATATGTATTTAGTACAGATTACATTCTTGTTGCAAAAGTGAGATGAATTAGCTTGATTGATGATTCACAAGAAAGTAATGCTCATGATTTATTCAAATTTTGGCACATGTTACTCTTTATACATGTACATTAGATATCATATTAACATTAGTAACCTTTGATATCATAATAATAATAATATCTCACATTCATAATGCGCTAATACTTTGTTTCTAGGCACAGTACATATTATTACCCCGTTCATCGGATTCTCTTTTTTGCTGATGGTCGAGATATTCATCTGCGAAATGAGTACTAGTACACTCATAATCTAACAAGTTATATGAGAGAAACAGCAGTCTCATTTTATGAGAAGAGGCATGAAGCTTAGTGGTATCAAGAAACTTGTTTGGGGGTTTTACACAATATCCATCTTCAGTGTTTGGTATGGACATTGCTATTAAAAGAGAGAGGGTAAAATGGGAGGGAACTAGGCAGGGATGGAGATATAGAGAGAGAGATAGAGAAAGGGAGAGAAAGATAGTAAGCCCTGAGATTTTTTTTTTACCTTGCTAACTTAGCCGACACAATAGATTTCCTGATCTCAATAGAAACACTGACCCAAAATATTTGCTATAGTTCCTGTTTATATCTTTGTTGTATACAACAATTAACTACTGAATTGTGTACAAATAGCTAGACAGAAACTTGAATCAATTCTAACACTCATATTGACTGACTGGAGTTTTCTTTTCAGCTTTCTACAGATAGGAACCTTCATATTGATGAGTGTGAATTGTTGAATATCTTCCTCTTGATATGTTTGATATTCTCCTGCTGATCTCTGTTCTTCATCATCTGGGACCACTCCTGGAATGGAATCTGTCAAGGTCAAAGGTCAAACCAATGTTAAGAAATGTTTTAAATAAAGAAAATCTGTAACGAGAGTAGATCATACCCCTTATAATCACACAATTGTGAACAGGTAATTTGTTTTACTCTTTGTATCTTAAGCCTAAAACTTTTCAAACAAAAAGATTTTATTAACATTGCTGAGTTTCAATCAAAACACCACAATGCATATTCAGGAACATTTGCAGGATATTTTCTCCTTTTTATTTCAACATTTTTTAGTTACAATTTTTTTTTAAATATAAAAAAAAACACAAAAATGAATATGATCAGTCCATTGTAACAACCTATGCCATAGATATTCTAGAACATAGAACAGACCATGATTTAAATTTTAAAATATGGGAAATAAAAGCCTGTCTCCTTCTGAGAGGAATTCTTTCATACATGTAAGGTTGAACAGGGAATACATCAATATGATCGACACCAGTGTTTTAGTCTAGTCTTGCCTCAAGGCCATATTTTAGTGGTCTTGGCCTCGGACCGAGTCTCATAGACAGCCTTCACTACATCACTGATGGATAAGATATAGGAGAACTCACATCTATGACATGGTAGCCCAGTAGTTCCAGTTGTCTTCTCTTCATAGCATGCTGACCTAGGAGCTTGTGTCCTCCATAATGACTGTGGTTCCTAGCCCATACCACTATGGCGAGCCTGAAGAAGAGAGAGCAAACACACATCATACAAACACCCTTCCCATAGACAAAGACATCATTGCAATAACAAATGAATCTCAGAAAATTGATACATCACCAAGTTTCCCCTTCCAAACTTTGTATCTTGGACTTGTGTACATTGTATATGTATTGATAACAATTCCCTGAGCTTTGAAAAGCACTTGAAGAAATTTATGATAATATTCAAACTTAATCATGAACCCATGAACTCAGCGTCCAACACAACATGCACTTTTTTGCTTTTAAGTGGATTTTCTAATTCATATGACTTTTTCTTGAAATTCTTTCCTTTCTATTTAAAGCGCATAGGGACATGCTATCCTGTTATGTTATATGCGCTAAAAACTGAGTATTATTATTATTATTATCAATTTTAACACAAAATTCTGATTACCTGGTATTCACCTCTTTTTTATCTTAGTTTTTGTAGTGAACTTTGATATAGAATCTTATCATCTTTAAAAAAATTGTATCCTACCACTTTTCATTTGAATGATCTGGGGCAGGAACAGGTTTCTGTAGAATACGCTTGACATTTCTCCTCTTATCCTTTATCCTTTTCGGACCATCTCTAACATCCCTGAGCTCCAGCGGGGTCTCTGCTGCGGTCACACCAGGCTCCTTCGAAGCATCACCACCTGTTGTCATGGTGGTAATAAGATTGGATGACAGAGCAACCGCGTTCTTGCACTTCTGGTTTGCAGATCGTTTCCTGGAGCTGAGGAAGCTGTTGGAGTCCTCGTCTGATCCTCGGCTGAATGCGTCTGCCGAGGGCTCGCCAGACTCAAAGGGGATTGGCTGGTTGTGCTCATTGAGATGAACTTCAATATCTGTAGCAAAGGAAATAGGGTTTAGAGACTGGTAGTATTTTCACAGAAATGTTAACAATCACTGTCTTGATTCAACAGATACAATTCTATTTTTAAAATTTTGTTGTTGATTGATTTTGATGCTCTTTTTTTGTTTGCCGTAATATAAAACAAAAAAATATTCTTGTGTACACAAGGGGCATCTACAGCTTAAAGTCCTATTCAATGAACTATGAGACAGAAGAGTTGTAACTTGCTTAAAGGTAAAGACCAGTTATGGTCATGCGATTGCATTGTGAAAGAAACGTTGTGGAATCGATCAGAAAAGGTTGATCATCTAGCATCTAGCATCTGCAAGGTTCTGGAATCATCAAAATGATAAGAAATTTGGCCCATTCTTCGTAAAGTTACAAGCACTATACACAGAAAGATGTATATGGGACTATCCTATATCTCTCACAGACCATGAGAGAAACAAATTTACCAAATATATGAATTAGTAGGCGGTTTCCAGGCAAATTTTTTATCATAATGTATTAGTCAAAACATATTCTTTCACATGATTGGTAATGAGAGCTTCCATTTCATTTTTTGAAATTGGGGCGTTTCCAATACTGGTCTTTACCTTTAAGGTCGCTAGAAAACTAACTTGGTTTTGAAAATTTAATCTCCCAGTTCCAACTTCCAAGGCCACTCTACTCTATCTAGTATCTATATCTCTTTACATAATATCTCAAATAGTACACTGGGCTCTAATATAGGGTTTAGGATTTGCCTTTTGTAAATATTGCCAGAAAAGCTTGTCAATGAGAATTTTGAAATAAAACCAATGCAGAATACATTTTGAGGCAAATATATGAAATAATTCTAACTATACAGCTCATAAGGCATAGATGCCACAGTGGTCACGGTGAATATTACCTAAGGTGTTAAAATGAGGTAGAATAGCATGGATCTTGTAATGTTCCTTCAGGCCTACAGCAGCTCTGACCAGTCCAGCGATGAAGCGTACGTCCGACCTAGTGGCCATCTGCTGACCGACGGATGGCGCTATACTGGAGTGAATCTCAGATCTCAACATGATAGACTGTTTTTTGGAAGAAAAAAAAATGGAAGATGAATCATTGCATGTTGGTTAATTCTATTTTTGATTTAACATGATATTTAACAATCCCTTTCTAAAGGCATTTTCATACAATAAATTATCATTCTATGTTTTAATAATGTACATTTGCTTAGTTTCTTTCGAAACTGGGCCAAAATGATTAACATTATAAAACAGTGCAGTGTTATATAATTTTATCAACAAAAGCCCATTTAAGAAATTACATTTTATAGCATACATCTTAAATTTGACACCATTATGATGCATATATGTGTAGGCTAATTATTTTCTTATGATAAATTTCTAGACTTATTTCCACAGATTGATGGTTTCGATTCAAACCTGCATCAATCTGCTATTAAAAACAGAGTTGATTATTCTTGACTTGGCCTGCTTGCCCATATACTGCAAAAGGATAATCAAGACAGGGTTTTTTTTTGTTTTTACTCTGCAGAGATGGAGGTGAATGTGTTAGATCAGGTTTCTTTGTTACTACCTACCTCATCAAGCCTGTTCCCATTATACTCTGGGCACTCAATCTCCACGGCCCTATCCAGTAGTAGCATGTCCCTCCTCAAGTCAATCCTGGTTTCGTCCATGAATGCTGATGGACATAAAATGAAAGTTTGGTTTCAGTAAGTTTTATAATCAGCATGAATATGAAAGACAAGCTAACCATTTCATTTTCTATATTTTTCATGATTCCAGGGTTCCAAACTTCCAATATCTTCTATTCTGGTGAAATACAACTCTGAATTAGAGCACTGCTCTGTCAACTTTTATTGAAATTAATGGCAGCATTCATTTTCACTTATGCAATCAAAGATACAAGTAGCAAAGTCAATACAATACTTCAAAAATTTAAGAATTTACGATGATGAATATCACTAGCATTCACAATGATAAGTTGATAACTCGTCTTACAAAAGTGTATTTAAAAAAGGTTGAATTAATACTACCCTTTTATTCCTAAGAATTAAATTCTCAACATTTCAAATAACATTGAACCCTATGCTATTTTGGTAATGTTACTTGAATGTCAAAACATTAAAATATATTGCATCAATACAGATAATGCATTAAACTCTGGTTACCTATGATTGTATGTAAGAAGTCTGGGCTGAACAATCTGTTGATGAGTTCCCATGGGTAACGCTGAAGATATGCCAAGGAGAGAAGACTGGACACCAAGTTGAGAGGATACTCCTCCATCTCCCCCTGTAGTTCGATCAGCTGCTCCATGACAGTTGGCAAGAAGTATGGCTTGTCTGGTAGATACTGAAGAGTCCCAAATGACCAGAGGATTTTGGTCGCATCCTTCGACCGCCACTGATCGGCCCGGTGCGTGATCTCATGAGCCAGGTTGTCACAGAGTTGTGGATGGCAGATGTGCATGGTTGCATAGGTCAGTAAGATCTGCATGCAGGACATGAGCGGGTACAGATGCAGGAAAGGAGCTACAGCATTTGCTACATACTGGAAGAAATGTTGGTAGCCTGTGTATTGCCGCCTGAAGTGCTTGAGGATACCGACGATGAAGAAACTATGAACACTCTGGATGTCACTGCTGCAGACATGGTCAGAGATCTCCATCATCAGGTCTGATGTTCGAGGAGAGGTCTGGGATTTAAAGAGACCTGTACAAACTGTCCCAAGTTCCGTGAGAGAAAGGGAGGTCAAGTGGTCTGGTAATAGCTTAACAAGACCCTCTTCAAGTCCCTCAGGTGCTCCACGATTCTCTCCAATCAGGTAAATAAGCTGGAGAAGTTCTGCGGTACTCATGTTAGATACATCATGCCTGCAAGCGGCAAATGCTTCCTCACAAAAACGTGGCACAGGATACCCGATCATTCTCCATGAGTCCAAGCAAAGGAGTCGCGTCCTGAGGTCCATGCTACCTACTCTGTTGCAACACTCGTCATACAGGGTTGGAAGAACAAAGTTTCTCGTCCTTATCTGCGCTCGAGCTAGAAGTGTCAAAACTTCTGCTAGCTCTTCTGTAGTCATGGAGGGACAAACCGCTTTGATAATGATGCTAAGCCTAAGGAATCGCACATCGTTATTCAAATCTATCAACCATTCATCAGAGTTCCTACCAAGTGACTTGATGCAGTCCATAATGGAAGAGATAGGAAAGTGAGCATTTTTATCCACCATAATCTTTTCAAGAAATTCCTTGTGTGACATATCTATAGATGTGACATCTTTCCTAGGTAAACAGACAGCTGTCGATGAATATTGTTCCCTCTCGAGGTAGAACAACCGTGGGGTGTACTTAGCATGATATGACTCTATCTGGGACCTTGGCTCTGACATTAACTTGTCCCTTTCTCTTTGCATATACTGGCTCGCACTGACCATTTCCTTGTTATACAAATATTGCACTTCACTCTCTGTTACTTTGGGTTTACCGCTGTATGTTTTCCTCTCAGGAGATTTTGAGGGACTCCTGCCCTCATCTAGGTCTGGCATTGTCACATGGAATAAGCCTTGGTGTGCAGGTAGCTGAGAATAGTGTTTTACGCTGTTGTGGGACAGTCTTGCAAGGAAGCAGTTATGATGAACTGGAGAAACTCTCCCAAGATTGTGTAGGTTAATGACTTGTCCAATAGAAAAATTCTTGGGAGTTGAATTTGAAGGTGCATTCCAAAAAAGCCTCCATATATTCTTATGTTTGCTCATCCATGACAGGCTTATTTGATTCGCCATTCTGCAATCGTTATTTCTTCCCTGGTGTTAAAGAGGTAATGTAATGGAAGTCCACTGTCACTGCATGGCTTGCACAAAGGAAAGCATACAGGAATTCAGTCAGTAGTACATCTGCTGGAAAACATCAGAGGATCTGTACATAAGAAAAATGTAAATTAGATTTAATGTTACGAGGGAACCAATCACAAAATGAAAAATTTGTAAAGCATTAGAAGATAGAATCATCATCATCGTCATCATAAAAAAGGTTTAAATTGATAATTCATTTCCTCCTCCTCCTCCTCCTCCTCCTCCTCCTCCTCCTCCTCCTCCTCAAAGTTCTTCTTCTAGTTCTACTTCTCCTTCTCCTGTTCTTGCACTTGTTCATATTTTTTCTCTTCCCCTTCTTCTCTTCCTGTAAAACAGCTCTTCTTCTTTTCACCTATGTATTGAATGAGTTAATAGCTTGAGACTGATGAATGATCAAATGAGATCAAGTATGAACAGTTACAAAATCAAAGATCAAATGCATAAGAAATGTGTTAGACGTTACACAGTTTTTCACGTCTGGGACTGGGCCAAATTATTTTCTTCTCAATAACCCGTCAGAAAACCCTAATAAAACTACAATACAAAAAATCAATTAAGCATACAATTTGAATCTCACAATCTAATATAAGAAAATGATAAATCAAAGATTTTATTTTACCATGTTTGCTCTCAGCAAAACGACTTGACAAATATAACGTTTGTTGGAGAATAAGTAGCACGTTCTTCATTATTTTAAAGGTAGCATTGCAAACGCAAATTTAAAAGAAAATAAATGCTTTTCAATTTTTGGCCTGTAATAAAGTTGTATACAAACAAAATATTTTAAAAATAATTGTAAAGATGGCTTGTTCCTATACTTATTATTTATAGGCCTAGCTTTTATATGGTAATTTCCTGTGTGTTTCTTTCAATGTGACTCAAAGTTCGATGGAATCAAGTGCAATATTATAACTTAACCGGAGATAGTATTCTTTCAAAATCTGCATTAATCACGATATTTCGATCAGTCTTAGCACAAATAACGTAATATTAGCAGATCGCAACTTTTTTCGAAAATTCAACTCAAGGGCAATTTAAAGACCCTAAAGTAGAGTTCTATGTCCCATAAAAATTATGTTCGGATTACTTAATATTTCATTGTAGAAGTTTATTATTATGTTCACACATTCACAGTAGCTAGGTGACGCATAAGGATATTAAAATTGCTTTAGGAGTTGAATATCGTGTTAATGATTGGTTCCATCATAACAAAATACTATAGGGACATGTAACATACACAATAAAAGACCGAGAGGATTGATTAATGAACATTTGATAATCATATAGCCGAATTTACAAAAGGAACAGTCACTCATTTTGAGCGCCAAAATTGCCATGAAAACTTAGGCCACTTTGTAGTTCCCCACTTGATGATAATTAGGCGCGTATAGTTTAAAAGTATTTTATTCTTGACCTTAACGGCGGCGGGGGGGGGGGGGGAGGGGGAGGGGGGGGGGTAAACAACTACCTTTCCCTGTTGGCAGCCTGAAATTAAAGGAGGGAAAATATAAAGCGGAAATGTACATAAAAAGGAAGAGGAAAGAATGAGGAGAGAAAGAAAATCGATACTGCCAGAAGACACTAAAGAAAACAAAAATCATTCATTCAGCCGGAGAATAGTCAGTCTACGGGCGTGTGGAAAGTATCTGCTAATAATGTGGACTGGGAAAGTAATGAAAAGTTGACCAGGACAAAATGATGACTAACCCAATCAATGGAAACCATGAATAAATATACATATACAGTGCGACCCAGAAAAAACGAAACCGAGAATTATCAATGTTTTATCATAACTTACCGGTAATCACAATTATAATTAATAAATGACACATATTTGTAAAGCTTAGATCCTCCTCTTTCATTTGATGCAACTCATATGATGCACATTTCACGCATGAATGATTAAAAGCAATTTGAAGGAAGAAAACCAAAAAGTTATTTGGCAGGCGGTATCTGAATTAAGAAGAAAAATTCACATTTCTAGAAAGTTAATTTTCTGCTCTTTCATATTACACCTCAATCAGGAAAAATGAGCCTGGAATAACAAAGATCTGTTAAAGTGATGCTTGCATTTCCATAATTTGATTAAACGAATACGTTTTCACTGGCTGCCTGCCGTAGCAACAAACGGAATTTACAAAAGACGTAACTCCGTTTCGTTCACAATCAGCCGTAGACGAAAGACTTCATGCATGGCTGATTGTCAATGAAACGGAGTTAAGTCTTTTGTCAATTCTGACCATATTAATTCACAGTTAGCACATTAGGCCTACTGCAATAACCCCGAATATCCACAGATCTTCAAAACATGAAGAGGTCCCACTTTCAGTGGCGGATCTAGGGGGGGGGGGGTACAGGGGGCCCCCAAAAAGTGTTGAGCCCCAAATTCACCAAAAATGTACTGGCAAACAGGAACGTGCCCCCCGGCCCCCCCCCCCCCCCCCCCAAAAAAAATAGTGCGCACTCCCACCCCCCCCCCCCTCCCAACCCCCCACTGAGCGAATTTGCGGCCGGCGCGATTTTCAAATATTCGGGAGCAAACAAAAATAATTAAAAATGTACTGTTAAAAAGGGATGTTAAAGAGAAAATGAAACAAAGAGAGAAAGAAATGAGGTTTCAAAATATGAAAATCTGACCCTGGATATTCATCTGACCATTATTAACCGTTGGGTTTCCGGGGGCTCTACTCCCTGGACCCCACCAAGGGCTCTAAGATGAGCACCTGGTTGATCATCTGACCATAATTAAATGCCTAAAACCCCTGAGCTTCATTGGGCTCAGCCCCCTTGACCCCACGCCGATTTCGTATTAGGAATGGCAGTACTTAATATGAGTAATGACCAACAATTTGAATTATAAATAGCGAGGCTCATCTCACGTTATAACGGTCCTATTCCTTTATAAATAGTGTCCCCCTTCCCGTTTTATGAGTAGCGGTCCCTCACGTATAGGAAGTTCCACGTAATAAGCGAGGTTACCCCCCCCCCCCTCACCCGCTTATACGCCAAGGCCGCCATAGTACATCTCTCAATCCTCAAAAAACAAATTAAATCTTCTGTTGCTCCTTCTTGCCCAAAACTACCATAATAATCTATTTTTTTCGCTCGCCTGAGTCCGTCCCCGTCCGTCGTAAACCTTTTACATTTACATTTTCATCTTCTTCTTCAGATTTTAACCAAACTTGGCAGGAATCGTCCTTAGGGGGATATAGGGGATCCTAATTTGTTCAAATGGCAAACATGGCCCCCATGTGGCCCGGGGGGGGGCGCTAAGGGCAAAAAACTGTGTACATTTAAAACAACTTCTCCAGATCCAGAAGTGGATTAGTCCAGTTATATTTTGAGTAGATACAAATTATTATTTTTACCTCTGACATATTGACACCCCCTCTTTTTTTTTAAAGGCATGTAAGTTATGGCTCTCCTAATTTCAGGAAAACTGAGTGAGAAGAAATTTTTTTCTAATTTCTAAATCTTCTAATTTATAGTTTACTTATCCTTCACCTAAAATCGATATCTTTATATTGTAGTATGATATTAACATACCATTTTGTAGCTTATTACTGAATTTTTAAATAGGCCTATACTGTTTTTATTTCATTTTTATATGATACCACGTGAACCGAGTATTGTCAGTCTTGGGAATTTTTATTTGGTATATTTTTAATAAAACCGGAAAAAAATTTGAATTGAATTATTTTTTACCTTGAGAGCTTTTCCTAAATGTAAGTTCATTCTCTTCCTCAGCTTTGAAAACAAATTAACCGAAGCTGACAATTAAGGAGTAAGAGAAAGTGAGTAAGGCACAAATTATTGTTATTAGACACGATCATACAATTTCCCTTGGCTGCCAATTTAAGTGACATTCTATGGTATTTTTTACTCCTCCTATCAATTAGCCCTATTACTTTTTCGTGATATTTTCTGTAGACAGATTATAGCCCTCGTTTATTGATCGATTGAATTATTGATTGACTGATTGATTGATATGTCCGTTTATGTATCTATTCTATTTTGTAGAGATAACATATTTGCAGGGAGGTGAGACTTTAACTCACATGCCCTGATATTTGTATCACCCAGGCATAAATACATAATAAACGAGTATGGTGATGATAAATCTTCGCTGATCCCTGGCCTCCTAACTGACGTATGCTGAAAATTCAACGGAAGTGACGAAATGAAGAATCAGCGAATAGCAGGATAGAAGGCACACGTTTGAGCTGCGCATGCGCTCTTTTGAGGAGCTTCCTCCTGAAATTTTATGGACGGCGAAACAACACGCTGAAATTTTTCGAGAGTAGCAGCGATTTTCTGGTGAGTAATTTGTTCATTATTACAGGAAAGCGTCTGCTATGGTACATATTGTATGTAAGTCGACAATTCTGTCATATTTTTTGCGTTGATAGCATTAGAACAATTGCGAATAGCCTAATAATTTATCATGTGAATGTTAGTCGACTGAATGTATGGCGTATTCATGTGTTACGGTACAGTGGTTGGTGCGGGAATGATGCCAGTAACTTTGTCCGCCTTCCCGATCGCACGGCACGTCGTTCAGCTCAGGCGCTCGGCCGTTACGGCGTAGTTAGTTGCCGTGCATTTGCCGACGGGGTCTGTGTTGGGAGGGAATCACTGGCAACTGGTCTCGACTACAGCACAGCCCACTGCACAGGGCTAGTGCATTTTTAGTAGAGTAGGGGACTCTTTGCAAATTGCATGTCTTTGACACTTTGCAAGCCTGCAACGATTTCTAGACCATGGCCTGGTGACGTTTGTGTAAACAAAACAAAACAAAAACCATTAAAAATGCTTCTTCCACTTTAATTATATTTCATGACCGATCATCACATTCACAGAACAGCTGCACTCTTGACTCTATTGAGTATTGAGTGTGATATTATGCTATCGCTAAGTAATTTTCTCTTTCATATATTTACTTCCCCCCTCCCATCAATTATTTAAGTACTGTAGATCTAGAGGTCTACATGTAGGCTTTATTAAGGCATTATTTTATTAGGGCCTATTGCAAAGATGCCAACCGTCCGGCCTCCCTGAAAATTTGTTTTTTTGATACTTCACTCCAGTATGACTCCATACAAATTTAACGCCTCCCTGATTTTTGAAAGATTATTCCCATAGTATCATATGCTGTATGCAATTGATAGAAACCTCCCTGAAACTGGAAGCTGAATGTAAAGGTTGGCATAGATCTATAACTGCTATTGTTGTTTTTGCTGTTATTTTCAATTTTATTATTATTATTGTTATTGTTATTGTTATTGTTATTGTAATTATTATTATTATTTGTCAACCTTGCTTTGTTTGCTCAGCCTACATCATGCTCTGTAAGCTTTGAGTTTCAAATAATTCTGAGAATACTTGCTCTCTTAAATTTCCAAAGTTCATTTCATTATTTCCCTGTCTTTGCACATGATTTTGTTTCATTAATTCAATACTCTCACATTTGTTTTCTTTCACAGCTTCTTTGTTAATTGGTATTCATGACCAGACTTCAAGATGGATGAGGCTCAGTGGCTGAACCTGAAGAAGCACCTTGCTGTGTACATGGTGGAAGTGTACTGCTGCAAGTTGTGCAATGACTTTTCGTCCACTCACAAGACTGTGGTTGCATCTCACATGCACAGTATGCATCCTGGAGATGTGGTGGGTCTAGTGAAACTTGACCCTGATGAACCCGGCACTGTGGCTGATACCGAGGTGCAGGCAGCCGAGGAGGAAGATAATGGAATGAAAGAGGAAGCTGCAGGGGAAAGCACAGACCTGGCGTTTGCCAGGCAGGTGGCTGAAAGCAAACATATTGAGAAGGAGATCTTGCAGATGCTCCAGACAAATAGTGATGTGGGCTTCCAAACAGTTGGTGAGGAAACAAAAATGCTGCAGGGGGAAAACAAGGAAAACAAACAATCCAAGAAAAACAAAAAGCGTAAGAAATCAAAGAAGAGTGAGGGAAGCAACAAAAAACCAAAGAGGAAAAACAAGAAGATGTGCAAGATGTGTGGGTTCACAACAAAGTCTTCAGAAGAATTCAAATCCCATCTCGAAAGGCACTATGATGATCCCAGCAGTCGCGTGTGTGAGGTTTGCGAGACTGTATTTGATACATACAAGGCCCTTATGAAGCACACCAGGAAAGGATGTCCCCCCTCACATCCCCGGATCTATAAGTGCGAGGAGTGTGGGAAAACTTGCCATGACCGCCGAGCCATCATTGAACACATGGTCGTTCATTCAGAAGACAGGCCCTATGCGTGCCATATTTGTGGCAAGTCGTACAAAACAAAAAAGATCTTACGTCGTCATGAAGGAATCCATGCCATGGCCAGGGACGTCTTCCAGTGCCCAGAATGTACCTTCAAGACCCACTGGAAGACCAACATCAAGAGGCATATAATGGAGGTCCACAAAAAAGACTCTCGTCCTCTTTACTCCTGCACTCACTGTCCCTTTACCACGCCCAACAAAAGATACATTGAGAAACATAAGTTTGGTCACTGGAAGGACTGCCCTTACATGTGCGAAAACTGTGGTAAGATGTTCAAAGCAGAGATAGACCTCGAGGCGCATAAACAGACTCACATCCAACCAGATATTGCCTGGCAGCTCATCCAACTCCAGAACAGTGAGCCCCAACTTGTAGAGGAGACCATCGTCCAGTACCAGCCGCAGCTTCAGATGCATACGCAGGAGATTCAGATCCATGACCATGATACCAATCTCCAAGCTGTTCAGGTCACCATGAATGAGCAGGATGAAGCTGCTAAGACTATTGTCCTTTCACAGATCCCTGTTGTGCAGTACTTGGACATTGTGACTGGAGATGTACATGTGTCTAGTCAAGAATAACCACATTGTGTGTTTTTTTTTTTCAACAACAAAAATATTGTGCCTTACACCTGAGAAACATAATTTATCTTTTATTTGATGAAAGTCAAAGTGAAGACCTGAAAAGCCTCCCATTTTTCATCTTTTATTATTTATTAAAGATAAAGATTATGTGGTAGATCAAAATCACAAGTTTGGTTGACTTTCTTTCTACAGTTCATACATCTGTTCTGTGCATCAGTGAAAGGGGAAAGAGTAAGAGGCGTGTAGGCCCTGTAATGGACACACACAATTGATCCAGGAACTCCTTTCTGTCTCAATATGTTCACTCTTTATTGCTTCTGAATCTAATTTTAACATCTTGTATAAAATGTTGCTTTTTACTAAGCTTTAAGATTTTGCTTTCTTCAGAAGTTTATTTCTTTGATAAAATGTGAGGGCTCATCTATTAATTTTGTTAAAAATTCAAACATTCCAAATTGATATGGTACTGTTTTTCATGTTTTACAATGAAGCTTGTTTTTGTGAAATATCCACTTGCCTGCAGGAATTATTTTGGACAATAACAAACTTTTTATAAGGCTGGAAAATATGTTTTCTAGCAGTCACTACACAACTTTATTGATACATCAGATCTTTCCTTTATGGCCAGTAGCAAAGGGTAAAAAGACCGCTCAAGGGAAACAAGAAAATCAGTCTTTATGAGCAGGTGATCTTTATGTACAGGTTCCTATCATACATCAAAGGGCAAGTCCACTCCAAAAATATCTAACTTACAATAGAAGCAGAAAAATCAGACAAACCAATAAAAAAAGGTTTGAGCAAAATTGGATAACTAATAAGAAAGTTGTGAATTTTTGAAAAAGTATGTAAAACCATGGAACAATGGAAATCACTACACAAATTGCTAATTTGGTTACCAGTTTGTGACGTCATGTCCTCACTATTTATCAATTGCTTTATATATTTTAATCCCATTAATTTCCCTATTTATCCCCCAAAACTTGATTTTCCCATGCTTTTGCCCAGGTTACATGTACATGTATATGATTTGTATCATATTGCGTGCATGGCACTTCACAAAATCGTTTATGAACTTTGAAGAACTGATACTATTTTCTGAATAATTTATATTCATAATTATTGATTTTTATATAAATAGTTTATCAAAATTAATGAAAAAAATAATCTCTATTAGTGCATTCACACAAAAACATATTACTATCAATCTAACTTGGATGCTGGTGTGAAGAAATATGATATTTAGGGGGGAAATAGGAAATTCATATTATAAATGTAAAGAAAACAATTAGTGGATAGTGGGGCAATGACGTCACAGACTCATGAGTGAGTTGCCAGTTTGTATTGTTTTTTATGTCATCAAAAATTCATAACTTTCTTATTAGTTATCAGATTTTACTCAAACTTTTTTTGATTGGTTTGTCTGATTTTTCTGCTTCTAATGAAAATAAGTTATTTTTGGAGGGGACTTGCCCTTTCAATAAGAAACACTTTCCATTCCAAGAAGGAGAAATTATAGTCTTTATAAATGGTTGGTCTTTCTATACAGGTGGTTGGTAAAGGAGGTTGTTTCAGTGTATGATCTTTAATATGTAATTCAACTAAAGTTTTCTGAACATCAATTTAAAAGAGGGCAAGTCTATGGAAGTTAGCCTTCTTGAGTCCCATACGTTACCAAGTTTCCTGTAATACTGAACAAAATGAACATTGATAGTATCATAGTGGATAGATATATCCTCGGAAACAACTAACCAAGCTATGGTCAGGTTATCAAATCAGTACAATTTTCAGAAGGAAAAAAAAAATCCAATATCCAATTAGAGTCGGTAATGTATTGGACAAAGTAACTTGGAATTTCCTTGGAGATAACATACCTTAACAATGGCATATCCAGAAATTGGTAAATATTTGTGACTTGAACCCAGGCTGCTGGTTAGTTTGCAGGCACAGACTCTGATTTGAAAATTTAGCACAATTCATAAAGCCTTGAGTAGAGCCTATAGCCCTGTCTATGTCAAATGTCCAAAGCAGCTAAACTAGACACAGAGCTTACATGTAAATGCAGTATGCTGTCAGCATAGTCTCACAGTGCAGACACTGTTCACGTACATTGACTGACTGACATGGGTCTGTGCCTGAAAACTAGTTGCTGATACACCACTACCTGCTTTTATTTATGCATAAATAGAGCGGTGAAGTGTGACGTCATCAAAAATCTATTTTTAGAATTTCTTATTTTTGTCTTCTTCATTTTCCGAAAGAGCGTAAAAAATAATGTCGAAATGTCGAAAACCAATTGAATATGTTAAATATTATTAGGAGCCAGGGCATATAACACTGAGTTCCTATAGGAAATATATTTATTCAGATGGTCATATCTCAGCCAATACTTAACATATATTCAATTGGTTTTCGACATTTCGACATTATTTTTTATGCTCTTTCGGAAAATGAAGAAAAAAAAAAATCTAAAAATGGATTTTTATGACGTCACAGCTTCGGTACTCTATAGCCCTTGGAGTATACAGAATCCCTCAGGCTCAGATAATTGTGAAAGCGCAGGTACATATTACATGTGCCGTTAGTAAAATTGTGTAGCTGCACATGTATGAATAGGAAAACAAGGGAGTGGAAAAGAGTAATGAAATCATAAATCAACGTGACGGACATGTGCGCTATATAAGAAGCCACCATTATTATTATTATTATTATTATTATTATAAGATGTATCCATAAAAATGACAAGGTACTTTGTTGTCAATGGCTATTTGAAAATCGTTTATATTTTTGTTCAGGACTATATTGGAGTACAGGTTTGCTTTTCATGAAATGCTAAAGTGTTTTGAGACATGTACATAATATATTTCTATTACTCTTATGTTTCTTAATATGCTGTACATTGTATATGCTTTTGTATAAACTTAATGTGCTAATAAATGCAATTTTGGTATTTTCATAAAATTTACCAGGTTGGAACGATATGACTTTTAGGATATTTGCAATTTCTTGCTCTTATATGGATTTTAGTCATTGGAACAGATAAAAACAACTCACTTTTAAACATCACATACATGTTGAATATTAACTTGTTTATATATTCACTTATCAGTTAATAACTGAATTATTATTGTAAGGCGCTTTGATAGGGCCCTCCTGAAAAAGCGCCATAAAAGAAATAGTTTTTATTATTATTATTCATAACCTTAGTACCTTACCAAGTTGTGTAATTTTTAAGTATATGAAAAATTTATTTGTCCCGATTTCTGTTTCTTAAGAAAAAAGTATCACAACAAAGGCCCTAATTGAAATGGTTCACCTTTCATTCTTGAGTGACAAAAAAACCCACCAAGACATCAAATTTACAAGGGGTATGAATAATTTAGTTGTACATGTACATGGTACAATTATCTCCATCTAACATGTACGGACTCTATTGTCATATTGTTTTTGGACAATTATTCCTATGTATTTGTTGTACTTTCTTCAATTTTTTAATTTCTTATTATAAATTGTTCTTTTTCTTATGTTATATCATTTTGGTACCATTATTCCAATTCCTCTTTTCCCCTACTTCCAGCAACTTTTAAATTCTGATTTTGTTTTCTTCCTGTAAGTGCACATTTTGTAATGTCTTTAAGAACTACAAATTGCAATTAATACAATGTTACGGGCTATCTAGCTGCCTCCTACTATCCTTACATACATGGACAATAGCAGTGCAAATTTCATCTATCTATACTGAATAGAAAGAGAGAGATAGACAGAGAGAGAGAGAAGGGGGGGGGGGTAACTAGAGATGGAGAGAGAGAGAGAGAGAGGGAGAGAGATCAATATTTTAAAGTCGTGGAGAGACAGTTGTTGGAGGGATCAATAGGGATGAGAAGATATTTGACAATGTTCTAATTTGTATTCACCCAATCAGCTTTTTACATTTTCTTTGAAAAAGACACCAAACAAAACCAATAACATGCTAGAATGAGTTATAAATGAATGAGTAATGAAAAACCAAAGGAGTGAGAGCGAGTGAGGTTAGAGTTGATTAATCAATTCAAATATTAGTTCATTTTCTGTCATTCAAACATGGACTATACACTCTGAACTGATAGGGGAATGGGAGGGGGGGGGGGGGGGGCTAAATCAACCATGGATATATCAATCAATGGCAACTCTGATAGTTCTGAACACAAACAACAAAACATTTTTGTGTGTATGCATGTATGTGTGATTAAACATATAATTAAACCTGAAATTTTGCACCATTATCAGTCAAAAAATTGTAGTCCGTTTGTACAGAATTTTAGAAACAAGGACGATCTCTCACTGATAAATCCCTATACATGATGCAAAATCATTTTGCCTCCATATTGATCTGATTTTCAAGTTCAACAAACATGTCATTTGTAGCTACACACTTTCATACTAAAGTGAATATATGAAATAAATGTGCCAGTATAGGTCTTCTCATGGCCTTAATTGTTTTTTTTTAAATTATTTTTAATCTTTCCTTTCTTTTCATCTCCCCCCCCCCCTCTTTTTTTTTTGTCTGGCTTTTAGTTTTGGAATGGTGGTGGAATGTTTATAGATATGAGGTTGATAAGATTATTGATAAACTAACATTGCCGAAAATGTACTTAAGCATCGTTATCGAAAAATTTGCTGATCAGAAAACATTAATGCACTTATCATGATAAAGATCTCAACAATGCTCAATTAGAAAACTCCCTCTACGTCATTAGTCTGTCACTTTCTCAGTAAACATTAAAAACTGAGAGTGAATCTTGGAAATTACCTTCTCGGTTTTTAACAAATATAATCATGTGCAACATTTCTAGAAGAAATCAGTCACCTCTGATAAATTCTTCAGAAATATAGCACTGCTGGGATACCGAATATCTTCCCCAGAAATATTATTTGATCTTCAATTTTGATCTGAAAATGAGCGATTCTCGCAGGCGGCGGTCGTCGGGGAACAGCAGACAAAACCAGCGGTCCGCTTCGTCCACTAACGGCGGGCACGACGTAACCAACACCAACGCCAACGGGTCATCGACTGGCCGGGATTCGGGAGTTCGGTCGAAAAATTTTAAGGTAAAATAATTATGTAGTTTAATTATTGTTCGAATTTGTTTTTGTCATGAACATGAACATGAACATGGGATTATTAACTGTACATGCACCATACAAAATTTCTAAATAATTTGAGATTGATTGAATTGAGCCTTGCCCTTGGCTTGAGGAGCTAGAGAGAGAATCGAGAAAGAAAGAAATGAGATTGAGAAAAATGGGGGAGAGAGCTAGAGAGTAGAGTCAGAGAGACATGAGAAAAGTGGGGGGAGGGAGAGAAAGAGAGATACATTTCCAGTAGGGGCGCTGGTCCGAGAATGACGATTGTCTGTACAACAAGGATATCCTCGCAAACGTAACGCGGACAAATCACGTCCTAAAAAATAAGGATCATCCTTTTTTTCTTTTGGCGCTCTGCGAGTGTAGATCTAGGGTTCCCGATCTGTGTGATGGCAGTGCGAAATACATTAACAGAGAAATGCATCATGGAGGCATCATCGCGATTTGTCCGTGTTTACCAGGATATCCTTGTTTATGCAGACAATCCTCGGTCCAGCTCCCGGACTGATTACTGGCGCTTGTTCAGAACTGTGACCATACTTTCAATGCGTGACTCCGTCGTGCAGATACCCTACTATGGAGTCGGGCTAACTTGAACCGAAAACAACTTGGCCCAGCTGCAAAAGCGGTCAGTTTTTGCAGGTTTATGTTTATGGTTAGGGTTAGAGTTAGAGTTTGGGTTAGGGATAGGTTTAGGATTAGGGTAAAATGACAAAAAAATGATTGTTTTTGCAGCGCGGCCGAGTTGTCCCAGGGTCCGAGTTAGCCCGGATTACCTACTATAACATACCAAAAATCAACTAAATCTTCAACAATTATTCTAATAATGGTCATGATTTAAAAAGTTGTTATCTTTCCTACCTGTTTTGTACTTTTGTGTCAATTTTTCTTATCTTTTTAGGAGTATTTTTTGCTAAAAACGAAGACATTAGTATACACTTTCTTGCGTACAAGTGCAAATTGAAAGTGGGGTGTGGGCTCGTGCTCGCATGAAATTAGCAACTGTTATCTCAGATCCTCATTAAATCATGCAAGTAATTCTATGAATTGTTGATAATCATTCTGGTCGCTAACTTTACGCAGGTGGCATTAAGGGATTTTAAAATTTGAGATCTGTGTATAAATATCAATTTTGGTAGCAGTCAACCTCAAGTTGATGAGCTAAAAATTATAATAATTGGTATAAATTTTTTGGAAAGTATTTTCATTTTAGTTAAAACTTTAATGAAACTATAAATCTATCAATCTAGAATTTTAACTATAATTCTGTCCACCGGTTATCAACATGTATCGCCTTTTCCTTGGAAACTCAGTCTCACATACATGTAAGATCGACGATGCACTCTCACCTATTGTTAGTGTTGGCAGTCTCGGGCAGTACAGATGTATGGTGTGCAAGGGTAATCATATGCATACACATACACCTTTCTTATGTGTGATTGGTCTACAAGTAAATATACAGACCTTAAATTTACTGGTCTATAGTCCTATACTATATAAAAAGAACAAATGATTGACTGAGCACTGCAGCGCATGTCATGGGAATTGTGCACTTGCATCCTGTGTTTCCCACCCATACAAGTCCAACATTATCTTGGAATCTTGGATAACCTCGTACTTCAGAAGTTCAGATTGCTACTTGTTTTATTTGGGTGACTTTCACCAATACATATTACATGTACATTGTACATGTACATTGTACATGTATGGGCATGTGTTCTTTGTGAGAGTTTAAGGGAGCAAGATTGCTGGCTACCAGTGCAGTAAAGCCTGAAATTTTATTTGATCTAGAATTAGAGATCCCATCAAAAATACAGTATTTTCATTTATATTGAGCTAAAATATTGGATCATCTGATCATCCTATGATCCTACATTGTAAAAGAATTTCTCCCCTTGACATTTGCTGATTGTTCCGGCACAATTACATTACAATTACATACATGTACCTTTGCAACTTAGAGAGTGACAACAGCCAAAATCAACAAATAATTTGATTAATTTCTGGCATAATCATGATATCAGTTTTATGAAGCCTTGAATTACTCCTGAAACCTGGGGTTCTTTGGACAATACAGTCAAGATCAAAGATATATTTTAGGTACCATAGTATTATCACAATAAACATGTATTCTCACTAGTCAATTACAAAATATTTCGCAAAGCCATCTTACACACATGTACATGTAGCCACAGTGTATCTCCATCAACCATTTTGGGTTGCTGTGTTTTGTCTTGGCACCAATTTGTAATACTCTATCAATACCTTGGAGCAAATCTAGCACAGAACAGACTTGTAGGTTTACAAACCAGTTCATGTAGGTTAGCAGAGAGTTTCTTTTAAAGTCTCAAATATCAAAAATAAGAAATAAAATAATAGTTTTGTCGGGGGGGGGGGGGAGGAATTTTTACACTCAATTATTAATGTTCTTATCCTCGAAAGAGAGAATATATGTACATGTACTTACATGTACCGTAATTAACAGTGTATTAACCAAACTTTTTTGCTGCCAAAAAAATTCAAAGTCGGGGGTGCGTCTTATACACGGTACCCAATTTTTTTTTTTAAAGTTTCGATTTATGCCCCTACACCTGTCGCTATGCCTGGCAATTTCTCCCAGCTCAGTAATCGGTGTGTTGATTCACCACTCGGAAACTAGAACAACACTCAAATTGGTCTGTCATCTTGGTTTGAAAGTAATCTTTCTGATGGATCTCAATATGCAGTTTATAATAATAATTCCTCCAATTTTTCTTCTATTACACATTCAGCTGCACCTCGCAGTTAAATAAAAGGCCTTCCTGGCTTGCTGCCGACAGATTTGGCCCAATTTTTTTTTTTTTTTTTTTAAAGGGCGAAAAAGAGGGGTGCGGTTAATACATGAGGATTATAGATGCTTCTGCCCTATAGAGATGGATATTTTACAGCATAATATTAATTCACTTACCTCAAGATATATTGTACCTAAAGACAGAATGCAGGTTGCATGCATGTACATGTATGTATTCAGATACCACAAACATGTATATAATTAGGATCATCCATTGTATACAAATTTGTTTATTTCTCTGTTTCTGTTTTTAAAAGAAGCACTTTACTGTAAAATGTTCACATGTGCTGATTTTTATTATGTTGCTTCTTAAAAAGAGTTACTTTCTTTGCTTATGTTGTGGACCCCACTCCACCCCACCCCCCCCCCCCCAAAAAAAAAAAAATCCTCACAAAGTAAAAATCACGGTACATTTAACTCCTGTTCCATAGATGCTAAATTAGCTGTACATGTACATGTAGGTTATTGGTTATAATACTTTTCAGTTATAAATCTCAAACCTGCCATTTGTACATGTACATTTTAGTAAAACTCCTCATGCATTGTTTTCTGCATATGATAGGAAAAACTCAACTTATTCATGATGTACCAACATGCACTTATTGAAGAGCAAAGTAAATTTTTAATTATAATGGTGGCATGTCTGAACATGCAGGGTGACATCACATGAACAATATGAAGGAGAAAAAAAGCTCATTTGTCAGGAAGTTATTAAAGAGAACTATAAATGTACATGTAGGCCCAAAAATGTTTTACTATGATTAAAAGCTGAAAAAATATAACCCAGAGTAATAGTTTTAAATAAAAAATAAATAAAAAGGAAGAAAGAAGAAGAATTAGAAGAGCAAAAAAAAAAGAAGTTTGATGAAATAATGCAATGAATGAGAAAGCTATATTTTTGATGGTATACAAAGTTAGTTAGCCCATTTCAAATGGATGCAAGTTGGTAATTCTTTATGATTTTATGATTGTCAGAAGAGTACAGATGGGGGTGGATGCAGTTGACCTCGCCATGTTTAAATTAATGTGTGAGAGAGAGAGAGATAGATAGATAGTACCAGGGAAATTATTACAAATTTGTTGTTTAGTACTTTTGCTTAGTATTTCAGAAAAGGATTTTGACTTTTTTTCTTCTTCAAAATTAAAGCTAAAACTGTAAGCCGGTATAATGTGAATAATGCACTTTGTGCTCTTAAAGCTTATCTGCCATAGTTTACAGGAGGGATTAGAGCGCCCTGCAAGGTCACTGGACAGGTGGTTATCTCATCAACTCAGCTCTCAGTTAACATAAGAAAAAGAGGATCATGGGGGACCAATGGTCACCGATTAGGCATTGTTTGTTGTAAGAGGGCGCAAGTAGCTACGAGTAGTGCAGTGGGCCTTTAAAGATGAAGTTGAGTTCTGGTCATGCAATTGCATTGTGAAAGAAACGGTGTGCAATCGACCAGAAAAGGTTGATCATCTAGCATATAAGAATTTGTGTGTATTGCAAGGTTCTGGAATCATCAAAATGATAAGAACTTAGGCCAAGTCTTGGTAAAGTTACAAACACTGTACACAGAAAGATGTATATGGGACTACACAAACACGTGGCGTAAAAAACCTACCCCCTGACTTTTACGATGTTACATGACATATTTAGAATATGAAGGCATTTGAAGAGCCATGCTTTTCAGGGAACATGTCTTATCTGATGTTCTTCCACACTTGCATGATAAGAATGATAAAGTTCACAAATTATTTTTCACCTCTTCCAGAACTCAACCTTCTCTTTAAACAAATGCTGTACAATAAGTGTAGATGTACATGTACATATGAGATATGGTTTTAAATCTGCCACTGTTTACAAGTTTGGACCAATGGCAGAATACTTCCAGTTGCCATGCTGACAGGTACTAATCAGCAAACAAAAGAGATCTAGGTCAGTTCAAATTTGTATTTGACTTCCTCCTACACAGAATTCCTATTGATAAATAGAGCAGGAGCACTTTGCATTTGCATACATGAATGAACATTCCCAAAGAATGCATATTTTCACCAACAGTATGTAACTGATACCTGGCTTGTATACTAATCCATCTTACACACACTGTATCTATTCAGATTCAAGTCTCAGTCCTCATGAAGTAGTACCACTAATGTATGGGTGGGGTAGGAAATGGGACAAATATATTCAATATACATGTACCTATTATTCTTTGCACTGTCACAGACTATCTCTGTAATTTTTTACTGAGGTCAGAGTCTGTCTTACATCTAGATGTGACTTGTTTGTTGCTGCTGGCTATGAACTTTGACCATGCTATCTCTCCCACCAAGTGTTTGTTTTGGATTCTTGTTTACCTCTGCACTGCCTGGCTTCATGGTGGAGACTGCTAGAGCTGATGGATGTATGGATCTATAAATACATTGTATGCTACATATAATATATCTCCATGTGCGCCATTTAATTGACTCTGACCTATAGGTGGGCGGCATTTAACGTTCAGCAGACGACTTGTTCCCTCTCGTCAAAGACCAGCATTGGAATGTCAGAAATATTTTGAGTGCTAAAGAGCTTCAGAGACATCAACAGTTCAACACTAGTACTCTGCATGATCGGTCGTACTGTTATTGAGTCGTGACGATTTGTAGAGCATTGCACGCATTGAGATTCATATAAACATTCTCAATTTGGTTTAATTGTGAATAATTGTTTCATGTGAGCAGTGTCTTGGAATTTACAAGTAGAACAGAATATGGAGGAAGCAAATGTTCCAAATGATGAAGTAAGTAAAGTGATCATAAATGTGAGTTCATAATTTTTTGTTGTGTTTAAACTTTACAGCATTTAGTCTACACATGTATTGTAAGATCAGGGATATGTCTATCCCTGGTAAGATGTACACTGTAGACTCTAACTCTAGGCCTATAAGATTATCACAGTGATGTGTCTCTTTTAAAATTGTGTTTCTTTGCTCTGTCATTTTCATTCTAAATAGTTTTGATGTTTATCCAAAAGACAACTTTAACAAAAACACAACTTCTGCTGCCAAATAGGCTATTACATGTAACTTTAAGTATTTCTATACAGGAATTTAAAAGAAAAACAAATACAGCACTAAATCTACAGTATTTCTTTCCAAATTCTGTACTGTGTTTTCATGCATTTTTTTCTCCATCTTACTGTAAATTTAACTATGTGACATTCATGTACATTTTATTTCATTCTAACGTGTAGATTTATGCTTTTATATACCAAGATATAATAATCAACTAAATTCATAGTCTTAATTAAGTTAATTCATTCAGGTACTCTGGTAGGAATGGAGGAAGACCAATGTATCTCTTCGGAAGTTATTTGTACTGAGAAGTTGAGATTGATTACCATGAATCTCTTAAAGATTTAAAAACTCTGTCCTCTAGATCAGAGTTCATTTAAATGCGTTGTAATGTGTAAAACCATGAGAAACGAGAGCAAATTACAGTTGGGCTTGGCAGTACTTAACCTTCTATAATCTACAGTATAGTCATCTTTTTTGTTAACCTCTTAATTATTGTAAAATTGAACGAATAGAATTACTCAATTTAATTGTATTGAACTTAACAAAAATAATTACATGTACAATTATCAATACATGTATGAATGTAAATGTCTTTATGATATCCTCCATAACAAAATCATCATCATGTAAAATGTGTGTGAACACCATCCCTGCAATATTTCATCATCAGTGTGATGTGGATGTTTACATAATGACAATTGAACTTTCCTGGATGACTCAGCTGTCTAAAATTTGACTGCCCTGGGATCTACTGTACATGGTAGAAAAATGACAATATCAGTCAGTCTCCAAGCCTGTATGCTATTGAGTAATACAACATGTACATTTACTAGACATACATGTAAGAGGATACCTTCATGTAATTTAATCTTTTACTTTCTTAAAATTTGAAAATTGTCAACTCATTTTGGCTCGTGTACAATGTAAGTGTAGGTCACCGATCATCATCAATAAATAGTATTCTTGCTGTTTTACAAACAGTGTAATGGCATTCACAGTATTTACAAAGTAATTTTGATTGTCTTTTCTTAATAACCATTCATCAATGCTGCACTTTTGAAATCTGAAAACTAAACATTATTTTGGTAAATTGAAACAATGTTCAAGTTTGGCAGTTTCAAGCATTACATTAATGCTTCTACATGTATATCTCAGACTCCCAGTAGTACCCACTACCCAGTTCCTAATCACTTTTACCTGTAGACCTTCATCTACCCCCTCCCCCAGTAATGCACCCACTGACAACACCTGAATAAAATATTGTGATCGGAAGCTGTTGATCTATACAAAGGAAGTGCCAGAAACCCAGGAACTTGATGTTTATCCCACCTTTCAGCTTATTTTTCCATCAGGATTTGAATTACACTTCGGGTGTAGGGCAATTTTTATATTCATTGCTGTATGATATTTCCTCATTTTCCAGTAGCAGCGTTAGTTGTATGCAGCTTTGGATTGGTGTGTATTCTCTTTCCTAGAATCATTTATGTATGTACAGGTGCACGTATACCGTTATATGTTTACGGTTAACTGCATTTATTTGATTTGTTTCTCTGTGTGATCTGCATTATTTTGCTAATTGCTATGGTGTAAGTAGTAGAGAAATACTGTCTGTGTACATACATGCACTTTTATGTGTACCCACTTGACTTTGCTATCAGAGGCAGCAGACACCGGCTATTAAAAGTGTGTTTGATTTTACAACATCATGAGAACTGCATAATGGCAAATGTAGATCCTGAGCATTTTTAATGGATTGATGTTGTGCTTAGGAGCAAAACATGAAATGCACCTCCTGGAGTACCTGGACATGAAATGTGCTGCATTATTTTTACTTGTGACTGTTTTTGAAACTGGTTTTTGATCCTCTCATCCTGCTCACCTTGTCAAGTGCTTTTATTCTCCAACCAGTTTGTTGCTGCATGATACCTGTAGTACAGTGTATGTTGAACCTGTAGTGATAGCATCATACAGACACGCCTCATCAGATCTCTCAAGCTCTTGTTTTTTTCCCCCGTTGAAACAACCGTTGGTGTCTTCTTGTGCAGGGCATTTTTGTATTTTTTTAAGCACTTCATAATCTTGAGAGTCCATAGTTTGTACTTTGTTTACATGAACAAGTACATGTACATGTAGCAGTGACATCACTGAGGAATCACGAAGCATCTTTAGAGTGATTGAATGATTTGTTTGTTTATTTCATGTATTTTTAAATATTTTTTATTGATTTTTTTTCTTTTTACTTCATCAGCTATTGATGAAATTTCATTCACACTTTAGTATTGTAATTGAGCTAATATAGTAAAAAGCGTTATTTTCTTTTCTTTCAGAGTTCATACCAGAGGTCTGGTAGCTATGACAAGGTGAGACGCTTGGTAAAGGAAGAAGGAAGGATGGCTCGTAACCTAGTCACATGGAATGTGCCTGTCGATAGTGATGACAGTGATGGTAAGAACACATTCTGCTTTGATTGGGGCATTAGTGAATGAACCATGGAATACATTCATTTTTTTGATTTAATTCAAAGCATCTCCTCTGCATTGTACATTGTACAAACATTGATAAACTGCAACTCCTGTTTCAATGGCTGAAAGATTTTTTTTTTTTTTTTTTTTTTGGGGGGGGGGGATATTTAAAAAAAAAAAAATTCTGCCCTGTACATTTCTTATGAGGCTGTTTAAATAAAAACAATTTTCAGTCTGCTACCTTAAACAAATAACTATTAGATATGTCATTTTTGTTACTTTGTAGATAAAATTTGTTCAGGTGGTATAAATTGTCTTCATGCAGTATGCTACCAAACTAGTTAAATGCTAAAATGTGAAATGACACAGTGTACAGACAAACATGTCTGAAAGAGCATAATAATAATAATAATAATAATAATACATAACATTTATTAGGCGCTTAATACTGATGTTTCTAAGCGCACAGTGTTCTGATTAAGAGAAGACTATAACCCGTAGAATTAAATTAGAAGAAAAAGCAAAAATACAAAAGTAACATAGATAAGGTAAGAAAAACAGTGGCAATCAACTAAAAAAAGACAAATATGGTGCGCACCTCCATTGACCGACGCACAACTGCAATTTACAATTTGAAAAGATAGGTTTTGAGTAGAGATTTGAATTGAGATACAGAGGGGGCGCAGTGAATAAAGGCGGGCAGTTTGTTCCAGAGAGCGGGGGCAATAACTGAAAAGGCGCGGTCACCATACCGGGTGTTAGTGCGGGGTCCAGGTGTTAACAGTAATGTGGAAGATGAACGAAGTGTTCGTGACGACGTGCGGGAACGTAAGGATATGAGATCGGAAAGGTAAGAGGGGGCTAAGCCATTGATAGCTTTGTAGCACAGGAGAAGAATTTTGAAGGATATGCGGTGGTGAATTTTAAGCCAATGTAGTGAGTTCAATATTGGAGTTATGTGCTCTGATTTACGCGAGAGCATAACCACTGTTCAATTATAGGCCAATACCTTTTTGAGTCATTTCAAGTAGAATGTTCTTGTAAATCTCAAAGTTAATTGCTGGTCCTAATGATTATATTTCAGATGATGAATCCAAGCAACGAAGGAGTCATAAACAGCACCCTCTTGTGATGGGGAAAGCTCGGAAGAAGTCCCAGTCAATGCCGTCCCTAGAAAGCCCTCGAGAACACAAGTCTAGCAGTGGAGATACACAGGCAAGTTGGATTATCAACATGTTTGTGATATTCCACACCTATCAATGGTCATGGGCCAAACAGAACTTGGCTTGTAAAATAATATATCATTCTGAATTGTGGAGCTGTGCCATTTTTTTTTTTTTTTTAAAGGGAATTGTTGAATTTTATTAGCATTTGAATTACTGTATTGAATTGCCTTCAAATATTGTAAATCTTAGATTACAGTGGGACGGGACAACATGGTCAGGGCAACACCAAATGTTTGTAATTTAGGCAAGTGGTCGCCTTGATTATTTCCATGGGACATTGCAACAATTATTTTGCTTTCTTTTGCAATATATGAATATATGATTAAAACAGCCTCTTTATTTGCCCACAGTTAGTAAACATCTGTGTTTATAATTCCATTTTTCTCACAATTTTTTATTTCACAGGAGAAAGGAAGCCTCACTCCTGGCCGCAAGAAGGCCATTGCGAAGAAAGCAGACCTGAGAGCTCGATACTGGGCATTTCTCTTCGACAACCTCCAGAGGGCAGTAGATGAAATCTACCAGACGTGCGAAGTGGATGAAAGCATTATGGAGTGCAAGGTAAGATCTGGTACAAATTTCATAGCATATCAATAACATGAATTGGAGTTTTGAAAAGAGCAAGTTGATAGATTTCAGATTGATGATTTAACATTGTATCAGAGCCTCGACTTTCTTAAGAGTGCAGTTTGCTCATACATTACATTACATTACAGTAAAAGAGTTAACTGGTATCCCAAAGATTAGAAATACTAATTACCAATTTAGAATTAAAGAATTACGAAAGCCATTATCCAGGAAGATTATGCTGCTTTTGCTCCACCAGACATTTACATTTTCTGCAGAATATTTAACAACTATATTCTAACTCTTTGCATGTTGTGACTACTACTACATAAAATTTCTCTCAAGTTCCTCTGCTCAGTGTCCCATCTTCCTTATTCCATTGTTTCTTGCATGCTATCATGTGACCTTTTATGCTATCATGTGACCTTTCATGCTATCATGTGACCTTTTCTACAGGAAGTGATCATGATCCTTAAGAGTGCCACTCAGGATTTCGAGTCGCTCATCAAGAGGATTACTGTCCAGAAAGACTTTGAGAATGCTGATGCTGAAAACAGGTATTTCTTTGTGTTCCACTGTTTTCGTCTTTTTTCAGTTTGCTGTTCAGTTTTGGGAGTTTGGTTTTTTTATATTAATTTTCAAACATATTTGTAGATTTTTCTGAAACATTGACTATATTTGTGTTAACTACTACATGCTTACGAAGTAAGAAATGTTAGTTTTACATTTAAGCCTGGTCTAGGGTCTTTCCAGCCTATATTTGAGGTACTTTCAATTTCAAAAGAATGACTGGTATCCTTTACGCTATATGTGTCAACATGTTCAAAGTGAGTAAAGGGGCACTGTTGTGTAAATGATTACTTGATTAAGTTAGAATTGAGTACGGTAGTTTCTATTTCAAATATTATTCCTCATGGAAAATTATTCCTTGAAACACATTTTTGACAGAGTGAGAATGATAACATGAATAATGCTAATAATATCAGCAGTACATCAATTAATCAATTTGGGTTACCAAGATTCTTAATGAAATGATCTGATATTTAAGGTGAAAATTATGCAGCTCTTAAATATTCAATTTGCAAAGCAATTCCTTTTCGCAAAATCAAAATTGACCAATACTTTCTCACTCCTACAAATGTGCACTTTTTAAATAATGTTCACCTTTTATGTAACAAAATCACTTTCTAATTGTGCTCTAGTTTGGGTTTCAGACTACTTAACCCCTTACTGCTTTTTCCCACCTCTTTTTGTTTTTCTTTCCTCTTTTTGTTTTTCTTTCCTTTGCTGTGTTATTAATTTATTCTTTAATATTTTTTGCGGTGATCCCTTCACCTTCCCTTGACCACCTTGATTTGACCACTAACCCATCTCTAATTATCAGACCGACTTCCATCGTATGGGAGGTCAGGAAGTCATCCTCATCCCCAGCCAAGCTAAGATCACCTAGCTGGCCTGCTGAGGCTCGGCTTCATTCACCTAGACGGTTGGTACATCATTGTAGTAGTCGTCTTTGCAGAGCTGCCAACTTTTATGTTTTCCCAGAATTATTCTGCTTTTTCCTCCAAATTACAGTAGTACGTTTTTTCTTCATAAAATATGTTTTTTTAAATATTCAATCAATTTTCTTTTTACATATCGCACCTCAAACAACTGCCCTGATTTGATCACAGATTCAATAAAAAAAACTAAGGTTAAAACATACTTGAAGAGAAAAATATTCTCAAAAAGAATGAAACGCCAATACTAACAAAATAACAACCCAAAAATACCTACTTGTAAATAAACTGAAAGGTCCTAATATGGAAAAAATAGCATGAGGAATGGACATTTCTGCATTGGAAGTGTGTCGCGCATGGTTGTAAGTTTCGTTTGAATGAATTCCTTTTTTTTGCCATCATTGTTTCTTTTTTGGTCGCACAAGGTTGGCAGCTCTGTATTTGATGGATTTCTAGGAAAGAGGGAGGGTTGAATTAACATTCCTGCAGGATTGTGATGATTTTAAATGATTTTTCCCCTAAAACAAAATCGTCATGAATTCTTTATCCCTCCTCATCCCGATTAAATCACAGATTACCCAGCTGGCCTCCCGAGGCTTGGCCTCATACAACAAGGTTGTTATTGGTTTTTAAATCGTCATTGGACTATAAGGGCTCTGAGGAAGGAGGGAGGTTGATAGGCTGACAAGTCTCTCCCTCAATAGTAATATTAATCAAACTTATGATTGTAAAAGACCATTTACACACAAAAATCCTTCATCTCCACATGCAAATCCCTCCTTTGATAGTATGTTTCAACAGTACCTGGTATAATGTTTTTGTTTGGAGATCAAACATCTGACATCAACACAAGATGAAACAACAGCCTTTCTGATTTGTAGGAAAATAAGTGTGGTCTCAATCAGTAATACATAAAACATGAATTTTCTCTCATGAGATAATTCATACAGATTCCTAAGGATACTTTAATTGATATTAATTCTTGTTTTAATGATTCTGGTGTTTTAGATTTAATCATGCTCTGTCCGTTTACAATTTCTGGCTTCTCTGAGTGTGTACATTTTCCTTTAATTGTCTTGGATTATCTCTATTGCACAATTTCTCCCCAACCTTGATCAAGTTTGTATTTTTTTTTCTTTCTTAATATTTGCTCCTAAATTAAAGAAAGGACACCTGCCAAGAACTGCATGTAATTTGCTTTTTATGCTCTGATTTTGAAAATGCATGCCTTTATTTTTCTGATTCTGTTTTAGTTTTTCAAAATTGAGTTTGTTTCTGTTGAACTATCAGTTGTTGCAATTCCTAGCACTAAACAGATTGTTCTTAATGCATTTGAGATGATTGATTGCGAAGATACGAAATGAGGAATCTGTGTGTTTGACCTAGCATGAGGTATAAGCCAGGGGCCCGTTTCACAAAGCCTTTTTTCAATGACAAATGACAAAAATCAGTGGCAAATCTGCTGATAACCAATCAGAAGCAAGGATTTCAGTAGCTCATAACAATGACAAGTTTTGTGAAACGCCCCCCTGGTTTCATTGCATGTTTCTCACAGGCCTACATCCCTGGCATGGGAGGTGCGTAAGACGTCCCCCGGACACGCCCTTGGTAGCCCCACCCCTGATGGGTACAGAAACACCCCCAGTCCGGTGAACAGGACATTGAACTTTGGCACAACAGCTGCTGCACAAGGGTCTGGAAAAGCAAGGTAAGATTTGGAGCTCTAAATCTTCATGAATATTTTGATGTGCAATATATTTTGATCCCATTTATGTTTATTGTTCAATGATGTTATTTCCAGATTTTTGGCAATGTCAGAGACAGCTGTTGGAAAAGGAGAAAAATTAGTATTTTTTTAATATGTTAAAAATTTAGTTAATGAAAAAAAGGCAATTGTGTAATCAAAGTAAATTTTCTAATATTTATATGTAAATCAATTTGAATTCCTCCCATATTTTATCCCTTATTTTGTTTTGTATATACATGTATTTGTGTAGATAGAGAGTGAGAGGGATATATATATATATATATCTGCTGATAACCAAAAAGAAGCAGATTTGACCATTTTCTTCACGCCTACATATTCTGGAACACCCGTTGTCATGTCAGAGTTGAGAATTCTCACACTTTTATATTTATAGATAGAGAGAGAGAGAGAGAGAGAGAGAGAGAGAGAGATAGGGGAAGAGATATGTAGAGATAGAGGGGGAAGAGAAAGAGGGAGAGAGAAAAAGAAAGAGAGAGATAGACAGAGAGAGAGGGGGAGGGGAGAGAGAGAGAGAGAGAGAGAAAGAAATTTGTCTTCAAATGTCTGATTTTTGAGTTTCTCATTTCAGTTCAATCATAACTAAATCTACTCCTTCACTTCATTGTATCATTTTACTTCATCATACCATCTTGCATCTCTCTTTCATTAGCCCTGTTCCAGTGGCTTCCATGGGCACTAGCTGGGCTGACAGAGTAAAGGGCAAGAAACCCATCAGACCTATCCCACAGTCTCCCATCAAAGAGGAACCAGCCAAGCAAACTCCCCATCCTCCTCCTCCTGCTCCTCCTTCTGCTCCTCCTTCATCCCAAGATGCTCAGAATGAGACAAGAGTACCCAGTCTAGATGGGACACACAGCGAAGGTACCAATACTCGCCTTGATTTAATGCTATACCTATATTGTGTTCAATACATTGCATTGACTTTGTCAAAGAACAAGAAGGCAAAGTGAATGTATTAGCACTCACTTCTCGCCATGGTCTTCTATTCTTAATGTGTCGACATGGTAACGGTGGTTATTTAATTTATTGAAAAATAAGGCAAAATCTTTGCACTACTCAAATGAAGATAGAGTGAAATGGAGAGATGTTGCAATCAACCTCCGAACAGGGAGAAGATACTCAGATAGCTAGAAAGACTCATGACATGGTTACTTAAAATATCATGTAGAAAACTTCTTTTTTTCAAATCATAAACTTGCTTAAGAACAGGGCAGCATGGGACAAAACTGTCATAAGCCTTAAGTTCGTGGTCATCAAATGTGAACGTGTGTTAAATCCTATAGGTATTATGAATTTTAGGACAAGGGTTAAGAAAAAGAAGAAATTTTGAGCAGGGATTGAATAAATGTTTTTAGTGGATATGAAAACAAAATTGGCCCAGTTGGTCTTACCCCCTGGCATTGGTCACTGTGCTATTAACCTTCTCAAATAACATGTACCAATATTGCTTAATCTGATTTGGTAATCATTGTTAGGATATGACTTGTTTTTATTTATATTTATATTGTTTGTGCTTCTTCTGTGACAGATGCTGATGACGAGGGCTGGGAGACAGTGCAACGCAGCAAGCCGAACCGTTCCCGCCCCTCCTCCGCCAAACACGCTTCATCCTCCAACAACAATAGCCGGCACCACCCTGCCGGCACCACCTCTGCAAACAAAGCCCCTGCCCCTCCTGGTACACACTCGGTGCAGACCAGCACTGCGCCAGTGTCCAGTAAACCCCCACTGCCTGCTCACTCCAAACCCAGGGAGAGGGCTGACAGCGAGAAAGAAAACAGACCAGACCATGTGAGTATTCATTTTACAAGATTTACAGCTATCCTGGAAATATGAGGAAACCTGGAAAATGAATTTTCTGTTTTCCTGTCAGGGAAAAGTTGGGGAACTTTTTAGAAATCATATAAATCAGTGTAAGAGGGGATATTCATTGGCCTAAAAAGTAATCAATATCTTATATTTTGTCTCTTGTCCAAGAGGAGAAAATGTTCAAATGTTTTGAAGATATTGTGAAGATGCTGGAAACTTTAACTTGAGATTATGATAGTAATCCTGGAATTTTCAAACACCATGTCATGTAATGACATAAACAATAACTTTTCCTTGATTAAAAGCAAGTTATATAAAAAAAAAAATGTGAGAGTATCATTCTCTTCAATCATTTAAAAGAAAAAATGTTCTTTTCCTTTTCTTCTCAACTTTCTTGTAATATAATTACTCAATTACTCATTATTCCTTAGTATCATTTGAGGTGTTCACACTTATACGAGCATTGCTTTTTAGTGGACCCCTCTACTTCCAATATGTATTTCTACATTTGTTGTAACTGTTAATAATTGATTTGTAATGTTTTGTTGGAAACATAAATAAATTGAAGTTGAAAATTGAAATTGAATTGAAATTGAAATTGGAAAAAAAATGAAATGCATTCTTTGTAGGTTGACCAGAGGAATCTTGCTAGCGGTGGAGGAGTCAACCGACAACTGATGCAGGAGAAACAGAACGTCTCATCACCAGCTGTAATGATCTTGGATATAAAGGAAGAGGATCCCTCTATCATTAGAGCATCATCAACGCGTAAGTCTTTAATCTGATTTATGAATTGAATTTAGTCTGGATTGTGAATTGAATTTAATTTGAATTATGAACTGAATTTTATCTGAATTATGAATTGGATTTGGTCTGAATTATGAATTTAATTCAATTATTTAATCTAAATTTTGAAATGAATTTTGGTCTTCATTTTGTGCTATCATATTTTGTTTTATCTATGTTCAAATCAATTGGATTATTCTGTATCCATCTGTATCTTATTGATGTTTATAATCTGTACTTTTGTATTGACATGCAAACAAAACAAATTTCCAATAATTGGACAATAAAATTTGAATTGAATTGAATTGAATTGAAAAATCTCCTTCCAACTGGGAGCAATGTGGTATATTAATGACGGCTCTTGTTTTTTAGTACAAGAGGTCTCGGGTTCAATCCTTGCTAGATGCATACATCCTTGGACAGGGTGTTTTGCCAACATTTGTCCCTCTACCCAGGTTTAAATGGGTACTTGGTATTGCTGGGGTAATAGTTATTAACTGCTTCTTAGGAAGAGCAGTATTATGACTGATAAGGCTACTCTGGGTAACTACAATTCTTATTACTAAATTATTATTAAATGAAAAAGGGGTATAAGAATATATTGTTGTATTCATTACCTTTATTTGTATATAATCATATTTTTACATACAGATACCGGGAAATGCTCCAGAGGGAGACTTATGAGGATACATCAAAAATTCGATCTGTGACAATAAACATTGAATGGCTAAAATGCATTACAAACCAAACTTTCGACTCATTATTTCAGTCTGATGCAAGCTAGTGTTTTTTCAATATTTTTTTTTCTTCAGTGGAATGAACCTGAAATTTGACTTGTCAAAAATTATGTATTCCTTTTTTTTCTTCTTTTAGGCAAAGGACTAGATTTCTCCTCTGATGAAGAGCATGGAGATGATGATAATGAAGAGGTATTAGCTACAAGACTTGATGATGTGGAGGTATGCTGTGTTTCTAACATTGTTTTTATTAACAACTAATAATTAAAATACCCTTGAGCTTCATTCACACCTGACAGAGTAAACCTCAGAAAAACACTTTCGCAAATGAATTGACTGTAGTGTAATAATGATAATAATAATAATAGTGGAGTCTTGTTTAGAGCTCTTGTCTGGCGCATTGCCACTCCTGGCGCTCCATTATTATTACCCTGGCTTCAGCAGGGTTTAGTGCCCTTCATTGTATTTATATCTTTAGATGCACAGTGAATATGGTCAGAGGCTTTAATTGCCACAGCTACTCCCCCCCCCCCCCCCCATACTTTCCATTCACTTGCATATCATGGTCTTATTTTGCTACTGAGGTTTTTTTTAGGGGTAGATTACTCTGTCAAGTGTGAACGGGCTATAGGTAGACATAGGATCATAGGATCATATTTTGTGAGAAGCATAAATATATATTTATCTAGTCAGGACCAGAATTATTCGTATACATATAGATGTAGATTGAATATTTCTTTTAGTAGGCAGGAAGTATATAATTTTTCTCTCCTATGAAATGGGATGAGGAAGGTAGGCAAGGAACAGAATATTCTCTTCTTGGACGAGGGATTAAACAAGATGCACTCTCATGTAAATGTACATGTAGGATGGAACAAAGGATTTTGTTTGGGGGGAGGGGGGGATAAGGGGAACAGATTTTTTATTTTATAAGACAAGAGAAATGAATGAGGAAGTGGGATAGAGGAACATGGTGTTTTCATAGGCTTATCAGAAATGCAATATCTCCTATTTGGCTTATTTTCAGAATAAACTAGTCAAAAATTGAATTTTAAGAGTTAAAGTTATCACTATGGAAAAATGCAAGATAAAAGATTCTTTGTAGCTGTTTATTCCAGGATGTGCTGAAAGATCCACCAGTGATGGTATGGTAATAAAGTAGATAAGGTGTCACTACACATTTTTGGGAAGTATTGATCGTGCTCCCCTATACTAGTAATTCCTAGGATTTTGAAGATTCCACATAAAAACATACAAAGAAACTGAAAATTTCAACAACATGAACAAATTGAGCTCGTCAGAACAACAATTGTGTCATTGTTTCTTCGCATAATATGCAGCCCATTTTTGCAAAGGGATTCAATTTTTTGAAAATATGGGACCTGTTGGCGTCAGAGATATGATAATAGATTACTATAAAATTACGGTATCTTTGAAAAAGATGGTAAAAGAAAATTGATGACAATTTTTCATGCAACAACCAACAGTGCATATTTCAAACTTATGTTCATTATATCTGATCACACTAAGGGACACTATTGCTACAAATTTCAAATCTCAGTTTATATTTTGACTAACATAGGTCTTTTTAATAGTTCTTTTTAGACTTTCATTTTGGATTTTCTTTTGGATTGTGTACAATGTAATGGTTGGAGTAGTTTTTGTTTGGATTAGTGTTTTTAAAAATTTACTAACATTTGAGTGCTGTTTGTGTTTTAAGCAGAATGCTAACAAATTTTTCCAAGGTCTTTAGTTTTTCATGGTGGGTTTGTATGGTCAATATCGAGAATTATTTTTCAAGAACCAACTCAAAAAGAATAACAACATTCAATTTTTAACAACAATCTATTATTTTGTGACTTGCTCACAACTCTATTCAACACTCATTCCTTTCTTGTGTGGATCACTTTGTTAAAATGTTTTCTTTACTCTGCACCTTTTCCCTCTTTAAGTTCTGTTTAATCAAAGAACTATTCAAAAAGTAGTGATCTACTGTGGAGTTACTCACAACTTTTTTTTCACACAAGGTTTTTGTCATTGAATCTGCCGAACACTAACTTCAACCTAACTCTGAATGAAACCCTAATGAATTGCATGTATTTTCGTTAACATGTGTCCTTTGGATTACAGATGTATTTATCAGTATTCCCCCCATGTTTTGTTTCTTTATTTGTGGAAAGATTTATTATGACAATTTTCAGAATTTATAAGGTGAGGACAATAAAATGATAAAGAGACTCGTTGATGGAAAACCCTTTGTGTTGAGGTTTTATTGTGTTTCATATTCATCATAGAAGTACAAAGATTGAAAATATATTAATTTATAGACTGACCTTAAAATTATGATACAAAAAAAGGACTGAACTTATACTTTTTGGGGGGTAAAACCATGTGATATTCAAAATATAAATGTCAATTTCTTTCAAGATATTGAACACAAATATTTCCGGAAGATATTATTGCATAAATTTCAACATGTCTCGTATGACCTTTAGTAATTCCTCTTATTCCCTCTGACTATCCTAGACTGATCTAGATGAGGAAGAAACACTGACCAATGAGCTGGCCAAGTGCCAGGAGGAGGCCCTCGCTCGGGCCATCGCTGAGGAAGAGAGCCTCAACAAGGAGATTCAGGAAGAGGAGCAGACAGAGATCGTCGTGGAAACGGATGATGCAGAGAGTGACCTAGGGGTGAGCTGTTTCTTACATCTCAGCTCTGTCATATTTTAATTGTGTTCAAATGGACATTTGAAATTGAATATGGTTTAACCAGTAAAAGATATGTTAACAGGAATTTAAACATGCATGTATGTTTCTAGCAGAATTTGATTATTTGTATAAAATGATTTTACCATCATGTCAATTTCTTCTTGATGAAGTTGTCAAAAGAGCATTGATGATATATAAAAAAAATTGCATTGCATTGCTTAATGAAGTTCCAAGCACAAAAAGACCCCCCCCCCCCCAATAAAAAAAGAAAAAGAAAATCAAGTATAAGTTGCAAATCAAATAATTTACTTTTTACATGATTTAGATGAAATGTTACATCAAAATCAAATAGATGTATATGAACAGAAAAGGTTTGTAAAATGTATACACCTTTTTTTTTCTTTTTCTTGAAATTGAGCATATCACTTTATCCTTGAACTAAAAGAAAACACTAAAGGATATTCGAGCATGAACTAGGTAAATTGAAATTTGTTTGTTTTGTTGTTCTTCTGATTAGAATACAATGAGTTCATTGGAGTGTTCCCAGCAAGCCTCCGACTGGGCGGACATGGCTTTGGACTTTGAACAGCGAGAGAGTGAGGGTGCATCTTGGAATGAGCTGGTGAATATAGCCGAGAACGTGGAGTTGGCCAGGACACCAGGATATGCTCTGCACATGCATGAGAAACTCTCCTCGCCTTCAAGGAAAAGGTAGATGCAGTGAAAGAACAAATTTTAAGGGGTATTTTTAAAGGAGAGATGCAATCTGGTTGATTTGTGGTATGGGAAAGGATGATTGTTTTAACTATCGGTTATCGTAGTTTGGATTATTATAATGAAGAACTGTTTATTCTAAAGCTCAATTTCATGATGAGGGAACACTGCAGAAATAACTTCTGTTATTTAATTCAACATAAAACAGAGGTTGGGTCAAATAATTTTGTTTTGTTTCGTTTATGACATTTTAGATAGAAATATTTCTATTTCATTCCAAGTTAATGACTATTTTAGTCTTTAGTGTTACTGATTTCTTAATCAATTTTATCTTTTAATTTAAGTTTATGCATTTTTGCCTCTAAATGAATGTGAACTTGATTCAGTTCAGCCATTTAATGTAAAAAGTAATTAAAATTATACAACCAAGCAAGGATATGACAAATCAAAGAGTTATGAACTCCTGATCTTCTTGATTAATGGCATCAGCCCCCCCCCCCCCCCCCCCCCCAAAAAAAAGACCTGTGTCTTGGTCTGGTTCATTATTTGAAAAGTCAGAGCCCTAAACCAAAGGTCTTTATCTCATCTTTTCTCCATCTCATCAGGACGAGAGAAGAATCTCAGAAGCGTCATGAGGAGAGACAGAGGAAGGCTCAAAGCAAGAGGGAACAGCTCTCAGAGGCTAAGTCTACTAGACTTACAGTGCTTCATGAAAAGGTAAGAACTGGGGGGTGTTTCACAAAACTTGTCCTCGGTGACAAAAGACAGTTTTTGTTATAAGCTACTGAAATCATTGCTTCTGATTGGTATCAGCAGATTTGTCAATGATTTTTGTCATTTGTCATTGAAAAAAGGCTTTGTGAAACCGGTCTCTGGTTCTAAGAATTTATGAATATGTTGTAGCACTTGTGTTATTGAAGGTGTCTATCACTGACAGGGTTGTAACTTTCAGATTTTTTTACTTTTAAGCAAAAAGACAAAGAAAGAGAGTTTAAGTCTGCTTGATATTTATTCTCCAGAAATTCAAGAAAACTTGTGTATATGAGCATTCTTTTAACTTGCCTGATGTAACTTGAGTATCAATTTTTGTCTCGCCTGCGTAGCAAAAAGCGAGACATAGGCGCCGCTTTTCCGGTGACGGCGGCGGCGACGGCGACGGCGACGGCGACGGCGTCAACATCAAAAACTTAACCTAAGGTTAAGTTTTTGAATTTTTGGTATAATTTTTAAAGTATAAGTTCTTAGTCAATGAAACTTTGACTATAGGGTAATCAAGTATCCCCAATCATGTGAGTAGAATTTCAGATCACAAAGTCAAGGTCAAAGGTCATTTCAGGTCAACAGACTTGGACTATGTTGTAGCATCATCATCGAAAACTTAACCTAAGGTTAAGTTTTTGAATTTTTGATATAATTTTGAAAGTATAAGTTCTTAGTCAATGAAACTTGGACTATAGGGTTATCAAGTCTCTCCAATCATGTGAGTAGAATTTCAGGTCACTAAGTTAAGGTCAAAGGCCATTTAAGGTCAACAAACTTAGACTTTGTTGTGGCAACAACATTAAGATTTTCAAAATGCTTCTTCTTCGTTATTTTTCAACCGATTTTGATTCTGATTGTTTCATATGATAGGGCTAGGAGGGGATTTAAAATTTCTACACAGAATCGTGAAATTCATTATCTATGCTAATTTATGCAAATTTATTCGAAATCACAAAAAAGGCTTCTTCTCCTTCATTTCTCGACCGATTTTGATTTGGTTTGCTTTATATCGTAGAGCTAACTTTGGTACACTAAACTTCTATTCAGATTGTTCTCCATTAATTAATTATGGTAATTTATGCAAATTTATTCCAAAAATAACAAAAATTGCTTCTTTTCCCTCATTTCTTGACCGATTTTGCCTTATCTGGTAGAGCTAAATTTGGAACAATAAACTTCTACACAGAATTGTGAGATTTTGCTCCATTGATTATTTATGGTACTTAATGCAAATGAAATGAAATTATGTCCCTTCCAGGGCATCAAATTTCTATTTTTGACCAGTTCAAAAGTGTACCACATAAAATTTACGATATTTGTTGTTGTGAGATGCGGATGAGCGCTACGTCATTGACGTTCTGGTTTATCATATTGAATTGCGTTATGCAGGCGAGACCGCCGAGAGCGTTTCCCTTGTTTAAATCCATAGACTTTCAGAACAGTGCATTAAGATTACCTGCAGTAGTAGGTTTGTTATAAGAGTTCATAAGAATAAGACATTGATAGTAAAGTATTTCATGTGCATGGTGATAAAAAGTACATGTTATTCTAGCATGCCAAAAAGACATGGTGATTGCACACTGTTTGTCTAGAGAATCATGGAAATTTCAAACTTTGGTATTGATGCCCAGTATTAACAATGCACTTGACTATTTCTCTTACAAATTAGGCCATGCTTTCAAAAGTTGATTTCTAAGAGAGATTCCTAGTTTGATCTACATGTCTAGGGGAGTGTTTCACAAAGATCCTAAATTGAAATTATCTCTAAGTTGGACTTAACAATTATGGAAAGCCGTTGGCATCTATGAAAATATTTTGTAAAAGTTATTTTAAAAGGCATAAAATGTTGATTCAAATCATTGATATTTTCTATTATCTAAGAGATTTGATGTTCTTGATGTGGCATTTATAAAAAGTCTAAATTACTTGTATTCTCGCTTTTGACTTTTTCTAATCTAAGGCTACAAATGGCTCACCATATTGTTTAAGTCTAACTTAGAGTTTAGTTTGACTTAGGATCTTTGTGAAACACCCCACTGTACAGGTTGAAGAGGTGGTGGAATGGAAGGACGAACTGAACAGACAGAAGAAGAAACTTCTTGAGGAGAAGCAGAAGAGAGCCGAGGAGAAGAGATTGATGCAGCTACAGGCCGTCATCAGGAAGGCACAGGACGAGGAAGCAAAGGTAAGCAAAGCTTAACGTCTAACCTGTTTCATGAAACTTGTTATCAATAACAAGTTACAATAACATACAGTAGGCTTACGGTTGCACCATGTGAGAGAGGGGGAGGGTTGAGGAGTCTTGAAAAGGACTGTCAGTAATCTTTCTTTCTTTAGTGTGTGTGTGTAGTTCTGGAAAGGACTGTTGGTAATCTATCTTTGAGCTTATAGTTCTAAAGAGAACTATAGCCCTGTTTGGAGGGAATGGGTAGTAGGAGGGGCTCTACGTTTTGAACAAGTTGACTATCCATCGACGGCCTACTGTATATCTACATGACCATGCAAGCTGATGCTTATAAGCAGCATCTAAGTTACAATAACTGCTATATGCTACGGATATCGTGCCATTTGATTGGCTGAGAGCAAATTTGTCATAGAAATGTAGCTTTTGTTATTGATAACAAGTTTTATGAAACAGGGCCCATGATTTGATTGGTTGTGATTGATTTACATGAATTTATTTGTTTGATTCTTTTTCAAATGCATTATTAATAATTTCAAAAAATTAAAACAAAAATGAGGCTGGCTATCATGACATTTTGGGATGGACAATTTCTTTTTGTAATCTATGAAGTTTCTCTGTCATTATTCTTTGTCGTAGGCCAATGAAATAGCATTCATCAATTCTTTGGAGGCACAGAACAAGAAGCATGACATCATGGCTAGGCATCAGGGTCATGAGGCTCGTTACCATGACATCCTGGAGGAGAGACAGAGGAAGAATGAGGAGAAGGCTGCTAAGGAGGAGGCTGTACAGGTAAGAGACAATATCACCTCTTATTTAAACATACTTGTGGCTTACACCCAGTAATATCACCTCTTGCTCTGTGGATTATAGCTTTCCTGCCATTGTCTTGAAATATATGTTTTTTTCCATTTTTTTAAATTAAGAAAAAAAAAAAACTTATTTTAATGTATTTAGGATTATGAATGTTATTACAACTTAGATCCTTAAGTTGATCACTTTTCTGGATCTCCAATTGTCCCACATGCAAATATGCAACATTTGATTTATCCTAGATGATTAGCTATACACAAGGTGTACTTGTACTTGTATTTCCTCCCTTCGTTAAAAAGCAATGACACTACATTTAACAGGAACAAGAACATTTTTAACTTAGCAGTAAGAGTTACCTGGTAAACAGATATTTAGATACTGCTTCCCTGTTAAAAAAAACACCATATATTGATGTTTGAAATGTTGCACCCTTTCTGTTGTTACAGGAAAGAAGAAAGGCTCTTGAAGGGGAGAGGATAGCTCGGCTGGAGGCTATGAAGAAATATCGTCGTGAGCAGGAGGAGAAGATGAATGCTTTGAAGGAGCAAAGAGAACAAGCAAGGGAGAGTACAGTCAAGGAAAAGGCAAAGTAAGTCATCGTTTTACCTTCCAATTCTTTTGTATGTGTCACAGAAGTTTTAGACAGTGCATATTCTTAACTAAGTTTTATAAGGAAAGGAATATGTTACATAGGAGATATATCAATATATGTTTACACGAGAGAGTGAGACAGAGAGAGAAAGAGAGAGAGAACAGAGAGAGAGAGAGAGAGAGAAGGGACAGAGAGAGAGAGAGAGAGAGAGAGAGAGGGGACAGAGAGAGAGAGAGAGAGAGAAGGGGGGGGGTGGTACTCAATTGATACTACAGCACTGTACATGTATACGCCTACCGTATTTAACATTAGAATGATATGAGTATCATAGCCTATTGATGCTCTCTATACATACATCTTGCAGGGAACGCGAGCAGCGACTATCAGCACTAACGGCTGCTCAAAATGCCAAAGAGGAAGAGATTCAGAAGAAAATTCAACAAAAGGTAAGCAGAGAATAATTTTAGAATTATTGTATTTGTTGAGCTACTGACCCATCACTGGCTACGCTACCAGTCGTCTCTACATAAAAAAAGACAAAGACCTTGTAATAACCCACTGACCATGAAAACGTAGTGTTTCCTGTATTAAACAAATGGGAATAAAAATATTTCGTACTCAAAGGGTTAATGAAGTGGTTAATTATGATAAATTCCCACATATATTGATAGCTTTTTTTTGTAGACGTACACGTAAGCTCTATATATGATAATGTGGATGCATAAACAGGCAGTGTGTGGTTATGTGGAAATTATTTTTGTTTGTATGTAAATAGTTTAATTTTGTAGTCTATTGATGTTGAACATTAATTTTTTTTATATTTTTCTCCTTTTTTTCTCCTGTAGCATGATGAGAGTCAGAAGCGCCACAATCAACAGATTGAACAGAAGAGAGAGAAGGCCATTGAACTGAGTACCCTTAGACATTATCGTACCAGCGACTCCGCCCCTAAACAGAAACCCTACGAGAGGAAGAAGATGTGTAACTTGTGCAATGTATTGGTATGTTAGCTTTTTATAACAATGACTTATAGTTGAGCAAATATGAGATTTTTTTCCCCCTTCCTTTTCATTTCTTCACTCTAAAAATGTTTCATCTGTATTTTTGAGCATATCAATATTTTTATGGAGATTTGAACTCAGGCCTGATAAAAACCCGATTTAAATCGGTTTCCCGATTTTTTTTATTTTTCCCGATTTTTTCCCGATTTTTTTTTTCTTCCCGATTTAAAAAAAAAAAAAAAAAAAAAAAAAAAAAAAAAAAAAAAAAAAAATCATTTTTTTTTTTTTTTTTTTTACCAATTTTTTTTTCCTTCCCTATTTTATCCTGATTTTCCTGATTTCCCTCTTATTATCTCTATTCTTCCCTATTTTTCCCCCAATTTTCCCCCCAATTTTCCCAAGTTTGTCTCAATTTTCTTACTCGAAAGGGGGGAATGTTGTTAGATGCCATTTTTCCCCCGCGAATCGTCTTTTTTTTTTTTTTTTACTCAAGGGGGGCGTGGTTGAGGGGAAAACAAAAAACCTATTTTTTTTTTAGTGCTCACTATCACCCCTGTGAACTGTACTTGTTGGTTCCTTTACCCTGACAATAACTGATGAAGCCGTAATTTTTTTAAAGCAATTAAGGGGTTGTTACAGTTTGAAGTTCTGAGTTGGCAATTTCATTTTGGTCAAACTTTGTAACTATTAAAAATGTCCTGCTCAGTAGCTGTAAAAGTGTCATTTTAGTTTAATGACTCTTTAACACAAGACCATTATAATGCAATTTGTGAAGGAACAATTTGATAGAAAAGTGCAAGATGATTATAAAATCAAATGACATCAAATCAAGTCAAATGTATCCAGTTCAATAAAGCAGTGTTGACATGAAAATAGAACACATTTGTGAATTGATTGTTTTGTGAATGTTTGTATTGGACAGATCCCATCTGAGGTCTATCTGATGAGTCATCTGAGAGGAAAGAAACACAGAGAGAAAGTAGCAGAGAAACACACATCAGCTAGCATCAGTGAAGAGGAATTGGTAAGCTTATACTCTTCATAATTTAAAGCCCCACTGTACTACTTGTATCCATTTGCTCTCTCTATATAGAAAACAATGCCTAATCGGTGCCTGTTGGTCCCCCATAATCCTCTTTTTCTTATGTTAATTGAGAGCCGAGTTATAATAATGATAATAGCCTAATAGTCCACTCCAAATTTTATTAAACCGAAACGGAAATTCTTTTTGCCCAATTGATCTTGAGCCCGGCAGCCACTGAGCAGCGCCAGATCGACGTTGCTCTATCCCTTATTGTTGAACACCAAACAAGGTAGCAACAACTCCAATCTTTTAATGTCTTTGGTATGACGCGGCCGGGGTTCGAACCCACGACCTCCCGGTTGTGAGGCGGACGCTCTACTGACTGAGCCAACACTCCGGTATGATGAGTTGATGAGATAGCCACCTGTCAGTGACCTTGCTGGGTGGTCTAATCCCCCTGGCCACACTAGTAAAGATGCCCTTTAACTGAAAAACCAATTAAATGATAAAAAGAGGTCAGAACTATTTACTAATAAAACTTTGTGCATGAAGCTTAGCATATTGAACATTAGCTTGATGTGCTTGTGCTGTGGCACGTGCTGCATTAAGTATATATAATCGTATGAGGTACCTATCTACTACACTTGTGTCAGAAGCTGTAATTATATCATCATGTATAACCAAAGATGATTATTGCAGGACCAGACCTCAAAACCTGTTACTCTGCATCTTCCTTCAATTGCTTATACCACTAGACTAGGACAACCTATATGTAGTAGTAGTAGTAAAATGGTTTATTAGCACAACTGAAAAATCGTAGCTGAGAGCTAAAAATACATTGCAAGTTTTACAAGCTCAGATTTTAAAAACATTTCAACAGAACGAAAGTGTAGGTTATACATATATGTCCAAGGGCCTTCATTCTGTAAGCATGTATTTCATTATTAGCATCCCATATGAAATACACACAGAACTTGACCAGTGTCACCGATGATTGAATAATGACGCAGTTTCTTTTTAGAAAAGAAAGATATCCGACATAGACAAAACGATTTACTAGCAACGATTTATTTTGATGAAACCTCTGCAGGAAAACAATTTTGTGAAGCTTGTGGTGGAGGCTCCCGGAGACCAGTCCCACCCTGAGATCGTAGCTGAGAGGGAGAGACAGAAAGGTAGTCGCAAGAGAGCCAGGAAGCTTAGACAGAGGATGGCCAGTAAGGGCAAGGAGTATGAGAACAATCTGCCTTCAAAGACACAGGGACAAGACTCACACCACAAAGCAAAGTGAGTCGATATGGTTTTGTAATTGTGCATGGAATATTCTTTTTATATATTTAGTTTTTAGATGTCTGCTATAAATTTTCAAATGGAACTGTTCTTCTGTTGCACATTTTGCTGAATGATTTTTTTTAGTAAATTTGCTCTGGATAAAATCCGTTTTTTCAGGAAAATAAAATGGCGAGTCAATTCTTCGCCTTACTTTCTCCTAACAGACATGAACCCTATACAACTTCATGTTGATGGTGGTGGTTATTTTACCCGACTGCTAAGAAAGCATAAATGCTTGTAAGTAAGCAACCAGACGGCCGACGGCTTAAGGTCCTTTCCGAGGGACCTGGTAATGAGGATTAATGCCTTACCAAAGGGCACTAGACTTGGTCGCGAACCCGGGTCACCGGATTACGAGACCACTGCTCTACCGACTGAGCTACCGTGCCTCCTTCCATTTTTTATACATACATGTAATTCAGGAGGCCTTTGTTTATCTGATGGAAATGTTAATGCACACAGTAATGATTTGATTATGTTTTGTTCAGCTGTTATGTTAGTTCAAGTGATTCACTATCTTACCTTCTTTCCATCTCTCACTCTCTCTCCTCTCTTTGCCTCAGGTTGCAGAAGCTTTTGAAGGATCTGAACAAGTATCTTCAAGCCCAGGACTCCTCTGGTCCCTGGGAACAAAGCAAGGTGTCCGCCATGGATAGGGCACTAGGAGAGGTCAACCGCATTCTGGATAAAAAGGTATAGTTCATATACAGTCAAACCTGTCTATAGCGACCGCCCAAGGGAAACACAAAAAGTGGTCTTTATAGACCGGTGGTCTGTGTAGACAGGTTCCTTCAGTGCATGTTTGTATGAGAAACCATTTTCAAGGGAAACAACAAATGTGGTCTTTGTAGACAGGTGGTCACTAGAGCAGGTTTGACTGTACTAGTCACATCAACAGAATGACTCCACACTAACCGACTACTTCTTGCCCTTTTGGGGGTAATGTAATCATTTGTAACATTACCAGACCAACCCAATACAGTTTCTAACCATTGGGGATAATGCAATTGTTTGTCTCTCCTCCTAACTGACTCAACACTGACTCCAATCTGACCACTTCTTTACCTCTTTGGTAATGTACTATTAATTGTTTGGTCAGTCTAGTGTCCAGTCTGCTTTTTTTTATAATTGTTTTTTCTCTTACGTACAGTTTAGAATCAATCGCATAATTTCAGAAATATACAGAAACAAAAAGTATCATTTTGATTTGAGTTGTACACATACATGCATATATTCATGTTCATTTAACAAAAGAAAGATCTTGTCTCTCTCTATCTCTCTATTCTTCGGTAAATTTGAATATAAATTATCTGATTACAAATACACCAAAAGGAAAAACTATTGGTATGTTCATTATATCAATAGGCCATTGTAATGCATATTCTAATCAATGTATCTTCATGAGATAAATACTGATTTTTTTTTTTTAATTTTAAATTTGTTTTTGCCTTTTTTGCAGGAGCAAACTGATCAAATCATGTTCAGAGCACATGGAGGTCTGTCTGTCCTCACAAGGGTTCTCATGCTAATAGATAGCGCCTCCAATGATAAACCAGCAGTCGTACCAAAGAAGTAAGTACCGGTACACTGTATGATTCAAACCCCCCAGTAAATAGCATATGGATTTCATTAGGACGAAAGCACTTAAATAATTGTTTGAATATGATGTAAAATAATTTCATCAAGTTTTATGGCCAGTTCTAACATCAGGTTGAAACTTGATGTAATATATGTAGAAAGTAAGGTCATGCAAATTTGTATATCTAAGGTTTCTCATCATAAATATTTTGACATGAAAAACTTATTCAAATAATCAAAGTTGCATGGGTAGTGCAATCACCTTGAAATGAAATGATTACAGAGTAAAGTATTTCTCCCCCCTCAAAATAAAAAGAAGAAAGAAATGAAAGATTAATGCTAATCATTTCGCTTGAAATTATTCATTTTCATACATGCCAGAATAGATTTACAAAAGGGAGTTTTAACATTTTACTTGATGATATAAAATGAGAACAAGACATTTTGCTGATTTATGTAAGTTTCATTCCTCTCTGCTCAACTTGATTTCCCCACAGGACACTTTGTTCTTCTGCCGAGGTGTTCCGCCTGGCATGCAGAAACAACTTTGACAACTGCCAGTACACCATGTACAGTGGGAAGATGGCACCTCTTATTGATCTTCTCATGCATCAACTATCTGTAAGTCCACATGTGTCAAAATATTGGGTCCTTTCTGTGTGATCTAGAGATCTGTTGAATCATGTCAATAACAGCAAATAAATGACATGATGTATTGAAAGGAATTGAGCATTTGGCAGGACCCTATCCTTATTGGGCATGCTCCTTCTACACACTCAGAATGTGGTGACGCCCTTCTCGATCGCTCCACTATTTTTGTTACTATTGATCTTGTCCTTGTTTTTAAATCTCCAGTTTGATAAAGGGTATAGGCGGGAGACTCTCTTATTGAGGTGATGCTGACGGTTGAAGTATGTGCCTACATCTTGTTACGGGAATAAAAAAGAATAGGTTGCCTTTTATTCCAGTCCTCTTTTCAACTCAGTTCATTTTGAGTTGTGCATGTATATACACATATATATTGTCTGTTTGGAGCTACAAGGGTATTAATTCTGTGTAGAAGTATATGAGATAACGCCCTTCTGGCTCCAAATAGATGATATTCTCTGTACAGCAAACATCCATTCTGTTGATGTAATTAGAAGAAGACATCCTTTAAAAAGTTTTTTTCTTCAATCTCTTTAGGTTCTTATACCAGACTCGGATGATGGTCTACATAGTCATCCTTGGGGTCCAGACTCCCTCAAACCACCCCATGACAGCGTAGCGGGCAGTCTCATGCTTCTGCTGACCAGTATACTCAACGTACTGGTCAAGCATCGGCCGCAATCTCCATCCTCACCCGATGGCAAGCTGCCCTCATTGGCCAAGAAAAAACAAAAGGATACATTTGACCAGTGGGGCATGGATGTAGTTAGGTAAGCATTGTTCAGCATCTTCCAGTCTCAAAAGCTTTGCACACTCAAACCATTGTATTCATGTATTTGATTATTGGATCTCCTTTACTACCATTTATTGCAATCATTTTCACTTCTTAGAGTTATATGGAAATATTCTGTTCCAAATAGCGCCCTTTCCTTAATGATATAATGCCCCTGTGCATTTCCAAAGGACTTTGGATGTTATTACTGCTGCTTCAGCTCTGGTATTTGTGAATGGAAATGAAAAGGAATGAATTCTACCAGCTGCCCACTGACTACACCTGAGTCAAGTGTGGTAAATGTAGATTAATGTCTTGCCAAAGGATGTTAGTGCCACGGCGGGATCCGAACCCTGTACCTTGTGGTTCACTGTCCGGAGACTTATCCACTAGACCACAACACCTCTGTGTTATTATCTTAAATTCTGACTTCCAAAAGAGGTCAAGAGGCCAAATACTGGTGTGTCCCATTGAGGCATTTCATCTTCTTTTGTGTTTCTTAACCCAGGTGTAGTCAGGTATGTGGTATATCTGGTATGATATGTAAGATATTAATGAGTGTCCCCTGGTTAAACAGTCAGTTACATATTCTATTTCCCAAAGCTACCATAGCTCCATTCCACAATTAGGACGAAATATTCTTACTCTAACAGCTCTCATTTTCTTGTGCATTTACACAGTTACCTGGTGAGCTGCGGTGTGCTGGATAAGCTGACGGTGTACTTCAACAATGTACGCAATCCCATTGACCAGGAGCCACAGATAGCTGAATTCCTTCAACATGCCATGGGCTTACTGGGGGCTATGACCCGCTTCATCTCCACTACCTGCAATAGGTTGGTATTGGATAGAACTCTTAGATAAACTAATCACTTGTAGCTCTATTGATTATGCAATGACACATTGTACCTTTGGCCTTGTCATAGTGTAACAGTCTGAAGATGCGGTTTTATGAGGTTAAGCCATTATTATCACACAAAAGATGTTGAATCTTTTTCACTTCAAAACTAAGGCTTTTCATAGAAATTAACTAGTAGATGTACCCCTGACTTACGTTGTTCAGAAAGATGCATATTCAATATTAATAGCTTTTTTTATATTCACATTATGTATGAACATTTCCAACCATAATGTGAATATACCTATATATGTAAGTGAGTCTAATAGTTGATACTCGGGTTTGCCCATACAATGACCTAGGCTTGATCTGAATAATGGTGTCAAACGGAGAGGAATTTCAAAAGATATTCCGATCTGATTTAAATTTATCTTTCTTTCCCCTTTTTTTAATTGTGAAAATAAAATACACACAGACATTCCAGATATTATATTCACACCATGGTTTTTCACCTTCCACCTCTCACAGGTCAGCTGCCGGTATCTTTGGTCCCAAGAAGGACGACCCCACCCAGCTGGTAGCCACCTTCCAGGTGACCGGTCTGGGGGGCATTGTATCCCTCCTCTACGGTATCCTGCTCCATGGGGGTGCCCCCTCCCGAGACAGCACCATGACCCCACCCGAGATACCAGAACACACCGTCAGTGTGGTCAATGCTGGTATCAAGATGCTGAGTAGCATTGCCACCCTGGATCTTAATGTTCTACAGGTATGACATTATCCTAGTACAGTCAAACCTGCCTATAGCGACCGTCAAAGGAAAACACAAAGAGTGGTCTTTGTAGGGAGGTGGTCCTTGTAGGCCGGTTTCCGTTAGTACATGTGTTAATGAGAAACCATGTTCAAGGGAAACAAAAAAAGTGGTCTTTGTAGACAGGTGGCCACTAATGCAGGTTTAACTGTAGTTCTTGTATGATTGTGTGAGACATGGCATATGGTATTGCACATGTTTGTGTGATTTATCATTAGAGTTGCAGTGATATAGAATAAGCAGAGTGAATTTGCAATAACGTAGATATAAGAGAAGAAGGCAATATAAGGTGTGCCTTCAGATACCTAGAATACTGAATCATGAGATGTTTCACAAGCTAGATAGTGAATTAATAAAGACCACACTGCATAAAGATTACCGGGGAGACAATATTCTAATTCGTCTCCGGACTTCAATACCTCAATGTATCTCAATTCAAATCTCTACTCAAAACCTATCTTTTCAAATTGTAAATTGCAGTTGTGCGTCGGTCAATGGAGGTGCGCACCATATTTGTCTTTATTTAGTTGATTGCCACTGTTTTTCTTACCTTATCTATGTTACTTTTGTATTTTTGCTTTTTCTTCTAATTTAATTCTACAGGTTATAGTCTTCTCTTAATCAGAACACTGTGCGCTTAGAAACATCAGTATTAAGCGCCTAATAAATGTTATGTATTATTATTATTATTAATGTACAAACATTTATACAATTTTCCCTAATCTACCTTTTTTACAATCACGCAACTCATTTTCTCCTGTTTTTTAAATTTTTTTAATCCAGAATTATAAATCACCACAATTACAATAGACAGTTGATTAATTAAACCAAACTGTAGATATACACTCTTCTTAAAGGATTGGTTCTCTGTCAGCTTGTACTACATTTATTTTTATCACATTTCAAAAGTGTATTATTTAAAATTATGTCACCTCTTCTTTGATGAAGTTTGGTAATGAATAAGGAAATCTTCTACTTTAAAGCCTATCTGCACTAGTTTGGCCAGGAGGGATAAGACCTCCCTGCATGGTCACTGACAGGTGGTTATCTCATCAACTCAACTCTCGACTAACATAGGAAAAAAAGGACCATGGGGGACCAACGGTCCCTGATTAGGCATTGTTTGCTATATAGAGGGTGCAAGTAGCTATAAGTAGTGCAGTGGGGCTTTTAACTTTTGTCATGTTAATAAATTGTTTTTAGACTGATACATTACAGTTACAATTACAATATTTACATTGCTTTGTTATTCCACACAGACTGCCCTAGGAGCAGAGGGGACATCTCTAGAGTTCCGTCACATCGCTACCTATCTCATGTGGTACTGTAGTCATTTCACTGCCAACGAGGATCTTCTTCATGAGGTCGTTCTCATCGTTGGCTACATCACTGTGCTCAACCTAGACAACCAGGTACAAAGCCCAGCAGAAACTTTCATTTTATTTATTTCCACTTCAAGATTTTAAAAATATGATATAATCATCAACATACAAACAGATATAATGAGATATCTGAAGTTGGAGGATTATGAAAAGCACCGAAATGGCTTGTTAAATATGATCCTCACAAAATATACAAAATAACAATAAATTTAAGTATTTTAGATTCTAGTTTGAACAAAAGTTAGAAATATAGTTTAGTCCAGCCTCAGGGATTTGGTTAGCCTTGACCTTGTCCAGAGTAACATTGACTAAACCCTGGAAAGTAGTATTTTGGTCTGCCTTGACTTCATCACTGACAAATGTAGTACTCTAAGAGCTGATACATTCTTCTGCAGAATTTGTCCGCTGCCTGCCAGAAGGCTGTTAAAACTATGTATTCTCAATGGCATTAGCATCCTTATTGCTGATAGGGGCACAAACATTTTCACAAATTGTTTTTAATGATAATTAAGTCCAAGGCTAATTACAACACCTGGGCCCTGTCTTACAAAGAGTGGATATTAATCACAACTTATTTTAACTATGTAAATTATCTCTAATCAATCGCAAGTTTGGAGATAGGATCTAAGAGACTGCAAACTTATGATTGATTACCCGGTAGAGGACTTATGATTGATCTGGATCAGGTCTAAAACAGGGCCCAGGTTGAAAGAGGATTGCCGCTGTTGCTTCGTAGGAGCTATGAATCTTGATCTGTGATTCTCGTTCCTTTTCAGATCCTTGTCCAAACCGGCAACACCCCAACCCTTCTTCAGCAGCTGTGCAGTCTCCCATTCCAGTACTTCAGTGACCCACGCCTCATCAACGTCCTCTTCCCCACCCTCATCTCCTGTTGCTATGACAATGCAGAGAACAAGAAGATCTTGCAGCAAGAAATGAGCTGCTCATTGCTCATGTTGTTTTTGGAGGTAAGATACTTTTTTTTCTTCCCTTAATTGTCGGGAATTTTAGAAGAGCTCAACATTTACAGGTCCCAAAAATACACAGACTACTACCCCCCCCCCCCTCTCTGACCTTAAAATGTGAAAATGTTAACAATTGTCTGGTGCGCTGATCTGCCATTACTTCTCTGGACTCCCTCCCCCTCCCCCTAGTCCTGACAAAGAAATATGTTAGTGTCAAGATTTTGGAATATTAGTGAAGGGTATCTCCTGGTGAGATCAACCTAATTTAAGAGGCAACAATTTATTACATACATGTATGTTGTGGATACGTTTATTCAAGGATAACTATAAATAACTTGTAGAACAACAAAGCAGAACAAAACATGAGATGTATTTGTAATTAAGTTCATGTTGAATCTATGAAATTGAATTTCTATTTTATCTGATTCTCCTGTAGGATCGACAAAGGGACCAAACCAAAACAAAGTTGTTGCCCTCCGCGAGCAAAGCAAGAGGTAAGCATAGAAAGGTCTTTCTTTATCCATCCATTCCTGAGTCATGTGGACATCTGGTAACTCTGCTCTTGGAGTAGTCAAGGATGCCATGATTGCCAGCTACTGTACAAAAAACAGTTCACTAGTGTATTCCTTCTGGGCTATGCTTTGTTGTCTATTAACATGGCTGGTCAAAGGTGTAAATTCATGTTTTGGGACTTTGTATTTGATGAGAGAATTACTGTTGTGCGTACATGAAGGGCTGAAAATTAGCAACTGGAATACCTGAAATCCACTTTGGCAACTGAAAAATCTCACTGAATCAAATTTTGTGTCATCATTCCATATTCAGTCCTGTGTAAATAACCACCAGAAGATGAATTTGGCAACTTAAGCAAATGTCTTGGTTGTCCATTCAGCAACAACATGACAATAGATTTAACGACAGCTAATTGCATTCAAGTATAACCAGTCCAAATACAGGCTGCTTCATTCAATGGTACTTTGTCAGCCACAACTCAGGCAATTTACAAGAAAAAATAGGGGAATGACAATGGAAATAGAAATAAGATCGGAATACATTCATGAATTGTTTAGTTGTGAGAGTTTGAATGCTTGTTTTTCATTTTTCTGAGTTTGGTGTATGTGTGAAAGAATTTCCTTTAATAGTGGAATTCTATTTGTTTATGTGAATAAATGACTGCAGCTTTACTAGTCGAGGGTTGCATTTATTTTTCTGTAAAGTTTTGGATGTAGGCATAGTTTTGAAGTCATATTCATGATTATATAAAGTGTTCACGCAGCATTTTTAAATGAACGTTTGAGAGTGCATTGTGTGTGCAAGCATGTCAAAATATACTTGAAATTCCACATGTTTATAAATGTATGGCTTATAGCATTCCTGATGACATTGCTGTATCTAATTTTATAAATCCCAGCAGTGCATGATGGTAGTGAGAAGGATCCTTCCAGCCATGAACTAGGTAGAGTTGTGTATTGAGCTTGCAGTGCATCCACACTAATACAGTTTTCACAGAGTTTCTATTCTCTTAACCAAGACATAAGTATCTCAATTTTGGATTTTGTTGAACTTTGTTTTCTCACTTCTGTATCTACTGCTTTGCTCAGGTCAAAAGTTCTTTTTATTGAAAATAATTTTCTATTTTATTGCATGAATGATAATTTGTTGTACAATATTATTGATACAGTGTTCTTTCCTTCAAGATGGTGTAATTGTGTTGTTTTTGCATGCTGAAGTGGTTTTATGGTTGCACATACATTATGTCCTGCCTATTTTACATTTATCTTAAAGTGTTCCAATCTCCAAAACATGTTTTGCTCTTGATATAAGGGGTTATATGTGCTATTCTAGAGTAAATATATGAGCCTCAGATATTTTTTTGTCCAGAAAGATATATTGTGGTTCAAATACACTCCCAATGTAGTGTGGAATGCCTCGTTGAGTAGACTACTTAAGTTAACGCACGTGTACACACTCGCACAGAACCCTAGTCCGACTTAAAAGTTACTCTTTATTTTCCTCATACTCCTTAACAGTTATGTATTGAACAGGCCTGATAATTTCCCGATTTAAATCGGTTTATCTCTTTCTTTCTTTCTTTTTTTAAAAAAAATTCTCACTATCACGCCTGATTGAACGTCAGATAAAGTTTTTAAAAGTTGATTTTATACCTTCTACATGCACCTGTACACAATTTAAATCGGTTTCTCTCTTTCTTTCTTTTTTTCTTTTTTTCTAAAACCTTTCTTTTTAAAATTCTCACTATTACCCCTGATTGAATGCCAGATTAAGTTTTTACAAGTTGATTTTATACCTTCTACCTGGACACATTTTTTTTTCTTCAGGTGATTGGTAATTTTTTTCAGTATATGAATATGAAAGAGGATGGTGTGGTTTTGGCTGGATGGGCCAGTGGATAATGTTCATTTGCAGTCATGTTAATTAAGCTTTTGTTTTATAATTGTAGAAAAGGTGATTTATTCTATTGATGGTAGATTATTGGAAACATATTCAGTTCAACTATTTTTCTTTTTTCATTCAAAAGAGAGAGAGAGAGAGAGGAGGGAGAGGGGGAGAGAGAGAGAGAGAGATTGGGGAGAGAGAGAGGGGAGAGAGAGAGAGAGGAGGGGGAGGGGGATTGAGAGTAGACTGATAGAAAGATACGTGTAGAAAACCCATAGAAGTCTTAAACTTCTGTCGTAGTGAAGATAAAGGATTTATTTTGACGGAGTAGTTCATTCAGCGCATTCAATATCTTGAATTACGTCTCATAATCTCATTCATGCAATTATGAATACATGACAGACAATGATGCTTCATAAACCATGATTCACATGTGATCTCATTCAGTTGATAATATGAAAGTCATGAAAAATGGTGGTGGATTTCCCACAGGAAATCATTAAATTCAGAAGAGAGAATGGATTTGTCCAGCCTGATAGATAAAATCCTCCCCCCCCCTGTCTTTTGTTATCCTTAGACAGCTTTCAAAGGTACTCTGTATTTGAAGATAACAAATTGATGCGACCTTTGACTTCATATTTTTTCTCTCTATAAAACCTTAATTTCACTCAAGCTATGACCTTGACCAACTGTGTTTGAATACTTAATGTATGTTTTACATGTATGTCAGTGCTCAGATAAGAAAATGCAGGAAATCTGGAATCTTGCCCAAATAATTTTTTATTCTTTTCTTTGAAGATAAAACCTCTGTCTTCACTTTGCCCTATTTGAAGAAAAAAAATATGTTCAGGCAATGCCATTTCAATAAAGGAGAGGATAATCAATTAAAAAGCAGGATAAGCCTGCTTCTCGCAAAGAATATAATCTTCTTTTTTTCTTTCTTCTGAATCATCAATTCAGATTTGCATTTTGGTTTGTAGCCAATGCTATCCCAGTTGCATTAAGAATTTTGTACCTGTGGCAGAAATTATGGATGCTATAGAATCCTTCATAAAGTTCACTTTCAGGAAGGATTGAAATATTGTTCCATTTTGTCATCCATGCTTCCGTTACAAAATTATGAATATATCACTGCCACCTATTCCTTGTAAATATTTATCATATGATTCTCTCTCGTAACTCCAAATCCAAACCTTATCTCTTTTCTGAAGAAAGCATGGAATCCCTGCAGTTTTGTTTTCTCATAAATCAAATCCTCGCTATTTTTCTGTGAAAACAGAGGAAGGGTAAAAAACGTTGCTACCCCTCTTGTGGTTTTTATTCCAGGGTGTGTTCAGACTGTTTAAAGTGCAGTGATAGACAATGGTTATATCTGATGATGGAAACCCAAGTCAGCATTAGTGTTTTCTGTTATTGTGTCATGCTGTATTCTTCAGGCAGTCATTTAGAGTAAACATTGGCAATGTTTACTTCTTCACTTTGGGAATGGAGATGAATGAGTGATGAAAGAGTAGTAATAGCTTTATATTTTTTGAAAAGTTCCCATTGGTAATATATAGTTTCTTTATTAATTTTATCTCATCAACATGTTATGAAAGCATTATGCAAGATAAATCCTTGTTTAAATTGTGTCTAATGAGAATACATAGGTAGTATACTACATGTAGTTACCTGCATGAATCATCTGATTGTCACCTTTGATTTGTGTTGGAGATCAATTGTAGGGCTACATACTTGAGATGATTATTTTTTAACTCACACATGGTATGGAATAAAGTTGTAACAAAAATTGCAATCTCCCATGTTAGTTAAATCATGTACAAGTATTCCTGTACATAAAACCACTTCTTTTTAGAATGTCAATTTGAAAATCAAGAAATAGTGGATGAAGCAATAAGAGATATTTTTAGTACCAGTAGTCAAGAAATTCCAAGGAGACTAAATATTTCAAGCACCAAAAGGGAGATCTTTTAATTTTGGACATCATTATGAAGCAGTCCCAATTTGGTTTAGTTAATATATGTATGATTAAATCAAGTTCTCATATTTCCTTTTCTTCTTAGACTCTTGGAGTATGCATACTTCAATTTATTGTCTATTTTTAAATGTACATGTATTACTTGAGTATCTGGTCCTTCAATTCTCATTTCACTTTTTAAAAAGATAAAGCATATACTTGCTCTTGAAGTAAGTGGAAGTTTGAACACGTCTTGCATCTCTAGTTCCCTCTCCCAAGTCTTTATGCCTTAATACTCTGTAATCCAGCCAGGATCCCTTAGGGTGCACAGACCGCTCTCCAAGCGGATTACCCCGGTAAAACAGGCGCTAGTCTCATCTCCCAAGAGAAACCACAGAATAGATGCGTCGTGGAAGAACTGACAATCTTCTCTCCATCCTCCTCGCTACTTTAGCATCTCTCTTTTTTACCCTATCATTTCATATGTTTCGCATTCTCTCTTTTGTTCTCACCCTAATTTTCTATCTCTCATCTTTCCTTCTGTTTTTCCTCACTGTACAAGGACACACATACCTATCTCTGCTTTGTGTTTGTACTCGTCTTCCTCATTCTATCTCTTTTTAGAAGAAAGAAAAAAGCAGATCTTGTTACTCTATCTGTATTCCTAGTCGCCCCCTCTCTTTCTCTCCCACGCTATTCGTCTCACTCTTCTCCCTCTCCTTTTCTCTTTCTATTCTTCTACCCTTCTCTCCTCTTTCTCTTTTTCTTTCTATCCTTCTCCTCTTTCTCTTTCTATTCTTCTCCCCCTTCTCTCCTCTTTCTCTTTCTATCCTTCTCCCCTTCGCTTCTCTTTCTCTTCCTCTTCCCATCTCTTTCTTTCCATCTGCCCCCTCTCTGAGTTATCAGCATGAGAGATTTCCTTCTGATACAAAAGAATCCTCCTGTGTACCCAACCAAGGCTTTTTGCTGAGATTTTTTTCCAGAGATTTTTTTCCAACGCTGATATTTTCCTGGTCAATGCTCCCAAAGAAGGGTAATAGTTTAGTGTTTTACCATCCTGACTACCTTAGTATCCCCGTTATCTCTTGGATTTTGTCTGAGACATTGCTGACATTTCAGGTCTCCCATGGTTCTGTAGAC